TGAGATTTCAGCTGGGTTCTCTACAGCTGATGTTCGGAGAGTAGCTTTCTGGCATATGAGTTGTTGATCCTAGGTTGTAGTGCTGCAACCTGAGTCAAAGGCATGATCTCGATGCCCTTTCGATGGAGTAAAGTCGTTATTGCTGTACTCTGCCCCCTTCCTAGAATGACCGCCTTGATGCTGTTGTTTGCGGAATCGGATCCTAATGCGGTCAATTCTCAGGCGTAGGTCTCGATTGGCCGAAGGTACTTACTTTTGCGTTCCTTATCGCTGCGTACGAAGGATTTTTGGTTGTCGTAGCTCCATTTAGCCAGACTGTCTTCATGATCCCCCCGCATCACGAGCTCCTTCATCATAGTTTGCATGAATACTCCTGGCACACTGGCCCAGGACAAATCTCCTCGCAAACTAGCTTTTCGAAAAAGGGCCCGGTCTTCCAGAGTGGATTTGTACACAAACGTTGTGAAGTCATCTTTGGTTGTTTCTTGGAGATGTCTTAGTTCGGTCGAATCGCTCACCCCTTCCAGGACACCATCGGCGAGGGCAAGTGACAAGAAGAGGGTCACTGGACAGATGCAACGGTCATCAATGAGCATCATGGGAACTCTGGACAAGTAAGTATCATCATTCCAAACATATCAAGAAGTTGCATACCCTTTCCACCGCTTTGATCCAGGGCGTTGCGCGCTTTTCTCGGACATGCGCACAAGTAGCACGTAGCGAAAGTCGCCATGGTCACGTACCATGACCAAGATAAAGTCTCGATAGAAGAGGCCTTGAGAAAACACAGTCTTCGATGATAGGCCAAGGGAAATGAACAACAGCATAGTGAACGCGACCTAGACTCGGTATCGGGGGTGCAACGACATTGGCTGGACAGCGTTTGTGTGCCTCTTGATACTTTGTGCACCATGCGCGTACAGTGTAGCGGAGGTGGAAGCATCTGTAGTGAACTTGAGTATAATCGCATATTGTGCTAGTTAATAATGTTGTGAAAGAGTGGCAAATGTCTTTGTTATATACTTAATTTCGTTGAGCCATGCCTCTGCTCGCCAACCCCAGGCCCACATTCGTCAAATGTTGAGCCGAGAGGACTGCCACGGGATATAGATTTCTAGTGCTTCATCTTGGGGCATAGTTAAACAATTCGGGCGCATACTTAGTGATTACAAGGTCTAGGATTCCTACATTTAAAGACGGCAGCCCCTTAGAATTTGATTGTCCAGGTTTGCTTCCCTTATTTATAGTAAGAACAGTATTTTTCCATCTCTCTTTTAATACGAAAGCTAATGAGCTATTATTCATTTTAGCTACGAACACACGGAATTATGCCGGCTTCACTTGATCCTCCACATCCTCTTCGTAAACGAAAGTCTACAGTAACAGCAAGAGAGGCGGCAGACCATCGAAAGAAGACTAAAGCTGCCACCACAGATACCACCACAGATGCCACTATAGATATGGTATGTAGGGTGAATTCCGAAACAGTGACAGCAGATGAGGACTGTCTAGATATTAATGCACTTCTCGCAAAGCTCAAAATTAAGGGGGAAGCTAGAAGCGCAGAAATTTTTGAAAACTTAGAGGAAAGGCGCCCTAGGATAAGACCTCACCGCCAGTGTTGTTCCTGCAAACATCCAGTTAAGGTCTCTACGAGAGGGAACTGCGCTGAATGTGGTCATAAGCGATGCGCTGTGTGTCTCCATGAAAGCAACTGAACGCGAAGGCCGCGGAAGCAGAGGTCGGGAATGGCGGGTTTAAATGGAATCATTCGTCTGTACGATAGCTGAAGTCAACATCGGCGGCAGAATCCAGTACGCAACGATTCAACTAGCTTCAGTCAATGCGCAACCATCACCCTCGTTCAGGTTGCATACACCCCGACGGTCCATCGCCCTGCTTTGCTGGAGTCTTGTTCAGCGCCCCGCAATTCCCGCTCCTCATTATTGTACTCCTTTGTGCAGCCGCCAAAGGTGACTCCGTCGCCTGTAACCAGCTGCTTTGTTGCGACAGCTACGGCGCCGTTGCCGTCATGAAGAAAGCTCGTTCAATGTCAAGGTTATGGCCCATCCCAACGTAACACCCAGCAAATTTGTTGTAGGTTTCAGCGGCCGCGGCGGGGGTTTGGGCTGCCATGACGAGCGAGTTGATTTGTGAGGGCGGCTGCGGATCGCGTTGACGCGCGGGGCAGATAAGGTCGGGGAGAAGGATGAGAGAGTGGCTGTTAAGTGTGTTGACGCGCGGGCGAGGTAGGGTGAACGTGTGAAGAGGAGAGCTTGTCGAGAGGGTCGAGCGCAGGGTCGCTGGGCTGATCTTAGGCACCTGTGGCAAGCTGTCGAACCTGTAGTAGTTAGCAAACCAGGACGACATCAGGCTGGAGCGAGTTGGACTCGGGTTGCAGCACTACAACCTAGGGTCAGCAACTCATATGCAGTAACGTATCAGGATAACATGCTGATACAGGAGGAAGTAACAGGTAGTGCAACAGCAGTGCTGCAGCACGGTATCAGTACTGTATCAGGAAACAGGATGAATCAAGTAACGCGTCAGGAAGAGATACCACGTTATGCCCCCGGGGCTGGCCCCCCTCCTTCCCCTAGTATATAAACAACGAGCTAGACACCCATAGAAATCAGAGTTCACATCAATTTCAACCTGAGTCGGTTCTTCCAAAGTAGCCGACAGAGGCCTTACTTACCTCATCCTCTTAGTGCAGGAGATCATTCTTTATCGGATCAGCAACAACTTCATAAGACATACAAATCCCAAGCGTCTATTCGATGGTACAAATCCTCCTTCTAATGAAGCTATCGAGATTCTCCTTAAAACTACACAGACTAGTGCTCCTACGGCTCTAATTCACCGCCTTCCTATTAAGCTGTAGGATATGATCCTTGATAAGGTCTCAGCGGGACCAGTTAATACCACTAGAGTTGGCTGCATACTCGGTGCTAGATCGAACTTCGCATAGAAGTCTAGTGGCCGGGAAATTAAGAGAGAAGAAGCTCAAGGGAATAGGACGCCGTGGAGTCCTGTGGAGTCCCATCTCATGTTTAGCAATACCTTTAGTAGGATATCATATAAGTAAACTTATTTAGAACACCCATTCTTCGAATACAACTCTTTTTCAATGATGCGTTTCGTGTTGCACATTAACTACCTCGAATACACATTGCTACCGCTGTGTCACCGATGCTTACCACGGCCAGGTACTAGCTATATGCTGATAGCTACACGGTTGTCAGAGGTTAACAGGAACAACCTTCTCGTTTCAGACAAAGCTAGTCTACCTTACGATCCCGTAACAGTGACGAATAAGAATCAACGAAGGAATGTTTAAATGCTGGTTTACATTTCTTCTAGCTCAAGTTTCGCCGAAGACCTAAATAACACAAGCTCGAGCATCTCATCTATCTCCCATTTCTATTCAGAACGATCTGTCCGTCTAAACGAATGGCAACGGGTTCGCCTTAAGCTATCGACTCCAAGTAACCATGTCGTTGGCATGTGTAACAAGGTGCATCTTTCCCCCAACCTTGGTAAATGCTCCTCGTGCATACTTATAGAATTGAACCTCTAAACCGATCTAAAGCATTCCATACACATGCTTGCTCTCGTTGTCAGTCCCAGCGAGATGGCTATAAAGGTGATCTTCTGAGCTACCCCAAGCCTCTCCCTGCTTCTTGCTTTCAGTAAGCATGAAACTATATTGCCAGAGAGTTCCGCCGGGCCTTCGAGACACCTTGAATACGCCAAAGTCCGAGCGAGTGCTGGCGTCGCCCTCTACCTCCTAGATCACATCATACCCTTCGGTCGCGGGGAAGAGGAAGCGTAGGATATTTCCCATAGGCCTTCGGTAAACATGTTCATTCGAGCCCGGTACCCGAAGTAGTAGTTGAATGGCGGCCTGGACATTTTCATCATCGAGATAAGTTCGAGAGAGAGGAGGGGTTGGGTCTCTGAGAACAGCCCTGCCGGTCCTGTTGTTATTCCTAGTTCGCACTTTTAGCATTGCTTAAGATGCATATACTGTAGACTTTATCATTGTGGCCAAGCCTTTAATGTGTCACGGGTCCAATAATCCTATCCAGTGATTAGCGGCATAAAATTACGCGTAATGTAATCGGCAAGCAAGTGGGCCATTTGCCTACCGATTATTAGGTAGTCTGAGAAAAATCACTTACGCCGGGCGCATCTCCAAACCCATTTGGGATAGCGTAGCTTGTCGTGTTTGCAACGGAATCAACGTAATAGACTTGGCCAGCGGAATTTGCGTACTGATGGATTCTCCCACCGACCATGGGTCCAAGATTGTAAGCGGTGGTCATGGTTTCGTTTCGAAGCTTGATGGTTATTTATCGAATGATAGAGGTCTCGTTCAGATAGTAGAGACTTCTGGTCTAGGTGGTTTGAACAACAAGATTTTTGGCAATGGTAATTTTGTAGAACATCGATTCTTGGGAAATATCCCAGTGATATATTCATATGGAGAGGGGTGTAGCCGACTGGGGAAGCATTGTTAGGAGCTTCGATCGCCATGAATAGATCAAGCGCTACATGATACGTAGAGGTAAGCCACCGCGCCGCTCGTGTTTCAGGGAAGCACTATGTACTCCGTATGTTGTTGCGAGAACCGATTCGATGAGGTTGCGTAAATCGATGCGCCGGGAAGCTATTTTCAATCCAAGCGGCTATCGTGTCATTCTGCGTAGGCGCTTACTGTCAAGGAGAGTTAGTAGCTCATTACTCAGGTTGAAATTGATGTGAACTCTGATTTCTATAGACGTCTAGCTAGTTGTATATATACTAGGGGAAGGAAGGGGGCCACCCCCAGGGTGGCGCGCTAGTAAGTTCAGATGAGCCCTGCACAGCTGAGGCTTCAGCTCGGTTCTCTACGGCTGAGATTTCAGCTGGGTTCTCTACAGCTGATGTTCGGAGAGTAGCTTTCTGGCATATGAGTTGTTGATCCTAGGTTGTAGTGCTGCAACCTGAGTTTGGTTCTGATAAAACCATTTCAACCAAACATAGAGCGATGAATTACGGCAATGTGTGCACCGTTGTTGCTTTTAGGAATCGGTTCATGTAGGAATGCAGCTGGAAATGCTATGATTTCCCATTTGCGAATGTGTAAGCATCGACATGTATCATTACGTGTCTGCTGTCGTTGGGGCCATGGCGCAACCAATAAGCTTTCCTTGATTGTACATACATGAAGGTCTTGAAGCCAATCGGGAAGCGGAACCACGTCGTACAGGAGCTCGTTCGACGCTTTCATAATAGTAGGCAACGCTTCAATCGCTATTACTCCTCTCGTTCAGAACTAGAGTCATGAGATTACAAGGTCTCGACAGTGACTTGTTTTCGTCATTCGTGGGTGTTTGACTTGAGATGTTTGGAATAAGAACTCTGCTTCTATTGATGAAGCCATGGGGGCTGAATATATAGAGAGAGAGCCGGAGTCAGTCCAGCTGAATGACAACCCCTGTGCAGCTGAATGATAACCCCTGTGCAGCTGAGAATTGGAGTGAAGGAAGGAGAGGACCCTTGTGGAGCTGAGAACGTAGTACTAAAAGGAGAAACAAGCGTCCAGGCTGACGTGTATAGAGTTGGTGAGTTTTAGCCAACATCCTAAGTGTTTGACACCTTTTCACAGGCGATTGAAGGAGCACAGAGTCTGTGGGCGCGAGGGAGTATTCAATTTTGATGCCGTACCTGAAATTCCCCTTCAGCAGATACTTAGCTTCGACCTATGGCAGCCAGTTCGTCAATACGAAAGACACAATCTTTTCGAGACCCTGCAAATCCCCTTCTACCGTCCCAGCAATCTCTTTGTCAACCCACCCTTCAGTAAAACTCCCTCCAAAGTCCACAATCCATGCGTTATTCTCGGTATCGATTAGGACGTTATCAGCCTTAGCATCTCCCCAGACAAGCCCTGCTCTGTGCAGATCCGCGAGAGTCTCCGTGACCTGGTCTGCCCAATGCTGTCTCATTGAGAGTGACGTGTCAGGACGTACGGCCAACTCTAACGTTTTTCGCTCGTGGCTAATGTAAGTTAGTAACAAGCCCATTGGAAGACCCTCTTCGTTCTGCACAACACCATGCAATCGACAGATGCGTGTATTCGGCCGCAGCTCCGCCTTGGCTATCCTCTTGTAACTCTCCAGCTCGGTCCTCGCGTCAGTCAATGCTCCTGGGGGGAAAGGCTTGAAGAAGTACGCCGTCTGCCTATTGTTGACAAGCACCTTCTCAGGACGTTTGACGAGTGCATCTTCCGGTTTCTTGGAGCTGAGAAGGATCTCAGACGGGTGGAATGGCACTGCCCATGTAGCCAAGTCACGGAGAGACTCAGCATCCAAACGTACCCCCGGGGGCATATAGCCCGAAGTCTGCGTATCAACACGTCGCGCCACCAGACCCTGGTAGTCACTAGTATAGACTCGTAGTGGTGGAAGCCAGAGCAGCTGGTAGCGTTTTTTTGTGTGTTACGTTGAGTGGCTAGATAATGCGTTTGTTCGAATGAGTAAAGGAGCCGGTCTGGCGTTTGTTGAGGTTGAGTGTTGAAGGGTTGAAGGGGAGCATGGGTGAGGACATAGGGCGAAGCGGCTGGCGGCTGGTGGCTGGCGGTTACAGGATGGGGCCCAAATTCGTGACCTGGGACAGATTTGAGGCCCCTCGCTAAAACTTGACAATTTTTGGTGGGTACCTCTGAGACTGCGCCGCAGCGGGTGAGCAAGATGTCGGGCAAGGTGCAGATTGGGGTGTTGAAACAGGCATGTCGCACTCGCAGCTCTTCTTTTAATCAAGAATGACAAGAGTGTCGCGCCGCAAAGTGATGAAATCAAGCCACGTATTAAAGTTCTAATTGTAGCCCTTAGCCACACAGACCTCTCAGAAAGAGCGAAGAATCTCCTCAGCCGTGCTTCGTGGTTTGTCAGAGGAACGTAGGTGTTCTTCGAAAGCTGTTGAAAGGCCGTTTGTCTACTAGGTCTGTCAGTTCAGATCGGTCGTTGGAGGCAGCGCGCCAAAGGTCTTGAGGTCATATATAAAGAGCCGCTTCTCCACAACTCGCTTCCATTCTTCATACTCGCCGTCGCCACGAGGAGAGGCAGCGGAGGAAGGGGTATATCAGCGCGGTCGGCCGCCATGGTGAGTGGTTTCTTGTGAACAAATAAACGATGAAGAGAGAGAGTTGACTCAGGAGAGTAAAGAAAGCGAGGCCGCAGCACTCTTAACGCTGCAGGAGCTACCTATTCGTAGAGGCCAGGAATTCAGGACAGCAGCACTACCAACCCCCAAACGTGTGGCTCCTTCTAGGTAGCTCAGTGATGCAGCTTGCAGCAACAGCCGCTCATAACCTGACGCAGGCAGCAGGAACTAGAGAGAGAGGCACGAGGTGGTGATAGGAAGAGGGCTGTGTTTATAGAGAAGCTACGTAGCTACAAACGAACAGATAGAAAAACACCACACAGTTTCACACACGCTTGGGTTTTTCCTGCTGCCGTATTTTTGTTTTCATAATTATAACTCCTGTAAATGGAACCCACTCCTGCGATTTTTAGGCCCCCAGGTAGCCGGAGAGGGCAGGTATTCCTACCCCCTTTAGCTGAACGGCCAAGTAACGTGCGCCGAAGGCGGTCTACATCCACAAAATAAAAGAATCGACCAACAAACGAACGAACAGATAAACAGAACCCGGTCAGCCCTCGCCCGCGAGGTCATATGCTCCTGAAACCGTACACCCATGCAACAATACTGTGTCTAACAGGCTCCCCATTCCTAGCTGATATGCCCCTTCCAGAGAGACTTAATAACTTCCGGCCTCAATTTCCCTACATTTGCGCCTAGAGTCTATTCTTTCTGTTCTAGGATTTCTTCAACGGGGGAAACCTTGTTCTGAAATAGCTTCTCTCTCTTCATGAAGAAGGAGCAAATGAGAGTTGTGGACCCTCCCGCAATAACAAGAACATAAGCCTTCGAAATGGCTTTGACGATACCTTCCAGAACAGCCGCCCTGACTTGCGGAGTCAACGAATCGAACAGCGTCCCTTGGGCTCCAGAAACCGCGGCTGAAACTTGTGCATCCGTGAAGCCAAGACCAGCAACCGCATTTTTAACATTCTTGAAAGCGTATGTCTGGAATAATCGTCCCGCAATAGTTAAAGCAATAGTCGTACCCCCTAGTTGTGCCATATTGATGAATCGAATAGCTGATGGGTGCTTAGAAACGGGGTTGATAGCCTGTGCGATGGAATATCCGAGCTGTAAGCAACCGCCGGCGCCAATAGCAATTAGTATACTGTAACCGTATGCAGTCGCAACAGATGTGCTACTCTTCACCGTGTACATGAGAGCCCCACCCGTAGTGCCCATAACGCCGCTAAGGACGTACCATGGCATGTAAAAGCCAGATTTAGGCATTATGCCCCCGCTTAGCATCGTAGTAAACACACCAACGAGGACGAATGGGAGAAGCCGAACAGCAGCCTGGATGGGCTCGTCCCCGCGAGTGAACTGGAAGTAGATCGGTATATAGTAAACCGGGATGAAGAGATTTGTCGAAGTTGCAGACGTAGAAATAAACAATAAGATCATTGTTCTGCTGTAGAGCAGACCAACAGGGAAAATGCGTCGCTCCGGAGTCGTAAGGATGGAAAATGCTTGCTGTACAATGAAGGTTGCCGTGAGGACACCGCAGAGGGCGAGACATATGATGGTACTAGCGGCGCCCCATGCCCAGGAACCTTCAGCGAGGGTCAAGGGAATGATGAACATCGCAAATATGCCCGCGAAAAGTGTAGTGCCGAGAATGTCGACTTCGGAAATCTTCTTCAGAGTGGAGACGCCTGGTCTCGCTGGAATTGAGGGTAGAGAGAACAGATAAGTAGGACCGCTGAATGCTGCAACGACTAGGTTGATATAGAATGACTATCACAGTTAGCAAATAAATCTCTATTGTACAATATCAGTAGTAGTTCTTACCCATCTCCAGGTAGCAGAGCTCTTTGCAAAAGCTCCGCCTATGACTGGTCCCAGAATAGCGCCTACACCCCAGCAAAGGCCTGCACCAGCAACATACATAGGGCGTTCTTGAATGGCAGTGAGGCTTGCAAAGATGTTTAGGTTCCTACGCCACAGTTAAAAACAGAAACAACGGCTGTTCGTGATACAAACTTACCCTAGGTACAGACCCGAACCACCAATACCAGCGATAACTCTGCCAATGATGAGTGCATTCATGTTTGGGGAGGCGCCACAGAGAGCGCTCCCTGTCTCGAAAAGAGCGAAGCTCATAATGTACAACCATTTAGAATCAAACGATTCGTACATGACTCCAAGAGGCAGAATGATGGCGACCGACCCAAGAGGGAATGCAGCTCCAATCCACGTCATTTTTTCAATTTGTCCGAATTTTTCCACGATGGGAACCTGCACATCTGCCACGATTGTGGTGTCGAGACCGTAGAGAAGAGTTGCCGAGTATAAGGCCGAGCATGTTAGGATCCATCGGAAAGTGCCCATGTTGCGAGCTGACGCTTTTGGCTGAGTGCTCAGAAGATTCTCATCGCCAAAGGTCTGCTCCGCCGACGACATGGACGGGTCCGTGGCTTGTTCCCCCCCGAGACTGATTTCCGTAACTGTCATTGTGTATCGAGGAGATTTCGCAACGAGATAACTGAAAGAAGGATAGGAAGACTAATGATACAAAGTGGCAGTTGAGTGCGCTAGCAACAAAGAGGCAAGCTTCCGGGCAGTGTGGCTTGAATAAATATAGACGTGGTCTCTTTCACACATTCAGAAATGGACGTCTTATAAAGTCTATTGCTTTTTACAAATGAGACCACTCAACTATAGAGCATATAGTTCAGGAACATTCGGCCATACAGTTCCCCGCCGGGCACTATAGCTCCCCGAGCTTGTTAGCTGTAGAACCCGATAGTTCTTCTGTTAATGTGGTTCACCTATGTACGAGCGAGAATCACCCACCACCGAGAGTTGGTGGAGTATTTCGCGAGCAGATTTGGCCACCCTTAGAAGAATTTGGACTAGCGGCTCGCCCCCTTAAATCCTTACCAATTCTCGGTGGTGGGTGACGCTCGCTCGGGACTGAACGACGTTATGGCATAGGGTTCTACTGATTGCAGCCAACCAGAGGACCTGATTTCTAGATGATATAATCTTGCAACAAGGCTCCTAGAATATAGTCCCCCCCTGAATGGTCAGGGGTCACTGATGCCCGATGTTGCACTGCCAGATGAAGGAGGGCTAGCTGGCCTCTTGGGCGCTGTGATTAGAAGAAGCTTGGAACCTCAAGGCTTGGGAGGTGGAATTCTGACCCCACTACCCGGTTGCCATGCTTTGCCACATGGCACCTGCTTCCCGCGACGCCAGTCAACGGTTACTGTGGCTGCTTGCTTGTCGGACACGACCGTGCGCAAAATAAGGGTTTTCGCACTGTATAAACCCCGGTCCGTGCGCGGTCGTGTCCGTCCGTTCATGGGGCGGACTGTACTAGCGTCCAGATCTCGGGGACACTAGCGAAAAGATCTCGGGCAAATGCAGCTCTGTTTCAGGATGGCATGACCCACAGATGCAATCATAGCGTTGAAAAATAAGCGAGGCAAAAACGACAGCAGATCGCAGCATCACGATGCAGGTGTCCACAAGCTTAACGCCCAAAAAGGGCAACGAGTCAGCGCTCCTACAAAACCTCGGGCAAACCCCGTGCCTGGTGCGTCATCGTCGGGAAAGCTGTCGTGCGGAGCGATTGGATGAGCTGACCCAACGAACGTGGACTCCGAGTTCCGATAGAATACGAGTCTGACGCCCGAAGTTAATCATGCATGCCTTGGAGAACGCGATCTTCAGTTTCACCTCTACTTCGGCGTTGAACTTCGGTGAGAAATGCTAGATCGTGCTTATTTAGACCCCGGTGTAGTGCCTCCTAAAGTCAGAATATCCAACAACAGGGACTATTGGGGATAAGCGCAGTTCTAACCTACATAGGGAGTCTACGACGCCGACGTTCGGGTTCGGCCAGGGATCTCCTATACCCGGCGGGCCTTCTTTCTCTAGTATAGCTCGAATGATAGCAGAGTGGATGAAAAAAGCCACTTGATGATGTTGAGACATGCGGAGAATGTCGTAAGCTGCTCTCGGCCTCCAGCCACAGTTCCCTCCACTAGAATGGATACGGACAACTGCGCCATTTCCCGACCCGTCACCGACACTGTCCGCTCCAAGTCTACTATCCGCCCCACGGACTCTATGGCGTGCGCCATAGATTCCTAGCTTTAGAGTCCGTGGGGCGGATAGATCGTACTTATTTTGCTAAAGTGCACTCTTTTTATACCCCCCCGTGGTCTGTGTGGATGAGTCTATACATTTAACTTCGCTACTCCCGAATCTAATGGTCTCAATGCTATTGAACAAGTAGAAGCACTGGGCGATTTGAGCAGTCTTCTATCTCTCTACTTCCAACTACCCTACGTCAAACGCGTCGATCCTTATCCTTCCTTTCATTCTCGAACACTTTCCTTAAGGAAATATGGGGGCGGCAAAGAATACAGACAGTCACTCTGTAGCAGTGACAGGTCTATCATGTAGATTTCCTGGTGATGGTGACACCCTCGACACCTTCTGGGAGTCAATCTGTGCCGGAAAATGTCCGCCTTCCCTCCCTAATTAGCAACGAGCGCGAATTCGAATTTCGGGCTGACCCTAGTTTACAGCGGCATGGTCAAAGATTCCAAAGGAGCGCTTTAATATTGATTCCTTTTGGTCGCAAACAAAGAACCGCAATACCAGCACCGCCAAAGGTGCCCATTTCCTGAAGCAGGATATATCCAAATTCGACGCAAACTTCTTCACTCTGCCGAAGAACGATGTCGAGGCCACGGATCCACAGCAAAGAATCATGATGGAGGTCGCCTACGAAGCCCTGGAACGTGCTGGCCTGCCCCTTAGCAAGATCGCTGGAACTAAAACAGGGGTGTTCATGGGCTCGTTCACCAGCGACTACAGAGAAGGCATGTTAAGGGATCCGGACAATCTCCCTGCCAACACTGCAACGGCATCACCCACAACGGCACTGTCGGCCCGCATGTCATGGCTGTGGGATTTGCGCGGCCCATGCTTCACTTTGGATACGGCATGCTCGTCCAGTCTAGTGGCATTGCATCTAGCGTGTCAGAGCTTGCGGACGGGAGAGTCTGATTATGCGATCGTAGGCGGGACTTCGTTACTGCTCAATCCGGAATGGTTCATGAACCTCTCCGGCCAGGGGTTCATTTCGCCTGATGGAAAGTGCAAGAGTTTCGACGAGTCTGGCAACGGTTACGGTCGAGGCGAAGGCTTCGGATGCGTAATCTTGAAGCGCGTGGACGACGCAGTCCTGGCCGGCGACCCTATTCGGGCCGTCATCCGCGGGACCGGCTCGAACCAGGACGGCCACACCAAGGGATTTACGGTCCCGAGCGCTGACGCGCAAGCGACGCTCATCGCGGACGTCTATCGGAGTGCAGGTTTGGACTTCAACAACACTGGCTATGTCGAAGCCCACGTAGGTCACTTCTGCTGTTTTGGTCACGGGGTTGAGGCTAATCGAGTTGTTAGGGCACCGGCACGCAAGCTGGCGACGTACAGGAGACAACAGCGCTAGCCAGGACCATTGCTGCTACCCACACATCGCAAAACAAGCTCATCATTGGCTCAGTGAAATCAAATGTATGTCCAATGGCCTTTGTCCGCGATTGACGACTGACCGCATCTAGATTGGCCATCTCGAGGCAGCTGCCGGCATCGCCGGCATTATCAAAGCCGTTCTAATTCTCGAAACTGGCTTGATCCCGCCCAGCATCAACTTTAAGAAAGGAAACCCGAAGATCAAATTCGAGGAGTGGAAGCTCCAGGTCGCAACAAAGCTGACACCATGGCCTACCAACGGCCTACGGCGCGTCAGTACCAATTCGTTCGGATACGGCGGGACCAATGCTCATGCCATCCTCGACGACGCTACTTCCTACCTTCAAGGACGAGGCATCTCCCCGATCCCGCACGTTGCTTCGAATGACCGCTCGGGACCGCGGCTATTCGTTTTGAGCGCTCAGGACAAGGAGGGCCTCAAGCGCGTGAAAGAGCCCTTGGCACAATACGTCGAGGGCAAAAATGCCAAACAGACCAACGAGTTCCTCTCCCAGCTGGCATACACGTTGAGTGATCGGCGATCTCACCTCCAATGGAAAACATACGCAGTGGCCTCATCGCCTGATCAGCTTGCTGAGACGCTGAACAGTGACGAAAATCCAGCATTGATCGCGCAGTCCTCTCGACAGCCCCGGCTCGGGTTTATCTTCACTGGTCAAGGAGCGCAGTGGCCCGGAATGGGTATGCAGCTTATGGCCTACCCCGTCTTCCGAGAAAGCGTAGCTGCGGCCGATCGCTATCTGCAGGAGGTGTGTGAATGCCCCTGGTCGGCGACAGAAGAGCTGGAGAAGAGCAAAACGAGCTCGCGGCTGCACTTAGCTGAGTTCAGCCAAGCGCTCTGCACTGTGTTGCAAGTTGCTCTAGTCGACCTCCTCCGGACTTGGGGAATCCTTCCTTCCGCGGTTGCTGGCCATTCCAGCGGCGAGATCGCGGCGGCCTATGCCATGGGCGCCTTAACCAAAGAAGATGCATGGCGGGTGGCCTATTACCGCGGCGTTCTTTCTACTAAGATGAAGACTAACTCCCCCGACCTTAAAGGCTCTATGATGGCGGCCGGTCTCTCTCCCGAGAAGGCTGAGGAATGGTTTGCTAAGGTGACGGAGGGAGAGCTGGTGGTGGCCTGCATTAACTCACCGACTAGTGTGACTATTTCCGGAGACACCGCTGGCATTGAGCAACTGCTTGGGATGCTCCAGAAAGCAGGTGTGTTTGCGCGGAAGCTCCAGGTTGACACCGCCTACCACTCCCCCCATATGCAGACGGTGGCGCAAGACTACTATATGCTTCTATCGGATCTTGTCCCCTTAGTTCCAGACGGGGATTGCATAATGCACTCCAGTGTCGAGGGCTCTATCATCGAGGCCGAGCAGCTGGGGGCGGTTAACTGGGTGCGCAATCTCATCTCGCCCGTCCAGTTCTCCACAGCGGTGTACGACATGCTGCGACCAGTGAGAGACGGCAAGCGCGCAGATGAGAATGCAGTGGACCTGCTGATCGAGCTTGGACCGCATTCCGCTCTCCAGGGGCCGGCGACGCAGACGCTCAAGGCACACAACATCACCAACATCCCATACCAGTCGGTCGTCGCCCGAAACCAGAACGCAGTGGAGACGGCTCTGAGCCTGGCGGGCTCGCTCTGGGCCCAGGGCTACAAAGTGAACGTCCAGCAGGTCAATGGAGACGGCGGCAAGCAATTCACCGCGCCATTGGTCGACCTTCCCACCTACCCGTGGAAGCACGCCCAGCGCTACTACCACGAGGACCGCATCGAACAAGAGTTCCTGCACCGCGCCCGTCCCAAACAGAGCCTCATCGGTGCGCCCGCCCCGGCCATGGGCGAGCGCGAGTATCTATGGCGGGGTTTCATCCGCCTGGCCGAGGAGCCCTGGATCGCGGATCACCAGATCCAAGGCTCTGTCCTCTATCCCGCTGCTGGATATCTTGCCATGGCCCTCGAGGCCGCCTCCCAGACGGCCGACCCGTCCAAGCAGATCTCATCGTTCCGGTTGCAGGACATCCAACTGACGGCCGCTGCCGTCCTCTCCACAGAGGCCGACGTGGAGTGCATTGTTCAGCTTCGCCCTCATAATGCTAGTACGCGTGACTCGTCATCCACATGGACCGAGTTCACCGTCACCAGCTCGCCCGACAGCAAGGCGCTAGTTAAGAACTGCTCCGGCCTGATTCTAGTCGAGTACGAGCCTGCACCAGGCTCCGAGGCCAGCCAGGAGCGGACGCTGGAGCTGCAGGCGCTGACGTCTCAGTACGACGAAGCAAAAGCCTCCTGCAATAGCCGGATTGACTCCACCGAGTTCTACAGTGACTTAAGCGCAGTGGGTCTACAGTACGGCCCCGCGTTTGCTAATGTCCGCGAAGCCCGCAACCGCGACGGACAGAGCTATGGGTTGGTGGAAATTCCAGATGTGCCAGCTTGGACACCCGAAGGTTGTGATAGGCCGCATGTTATTCATCCAGGCACGCTCGATGCTATCTTCCACCTTGCCTTTGCTGCCGTCATGGGCGAGAATGCCCTCACTGCCATGGTCCCCAAGTCGATTGACGAGATTATCATCTCTGCCCACGTTCCCTGGACCCCAGGAGTCAAGCTCCCCGGCTTTGCAAACTCGGCGAAGCATGGTTTCCGTGAGCTCAAGTCCGATATCCTCATGCTCGATGACAATGAGCATCTTCCGGCTGTCGACATTCGGGGCTTTTTGTGCGCCGAGGTGGCCGGCGGCTCAGCAAGCAACACGCAGACTGCAGCCAAATCCATTACCAGCAAGCTGGTGTGGAGGCCTGCTGTTGACCTGCTGACGACTGAAGAACTTCAGCGGGCCCTTGATCCCATTCGCGGGACCGAAAAAGTGGCTGAATATGTGAAGCTCCTTCACCATTCAAATCCAGCCCTGTCAGTGTTGGAGATCGCATCTAACTCTTCTCTGCTCACTCATGGTGACCTTTCCAACATATCCAAGACCGGAGAGGTTACCATCGCATGTGGGGATGCTGAGCTGAAGGCGAAGCTGGATGAAACCGCCCACGATGCCCTCATTGAATCCCTAGATTTCACTGAGGAACTCCTTCCGGAGTCGCTCGAAGGTCGAAGTTACGATGTGGTCATTCTATCAGATCTCGACTCATTCGACTCACAAGCAGAGCTTACGCTCTCAAACATCGCGAAGGTCCTGAAGCCTGATGGCAGTGTTTGCTTCTCTGCAGACAAAGACGCTGTAGTCAAGTTCCAGTCTTATGCTAATGAGTTACTCACGACAGTGTTCCAATCGGCGGAACACAGTTTTGTTATAGGGCAAAAGAGCTTGCATGCCAACGGCATCAACGGTACAAATGGGCGTGCCGAGCCAGATCTTATCACACTCATCCAGCCCGCCGAACTGACCGAGAAAGCTCGAGCAGCGGCATCTGATATCGGCACAGCCCTCCAGGGTCATGGCTATGAGATCGACACGTTTTCCTGGGGCTCCGACGTATCCTCCCTCGCAGGCAAGACGTGCATTTCCCTACTTGAATTACAGGAATCCATCCTTCAGGACCTCGCCAAGAGCGACTTCGAGAACATCAAGAAGTTGATTCTAGCCTCCGCAAGCGTTTTCTGGGTCACTACCTTTGACGATCCGAGCTCGAGCATGATTGACGGTCTGGCTCGAGTCGTGCGCAACGAGACACCAGGCCTATCTCTTCGCACTTTCCATGCTGGCGAGGCTTTACTCTCCTCATCAGCTCGCTTGGCCAAATTGGTCAGCACTGCCTTCAATTCGAAGTCTGAAGAAGACGAGTATTTAGTCAAGGATGACCTCTTGCACGTTAGTCGTATCGAAGAAAACGTTGCATTGAACGATCAGATCAACGACCTGCTTCCCGGCGCGGCCTCTACCATCACTAGTATGCCACTAAAAGACGCGAAATTTGGTCTGAAAATGTGTATTCAGACACCAGGTATGCTAGATTCGGTTTGTATGGAAATCGATGAGTTAGCTGGAACAGAGCTTGAGCCGAACTACGTTGAGATCCAGGTGAAGGCTTCGTCAGTCAAGTAAGCAATCACTCATGTGAACGAAAAACCCCGATATTACTAAACTAACACTATCTCAGTTTCCGCGACGTCATGGCAGCGATGGGCCAACTCCCCGATTCGAGACTTGGCCTTGACGCGGCCGGCCTAGTCCGTCGCGTGGGCAGCGCCGTAACGAAATTCAAGGTCGGTGATAGAGTAGCAGTGTACGGTCACGGCGCGCACAGAACTATCCATCGGACTCGAGATGAGCTTTGCGCCCTAATTCCCGAGGGAATGACCTTTGAGCAAGCCGCCGCCGTCCCAGCCATCCATGGTACGGCGTGGAATGCGCTTGTCCGGCTGGCTAGAGTCCAAAAGGGACAGTCGATCCTCATTCATGCTGCCGCCGGCGGAGTCGGTCAAGCAGCTATCCAGATTGCGAGGCACTTCGAACTGGAAATCTTCGCAACTGTGTCATCCGAGACCAAGAGAAAGTTACTCCGTGACACCTATGGGATCCCAGACGACCACATTTTCAATTCTCGGGCCCTCAGTTTTGTCAAGGGCATCAAGCGCATGACAAATGGGCGCGGTGTCGACGTTATTCTCAATTCGCTTTCTGGTGAAACTCTCCGCCAGACGTGGCACTGCATCGCGCCGTTTGGCTACTTTATCGAGATCGGTCTGCGAGATATCCTTGCCAACACGGGCCTAGACATGGCACCATTCCAACAAGATGCAACGTTCACTTTCTTCAATCTCAATCATCTTGAGCAAGACAGGCCAGACATCCTGGCTACCATCATCGAAGGCGCCTTCGACCTTTTCCGTCGCGGAATATCGAAGCCGGTGGAACCCCTTGTTAGCTACCCGATTTCCGAAGTTGAGACTGCGTTGCGTCTCATGCAGGCAGGCAAGTATTTGGGTAAGCAGGTCTTCACCTGGGGCGACGACGATGTAGTACCGGTAATCCAGCCGCCAAAGAGTAGCCTTAAGCTCGACCCTGAAGGGGTTTATGTGCTTGTTGGTGGCCTCGGTGGACTGGGAAGGAGTCTCTCCATGAAACTGGTTCAGCTCGGTGCCCGAAAGCTGTGCTTCTTCTCTCGTTCTGGCGCCAAATCCGCTGCTGCAAAAGAGTTGGTTCACGACCTCGAGCAGCTGAATGTCCAGGTACAAGCTCTTGTGTGCGACGTCGCCGACGACAGCGCAGTCGCAGCCTCGATCGCCAAATGCTCACAAGAACTTGGCACCATCCGCGGAATCTTCCAATGTAAGGACTATAGCTCACTTTACCCTATCTATTAGCTAATCCCGTTTTTAGGCGCCATGGTCCTCCGCGACACCCTTTTCGTCAACATGACGCACCAGCAATGGCTTGAAGCCACACGCCCCAAGGTCCAGGGCAGCTGGAACCTTTCCAAACGTCTTCCCAATGTGGACTTTTTCATCTCGCTCAGCTCTTTCGCCGCCGTCTACGGTAACCGTGGACAGACCAACTACAGTGCTGCGGGAGCCTACGAAGATGCGCTAGCCTATCATCGTCGCGCTCAGGGACAGCGCGCTACGACGGTCGATCTCGGCATAATGCGCGACATTGGTGTGTTAGCGGAGACCGGCATCACGGAGAGCTTGATGGAGTGGGAGAAGCCCTACGGCATTCGAGAGCCCGAGTTCCACGCTCTGATGGAGCGCGCCATCGACGGCGACATTCACGCCACCGGCGGAGCGCAAGTCATCACCGGCCTCGCCACCGGCGGCAGCGCCATCGCCGCTGGGATCGACGCTCCGTTCTACCTCGACAGCAAGCGCTTCAGCATCATGGCCCTCACCGGCACCCGCAACCAGGATTCCGGCGCCGACTCCGCCTCTGCCTCGGCACCGACACACACGCTCATTGCAGCGGCCGAATCTCTCGAGGAAGCAGCCACCGCTATCACCAATGCGCTCGTCAAGCAGGTTGCGAAGATGCTGCAGATGCCTGTTGAGGAGATTGATGTGGAGCGGTTCTTGCACAGCTATGGTATTGACAGTTTGGTGGCGATTGAGCTTATGAACTGGGCGTTGAAAGAGTTGAAGACTAGTGTTACGGTGTTTGATGTGTTGGCGGGTGTGCCGATATCGACTTTTGCGACGAAGTTGGCGGCGAAGAGTACGGTTTTGCCGGCGGCTTTGAAGCCTGAGTGAGTTGGAAAGTTATGATCTTTTTTAGTATCAATGGAGTTATGATTTTTCATTTTGTTCCTTTTTACTCTTTAGGTGTTACGGTATATAGAATGGATTATGTTACAAAGGTTATAAAAAGGGCGCCATGATTCGGACATACCTCGAACATACTACGTGACCTTTTGACATTCTGATTGCATTAACGATCAATCCACTACTGTCTGATTAATACATTCACTGCAGGATAACCCGACTCCCGGTTTGCCCATGTACTATAGTAAACACCACAACGAGGCTACTTCCTCGCCTACACATAACAACATGCAGCTGCTAAGGCGACTAGCAGTCTACAAGTTGGCCACGGCGTGTGCGGATTGCTCCACCAGTGAATCATGAGGATGAGTTTGATGAGTACCTGCGGGCTAGTCTCAATAGAAAAGGGACCTCTATAAGGTGCGAAATTGGATGGTCTAGGCATCATCCTCAGCGTCTTGGCGCTTGTGAATGTTTGAATTTGAACCTCTGATGAAAGCGTTGTGGAAGCGGACTATTGCCTTGTGCCGTACACGGTCCTAGGTAGCCTAGCAAAGACCTGTCCCTTAGATGAAATCGCCCTTGGTCGCATTACCATATTCTTTCAGGAGATCCGGACGCCTCTCTTAGCACGCTTGCTGATCTCCGAAACCCGTCAGCGTAATACAGCTCCTAGACGCGTCCGATGAACTAACGTCGTTCACCCAACTAACGAGTATTGGTGGACTGTTCCGCGAGCAGTTTTAGTCACGCTTAGAGGAATTTGGACTAGCCGCTCGCCCCTCCCTCAAATCCTCGCCAATTCTCGGGAGTGGCTGATTCTCGCTTCCTCTTCCTGGGTGAACGACATTCAGAACTCACACATCTGCAGCTGCAGCCCAATTCATGCAAAAGCCGAGTGCCAACGACAAATATGGAAGGAGGCTGACAGTGACATCGCTAGTGGCACGACAGCTACGGCCGGGCCCAGGACTACAAAAACCCGGGCTACGGAGTTTTGTGAACGGTGCGACAGGGCAGGGCTTGGTCCGTTGACCGACAAGGATGAGCAACGTGTGGCCTAGGAAGAACCCTGCATTAGTGACGGTTCGGGCAAATGCAAAAAGTCCTCGTTATAAAGTTTTCGGGTTATAGCGATATATTCAATACAGTGCTGTTTTTTCGCCGGACTGTCCAGTTTTGTGAGGGCTATTATAATAACTTGCTTACTATGGTATCATAAGCCCCGGCTCACCAATATTACACTGACCAGGGGCTTTTTTATATGGAGGAGTGCCCCCTTGACCTTGCTGTTTTGGAGACCATTGGTATACAAATCACTTACATGTGACTCTTGATACAGTAATACCCTCCATAGCCCTCCGAAAAGCCGTATGACTATACCAAGGTTTTACTGCGTAGAGGCCATGCTACGGACCGTTCCACTCGAACCCGACATCCGGCCGGAGCCTTACCCGTGAGACGCAACAGCACTGAATGCATAGATACAAAGGGTGCACCGAGGAAGTGTAACTTCATGCATATTTTCCCCAACGCCCCAAACAAAAAAAAACAAAGAAAACAGAAACGCCGCCGTGCTAAAATGTTCATCATGCATCACAAACTCAATGAAATAAAAAATGCTATGCAAGCGCTGAATCCATCGTCTCGTCTCTCGCGGGCACTGAAAACATTCTCTTGACGTCACCGGCCTTCTTCTCGAGCCATATGCGCGTGTAATCGCACGCAATCATAAACGCCGTGTGCCGCGACGGGTCTGGGAGGCCGGCCCACTGGTTGTGCAGATCGCGCAGATACAGTGTAAGCTGCGACAGCAGCCGCTCCAGCTTGCGGAATGACAGCAGGTACAGCCGCTGTCGGAGGTCCATCTCGTCGTCCTCCTCTAGTTCGAGCACGCCCCACGACAGCCGCGGCTCCATGAGGCCTCCCAGGGACATGTTGGTTGGCGTGTTGGCCCGGCTGGGCATGGGCATGGGCTTGGTCCCCCTCTCGGCGTTCCCCAAGGTCGCCATCTCGGCCGCCGACGACGACGACGACGCCTTGCGCGGCGCGGAGTCGTTGGCGAGCATCTTGAAGTCGTCAATAACGTAGCCGATGAGCATGGCCACGGCCATGATGTGGATGGGCTCGGAGTCCTCGCCGCCGTGCGAGCACGCCATCGACGTTTCGGACGACATGATGCAAAGCTTCAGCTTGGCGAGCTGCGCGTCGAGTGACAGCCGCTGGTCGTTGCTGGTGCCGCTGCCGCGCATCGACGCCAGCAGCTCCGTGACGCCCGCGTGGCAAGTGCATTCACCCTCGCCGCTCAGCGCCCAGCACATCCCCATGTCGAGGGCGTCGCCATTGTGGTTGGTGCCGAAGAGGGATCCCAGGACCCAAGGTTTGGTGTTGGCGTAATCGGCTCCCGTCGTTGCGAACTGCCCAGGCGCCATGCTGCTGGTGCTTCCTAGGCCGCTAAAGTCCATCATCGGCGCGGGTTCGGTTGGCATCGGAAACATGTAATCGGCGAGAAGGTTTGCATTATTATTGTGCGTCGCGGCCGGTTCGTCGGGCATCGCACAACCATTGAACTGGGCCGCAGTGTTACTCGAATCGTTGAATTGGGTCGCAGGGTTGCTCGTAATGTTGCTATTGCCGTTGGTACTGGCACGAGTATCGTCGGTGGATGAGGCCCGCGGAGGCCTCCCTGACCGCGAAAGCCCCCTCCCTCGCTGCGATGGGGGGATCGAAATGGGTGGCGCGTCCTTGTGTGTTCTCCGCGACAGACCGTAGATGCACTCAGTTTCGTTGCGCTCACACCTTGAGCACGTCGGCTTTCGCTGGCTGCACCGCACTTTGGACTCGTTGCAGGCGTTGCACGACGCTCGTAGTCGCATCCTGTTGTCGTCCGTCATTGCTGGCCAATTTGACATTGTCGTTGATGATGTCTGCTCGCTGTTAGCGATGTTCGATGAAAGATACAGGAGGCGCCTTACAACCTACTGTAGAATGAAGTGACAGTGTTAAGTTATCTAATAGGAGACACAGGTTGTTAGTCGCAGGTGGCCAAGGAAATAAGAGCACGGTGGCGCAGCTTACCGGGAATGTCTAAACAGCATGAAATTCGAGGCATGCGTATTGAATAAACCTGGCTTCTGTCGAGCTTGCTAGTCTTATGTATGCTGTGCTCCTACATCGCACACACCGTGATCAACGACCATTGTGGGTTCCTACATCCCGTACACCGAGCTACCGTGATCAACGACGATGGGCGTTTTCTAATAGGTGGAGCGAGCAGCGCTATGCGGACATAGGTAAGATCCCAGCCACGCTGACGGGTGCTGGGGCCTACGGCGGGACACCTGATATTCGATTCAACGCACCAAGTGGGGATATTCTGACCGCTTGACGGAGTCCGAGAGAGGTCACGCGCTTGCAACCGAATAGGTTTAGAAATTTCGGCGTTGTTGGTTGCAAAGCCTTTGGAAACCGCTGGCCTAGGGGGGGTGAGACGTCATGTTCAGGACTTGATTCGAGAGGCACAGAGTAGATATTCGCACGTTTTCTCAAAGAAGACTCGAAATGCGCGGACTTTTTAACGACCTTGGAGAACTTCCTGTGTAAGTATAGTCTGTCAGGGCGTGAACGTCACAACCCCCATTAAATGACCAATGGAATCTCATGCTTCATTTGCACTGAACTCCAATATAAGTGCTCTCTCCGCTCGCAAATAGACGTACGCATCACATCAAGAGGCGACTCGTTGTGAAATAAGGCCTCAAGGTTATGCGCGACGATGGGGAAGACACGTAGGTGAAGGAGGAACCAGAGGATTGACACGGAAATCAAGAAGTGAAACACCAGCCAAGAAATCGAAATACAATTTGATATACAATTGAAAAGCTTCATTGGTGAGAATGCTACACGCGTTGAAATGCACGTGAAAATGTATGAGAAAACACGGAGATCGGTGTTTACGAATCATCGTTGTACAATCCCGTCCTGGACGGACTGAGTGCGATGTTTCGTGCACGGTGGTGCTGTGGTCGTCAGTCCGTTCAGGGCGGGGCGGGGGACTGTATATTGGTTCCGGGGGGCGCCAAGAGCCCACCAGTACGCGCACTCTCTCCGACTGATCGGTTCCTTCACCATCCTTGGGGCGCTTTTGACTTTTGACTTCGGTCCCCTCTGCCGCGAGCCACTCAGCGCCGCCCGCCAGCCTCGAGGCAATCTGCGGCTGCACGTGGCGGCCATGCCACGACTCCCGAAGCCCCGGTCGCGCCATGCGATGATGCTATCGTCGATCAACTCCAACCAACGTCACCCCGCGTCAACGTCCGTGCGACGCGGCTCCTCGTAGTCCTCGGCCTTTGGAAACTTAGAGCCTCTCTTCACGTCCGGTGGTTCAGCGCTAAACCGGAGTCGATCCTGGTCAGCCTCCTCTCTGGGCTAATACGTGGTCGGCTTGAAGGGCGATTGGCTAGACTGCTGTTTCCGTCTAAGGCGCCCAGAGTTGCTACCTCGTGCGGTAATTTTGTGGCTTGGTTTTAGAGGGTGACCACCGGACATGAAGAGAGGCTGTATTGTTGTTGCGTTTCAGACTTGCAGCGGTAGCAAGGTGGACGTGAGCAAGGCTGTCACGGACGGATTGCCTCGTGCGGCGAATGTTTACATTTCCGACGCCGCCTTCGTGCCGTATGCGGCTGCGTCAAAGTAATTAAGCGGGAAATTGATGTCATCCGATATATTCTCGTTCGCCAGCGCTCGTCCGGTGTCTAAATGGCCTGACATTGATATGGCGCCACATCAAACGTGCTTCATTTCTTCAGTGAGGACATCCTGATTCTCCTGCCCGAGCGAATCCGCAAAGTAGTGCGCGGTGGACATGTGTGGCATGGTGATGGCCATACTTTCCTATGGATCCTTAAGGGAACTGGCGGGCAATGAGTCTGAGCGAAGCCGCCGTGTGATGGTGCGTGGATTACGTGCGATGGTCCTAAAGCCTTTCCAGACATGTCCGGCTTCGATCATCCGAATGGTTGGACCCTTAGGATCATCAATGGTGTGGAAGAAGTGTGTGTCGCCGTTGAAGCCTAACAACAACTCGACGAGCTATGCGAACTTAGGCGTGGGCTGCGCAGGTCTTGATCGCGCTGCTTCCTGAAGTTGTTGAATTCTTGAGGTTCGGTAGATATTCGGGCAGCTAGTGCACGTGACGTATAGGAAGCATTCTGGAGATACTGGATCCATCATATATTGTAGGAGATCTGGTATAGAAATGGCTGCACGGACCTCTTTCAAGGTGTATGTATAGCTAGCTAGGATTTCCACGTAGAATCGACATCTGTTGTCCTCCGTTTCACAGTCACGTGAGCGAAAATATCTCAAAGACATCGAGAACGACGCCAAAAAAGTCCTTGCGAATCAAGTTTGAAGTATCTCGAATAGCCCAAAGACCCGACATCAAACCCAATCATCGAAGCTGAGCGTCATTCCAAAAGCACTTGAGAGCCTACTTCAACTTCCGCACTCCGCCATCTCAAAAGACGCTTAAAAGTGTGTTCATTTTGCACCACCAGTCCCATTTTGGTTCCCGAATTCTAGATAGGTAGTAGTACACCGAACTCCCCCTAGAACCTCCCAAACCATGACTCAGAACTTGAAGCTATTACTCGTGCCTAATGCTTCAAGCTCAAGCAATATACCCCTCCCCGTTCCCCAGAACCGCTGCACTCCTCCGCGCGTCCAAGAACAGACTCTCGCACTCTTCCACCTCCTCCACTCCAATAACGCCCCCTTCCTTCCCGCCCACCTTCGCTAGTACACTCGCCGGTGCAAGCAGCTGCAGCGCATACCTCAAGCTTACGCTCTCGCCCAGCTTGCCTACTCTTTCTAGCGCGGGCTCCGACACGGCGAGCCCTTCGGTGCGGGCGCGGGAGCGGATGATGGAGCGGATTTCGGGCGGCGTGTAGGGGTGGGTTGGGATGATGAGGAGGCGGGCGAGGAGGTCCGGGGGCAGGCCGTGGGCGCTGGGGGGGAGGGAGTCGGAGCCGCGGATGCGGGTGGCGCCACGGTTGGAGGCGAGGATGACGAGAGGGGAGAGGGGGGATTCGAGGGCGCGGTTGAGGTAGGTGAAAGATTCGAGGTCGAGCATGTGGACCTAGTACAGCTATTAGCGACCTTGTGACAGAAAAGGGGTGGATGCGATGAAGAAGGGAGGGTTTGAAGTACCTCGTCGATAAACAGCACACCCGGAACAAGATCTGCGACGCCCTGGTCAATGTACTTGTTGACAACCTTGTTGATCTCCAGTCGCAGCTTCTCTGTGATTTCTGTCTTCTTGGGCTTCATCAGCTGGCCCATCATGCTCATGATGTCCTGTCCGCCCTGCGGCCTGGCATTCGCGACATCGAGATCGTGAAGCGTGACATCCTGCACGATCTCCTTCTTCTTGTGCACGTCGCCCTTGGGTATAGGGACGTATTCCTCGGCCTCGAGGTCGAATTCTGTGGCATACGCATCTGACCGTCCCACGCGCTTAACAGCTCCGGTGTTGGCCTCGATGTAGATGACGTCGCCTAGCCGCACACGCTCTTTCTGTATGGCTTCGTAGATTGACGGATCGAGCCGTAGCTTCTTGGTACCGCGCGCGGACTTCATCGTGATGAGCAGGTGCGAGATGGTGCGGCCGTAGCCACCCAGCGGGTTTTCGGCCTCTTCGGGCGTCAGTTCTGTGACTTCGCCTTCGTAGACTTCTTTTGTTTCGCGGACGCGGAGGCCTATAATTCAACGACTTGTCAGCTTAATGTTGCACACATCAAGGACGGCTTCATCGTGCTGTTTCCGCAGGGCAAGCTCACCTATCGCGCGTCTAAAATTCTCCATCAACGCCTCCGTCTTCTTAACTTCGGCAGAGTATATCTCGCTCCCCACAATCGGGCAAAACGGCACCTTGGTACCCAGCTCCTGGCTCACAGCAAGCGCGAGCGCTGTTTTCCCTGTACCAGGGCCACCCGCGAGGAGCACGGCGCGGCCAGACATTTTCTTCGCGCGGACGAGGTCGACTACTACGCCGCATGCCTATTCATCCTCCCGTATTAGCATGCTAGATCATTTCAATACCACCCTCATCGCGCACATGGAGCCATAGGGAGGATCTGAGCGCAAGATCGTAAAGGAATGCCATACCTCTCGCGCAGCAGTCTGCCCAATAAAGCCCCCGCTGGTCTGATCGGCGCGGCCATCAGGTCGTAAGCCTAGTCCTTTGATGTGGGAGTGCGCGGCAGTTCTGTTCTCGCGCGAATTATTGCCCTTAACCTCGCTGATCTGAACGGGTGCCATGATGGGTTGCGATCGGAAGGATGTTTTTGCGAGGAGAGTAGGTTGCAGGCGCGCACGGGGGCAATGCGTATGAGGAGGCGAAGCAATGCGGTCGCAGACCTATCAAGCGGCGGCGGCGGGGTAGACTCAGTTGGGATCGCGAGAGTGGTTGGGGCGGCCGGTGAGAGATGTTTGGCGTGGTGTTGGTGAAGCTCAGAAATTGAACGAATCGCGAGAGCTCGGCCCTGGCATTTTGCCAGGCGGTGAATTCATGGCTTGGAGTGCTTCAGACGTCGTTTTAAGCCCGACAAAATGTACGCTCTACCAGTCTAATACAGGTCGTCTAGAAATTACATAGATTGAGTCCAGAATCCATATTGCTTGGGAGACCTCCAACATGCTAAACATATGGCCAGTTGGCAGCCGAATCGCACCAAGCGCACTTCATTGGAAACTGCTAATTATTTTGTCCTGGGCAAGACGGATCACAGGAATAATCCGCATTTGGGATTTGCATTTTTGTTTCTTCTCGATGAATGTCCACTATCATAAGTGTCCACCTCCATGCTCCATCTCCTAGTGTACATACGGCCGCAGTCTCTCACCCTACGTCCACTGTCTCGCCATCCCATCCCGTCCCTTTCCATGTCAGAAGCGGAAGGCTGGTCGAGCTAAGCACCGACCCTTCAACCCCCAATTTGTGACCGACTTGAATCCTCCCCAGTCCGGTCCACCGAAATACCGGACAGCATCCGCACTCGTATCGCAGGCATAACTAGTTCCAGCAAAAATCCACTGTCATCCACCAGGTAAGGTATGCACAAGAAAGGAAGCAAAGAGTAAGAGCCGAGTCGATGGCTCGGAGAGTAGGGAAGAGGGTCGGAGGATCGGAGCTTGAGTATGACCTGCATTGTAGATGCCTACGAAGAGATGCAAACCATCCTTGACGCATCCCCAAAGCCCCTGAATGGAGCTAGGTGAAACTCCTCGTAAGCCAGTTTGTTGGAAAGGATCATTAATGTGTTTTTCGGTGTTATAGCGCTCGATTATTGATTGAACAGCCGGCCAAGTGTTGAAGGCTAAGCAATCAACTGACAGCCGAACTGGCATAGCAGGATAATGAGAGACGCCTATTCCTCCTCGCTTTCGGAACCGCTCTCATCGTCGTCCTCACTAGAGTCATCGTTTTGAGCGGCTGTAAACTGTTAGAAAAAGGACCATCATCATGATCGATGGAGGAAACTTACCAGGAGGGGATTGGTCAGAATTGGAGGCGTTGGCATCAAAGTTCTGCAGCTGCTGCCTGATTTGCTTAATCTTATTTTCCTGTTCTTCCTTGCCCATGGGCTTGTTCTTCTTGGGCTTCGAGGGGGCTGGAGCCTTGGGTGCACGTCCTCGGGGTGCGAAATCATCGTCGTCGCGGACTTTTGGACCCTTGACGGATTTGATGAATGATAGGAGTTTGCGAAGAGTGGCGTCATTGATCTCGTCCATATCGATTTCCATCTCGTCGTCATTGACGGCCTGCGTCTGTTAGTATAATCAAAATACACATTAGATAAGTCAACTTACGGCCAAATGAGGGACACCGTTGCGGATGATCTGGACAGCTTTCCGCATATCCACATCGCCTAGGGTGCTGATACCATCTGAGATCTCCTGCTTCTGAGCAAAGCTTAATGGCGCAGGTTCCTTTTCCTGTCTGCGCTGCTTTGAGTGTTTCAAAGGGGGCACAAGAGTACTGCTCTTCCTCTTTGGTGCTTGCTTTGCCGAACTCTTCGAACCCTTCTTGGTAGGAGCCTTCGGGGACATCCTCTTTCCGGCTTTTTGTTGTATGAGTCGTTGGGCTTTCTCGTTGAGTTGCGCCATTTGCTGCTGAAGAGCCATCAGTTCGGCAGTTTGCGCATCGACTTCGTCGTCGTCTTCCTCCTCCTCTTCAGAGTCTGTTGGTGATGGCGGCTGTGACGCTTCACGGTTGTTAGCGAGCCAATCGCTCTTTTCTGCCCACAGTTCCTCGAATACAGCCTGGAAGTCTTTCCCCATCTTGTGCACAACGTCCTCAGGCGGGTTGAACTTGTAGCAGTTATCGAATATCAGTTTGACGTCGGAGTAGAATTCTTTTGAGGTCTGATATAGTCCTTCCTTCAAGTTTCTCTCGACAGTAGACAGATCCATAGGTTTCTTGATGATCCGAAGATAATTAGGAATGTTCAGCGCCACGGGGTCCACAGGCTGCATGAATGGCATTGCAAGAGCCTTGTATTTTGGCTTCGTCAGCGCAGAGAGTACCGACTCGCAGAACTTCATTTCAAGTTGGTACTTCTTCTTCTTAGGTTTGACGCTATTATATGGAAGATCCTTGGGCGGAGGCCGGTGGATTTCGCGCTTCGGTCGATCAGTGGCATTCGACGAGTCACGTCGAATGATAGGCGTGCCATCATGATTCAGGGGGAAAAGGTTCTGAGGAGAGGTGACCGTCGGGGTGGCAACGACGGGAGAAGCTACAGGGATTGCTGCAGCCCGAGATTCCCGGCGTGGCTTGCTTGTTGTCGACACCACAGGCTTCTTTAGCCTCTTATGGGCAGGCTGTTGAGGGATTTCGTCTCGAGGCAGCTTTATCATGCCTTTTAGGAAGTAGGCTCGCATGTTGAGACCTGCTTGAGAAACCGGATGAGCAATGCCGTTGAAAGCTATGCTGTTGTCGACGACGAGATCGAGATCCATCATGAACTCTGTGACCGAAGCATACTTATCCGTCTTCAATTTTGTTTCCATGTCCTGAAGAGACATCGGGTTCTTGACAAAATCGGGGTAGTTGGGGATGCCGAGAGCCACAGGGTCCACGGGGTCCCGGAATGCGGTTGAGACCTTGATCTTCTTTGTGTTCCTGACGCGCTCAAGCAGGAACTTGTTTTGCGCCTTGTTGATTGGACCTGGAGGCCATGGTTGCGCATCGACAGCTCTCTGTATCGAAGCTTGGTCGGCGATCGTCAATGTTCCATCAGCGGGATGGTTTTCCTTGGGACCTGGCACCTCTGGCATCTTGAACTCGGTGGAATTCACCATCTCTTCATCCGTCTTTGTCCGTTTCGCTGACGGCTCCTCTTCGTCATCATCTTCCCTCGAGCGCACTTTGCCTGCTGATGGCACATCCGTCATCTCTTGGTCGACCGTGATTGGCGATTGGGTGAAAGACATCTCAGCCAGTGCAGCTTCGGGTTGTGTCTCCACTGTCAACTGGTCCTCAATGGGTGTATGAGTGCCGGCCTTTAGCGTGGTGATATCTCCAGACGGCTCAAGGACCTCGGTGGCGGGTGCGAGGAATGAATCCATCTCAGTGTCCATCTCAGTGTCCTGTGTGACGAGCGCAGCAGGCGCATAAGAATCGCTTTTCGAGAATTCCTGCGAAACATCCTCTGAGACCTCCTGAGAGACTTCTCGAAGCACCTCCTGCGATATATCCATAACATCGGTTGTCTGCGGCTTGCTCACGGGCTCTGCCACAGATTGGGGGGCGAGGTCTGTCTCTCCCGCACTTGCGCCAACGATGTCCGTCTCCGGCTCTCGAGCAGTGGGCACTGACCGGGTGTCCTCCCTGATATCTGAGGTGGGAGCCTCGACTGCGGTGGTGATAGACGTATCGGTGGTGGTTTCGGGGATGAATTGGGCTATGGGCGCAATGCCACTAGAGACGTCGGTGATGGGAGCCGGCGCATCCTCCACTAATGTTTGGTCTTCGACTGGAACATGGTTTCCGTTTCCGTTGATGGCGACTGGCTCCTCCAGAACAGGTTCGGCAGGCTGCGCTGACGGATCGAGTGAGGGGATTTCAGGTTCATCAAAGAGGGCGTCGTACTTGTGCGCGATTCTGGTATATTGATAAATACATGTGCCGCTGAGACAAAGGAGACAGCAAAGCGCGCGGTGGAGGGCAGACTCACCCGTTGACTTCAGAATCCAGAATCATCGTTTCCGAGAGCACCGGCGGCGCCTTGCCCTCGAATGGCGCTGTGTCGAAGGCAGATGATGTCATCACGGCCATCAGTAGTCCATCCACGGCGCGGTCCTGATGCGATCTTTATGGGCGGGTTGTTTGTCGCGCGCGACAGCCGGACGGTGATAGACGTGGCGCGACACGCGACGGGCAGGCCAGGAAGCGCTAGAAGTGGCAGCACAGTCCTCGAGAGTGGATGCGCAGGCTGGGCGACGAGATGCGCGCAGTGAGGTGAGATGGAGTCGGTGAGGCCGTGGCGGGGGTGTCGGCGATGGTGTGGCGGTGTTTGGAGACGGCGAAAACAAAGGCGGCCGGGCTGCGACTTAAGTTAAGTCTGGGGCGAAGCGTGCACGTGACAGCCTGTGGGCAAGTTCGGTTAGATGAGTCACGGTTGTGAAACGGCGTGAGGACGCGTGTTGATGCGGCGCAGAGCGCGACGGCGAGGGGCGTGAGGGGCGGCGCAGGGATGGGGAAGTAAATAACAAAGACGGGAGTAAAAGACGCGCGATACTGACGACACGATGAGTGCTAGTGAAAGCAGCCGGTCGGCGCGGTGAGGCGATGGCAGCGATGGCAGATTCGGTGGGGGTGGTCGCGCGATATTATTGGGTTGCAGCACGGGGGCGGAGAGCGTCAACGAAGGACGAGACGGCGGGCCAGCTCTTTAAAGAAAATCCGGCCCTGGAAAAGGAGGGGTCACGTGGCCGCGGTCCGTGCGGGCTAAGCTCTGCTCGCTCAGAAAAATTTCGCCCGCCAGCGCCAGGCAGAGAACACCAAGCATCGCCCTTTTCGCATCACCACCTGCCTCCAGCTCGCCATGTCGCGCCCACGCCCCCAGGGCACCTCGCAGCCGCCCTCGAAGCGGGCCAAGCTGTCCCAGGAGCCTCCCAAGGCCGGCCTCGAGGGCCTCGTCAACGGCACGCACGGCAAGAAGCCCCAATTTTCCGCAAAGACGAACGGCGTGCACAGCACACGGCAGGACCGGGCTGATGAGTCGAGGACCGTCATGGCAGTTGGCGACAGCAGCCGCCAGGGGTTCGTCGCCGTGGAAGATGTGGCCGGAGAAGAGATCGTAATGATTAGCAGCGGCGAGGAGGACAGCGACGATGACAGCTCCGACAGCGACAAGGAGGAGGAGCAAAATGACGCTGGAGCTGGAGCACAAGTGGAAGATGATGCGGATGCGCCTGCGACAATCCAGCTTGAGAACGGCGGCGTCGACTCTGCCACCGAGCCCACCTTTGGAGAGCTCCTCCGAGCACACGCGCCAGACGTGATTGACGTCCAGGCCTCTTACATCGATCCCCACGCCGACTTCAGCGCCGTCACCGCCTTACCCGCCGAACGACGCCTCTCTGTTCCCACTGGGGCCTCTCTCGGCACCGTCCTCACACAAGCTCTGAAAACTAACGACCGGCAACTGCTCGAATCATGCTTCCGCTTCAACGAGCTCGACAGCGTGCGGAACACTGTTGAAAGGCTCCCATCGAAGCTGGTCGCAACCCTGCTGCAGAAGCTAGCCGAGCGATTACACAAACGACCCGGGCGCGCCGGTCATCTCATGGTGTGGGTACAATGGGTGATCATTGCACACGGCGCATACCTTGCCGGCCAGCCCAAAGTGGTCAAGCAGCTCACAGAGCTCAACCGCGTGCTCAAACAGCGTGCAAGCGGCTTACAACCACTACTGTCCCTCAAAGGCAGGCTTGACATGCTAAAAGCTCAGGTTACCCTCAGGGAGGACATTCAAACCCGAGCCGCAATGGTAGACGAAGACGACGAACCTGTGATCTACGTCGAACCAAGAGAGGAGGAAGCTCAAAAACAGCCTATGACGAGGAAGGACTTGATCATTGAAAATCACGACAACACCAACAGCTCGGGCGATGAAATGCCCACAACGATGAACGACATCAGCGACTCGGAAGTTGACAGCCAAGACTCTGAGGACTTGGTTGATGACGAGGCAGAGGAGACGGACGACGACTCTGGCGACGACGTGTCAGGGTCAGAGTCAGAGGTCGAAAGCGACATGGAGTTGGGCGACGCAGACGACATATCAGAGAGCGAAGAGGAGTCGATGTCAACGGCACGTCCGAAAGTCTTACGTCGAAATTAACCAAAAGCCCCGTTTTCATCTCCATTTCCCTCGGCGCTCACTTGTGCCCCCACAGTCGGATGGGATCGCTATTTCTGTCTTGCATGTTTTGCAAATAACGTCACGTAAATGGAGGTCTTTGTTTCAGTTTATATCTGCCGCATGAGGATATGAGTGGGCATGATATCCAGGCGTTGCTGTGTCGATTTTCGGGATTCACAATGTCAGCGACGTCTTAGGAGCCAGTTGCATAGCGCTGGATTCAGTGGACGAGCTGCTGATGGCATTGAGTATTTTTGTCTCGAGTTCGCTGAGCTGCTCATATGTAGCTGTTCAAAGAGTTCAAACAGAATCAATCAAATAGATCGATTACACCATGATGTGTATTCTGTATCAGTTGTCAAACACCACATATCAAAATTTATATACAAATCCCTGTAGCCATGGCGTGCGATTAGCGAGTTCCGCGTTTTGGTGGAGAAGCGGAGGCTTTCCGCCGCACTCTTCATCTTTACACGCCCGCCTGGGCATTTCCTCAAAAGGACCGAATCGAAAGATTATTCATTCTAAAGAGAACATGACCAATTTCACGATTGTACATCCCAACAGCATTTCTGCCCCAAGACAAACATCCGCCTTGCACACCAAGCCATACCATGTCGCGCACATCCACGCTGACCCATGCGAGCCAAGGCATCTCTCAACCTGCACTGCCTTCACCGGTTCAGCTAGAACCTCTTCGAGACGAGCGCAAGCACAATGGCAGCTTTTTGGATACACCGCCACTAGATGAGGCGGACCCCATTCCGTCCGATACGTCGCCAGAGACTGTGTCTCGGGAAGACAGCATAGAGTCGCATTTCAGGGGCACCTGGCATGAAATAACTTTCATATTGGTCGTCATAATGGCTCAACTGTTTTCTGTAAGCTCTTGCATGTCTCTGGTGCTTCCGATAGCTCACAGCTAGGCATCGATCATGCGGCTGACATCGGCAAGCAAATGAATCTAGGCAACACCATCATTCAAGCCGCCAGCATTGCTGACACCTTTCGAATCGGTGAAGTGCAGGAAAGCTGGTTTGTCGCAAGCTATAGGTTGGTTGACTTGCCGCTGGAGCTTGTGTGCTAGGCTGACAGTAGCACAGTACAACCGTAGGGGCCTTCGTGCTTGTTACCGGAAGACTCGGTGATATCTACGGGATCAAGACTCTCTGGATGATTGGGTGGACTTGGCTTGCCGTGTTCTCTCTTCTCTGTGGCTTCTGTGGCTATGTCCAATCTGCCGTCCTCTTCGATGTCTTTCGTGCTCTCATGGGAATTGGCCCTGCGACGCTGATGCCGAATGCGTCCGCGTTGTTAGGCACCGCCTTCCCGCCTGGCTTCAAAAAGAATCTTGCGTTTGCCATCTTTGGAGCTGTCGCTCCTGGAGGCTACGTTTTAGGCCTGACTTGGGGTGCTATCTTTACCCAGATCGCTGAAGATTGGCGATGGACGTATTGGAGTATGACGTTCCTCTGCCTGACCATGACATTTGCAGCCTGGCTCGTTATCCCATCCGAGCTGAATGTTAGCCACGGAGGATCATTCGATTGGCTTGGTAGCTTGGTCGGAATATCCGGGCTCGTTCTCATATTCTTCGCTTTCAAGTATGTATCCGACCACATGCGTTTGTCAAACCAGCTAACAACAGCCCAACAGCGGGGCTCCACTCTTCAGCTAGGGAGCTGTATACATACCCACCCTGCTAGTTGTAGGGCTATTGCTAATTGTCTTGTTCGTGCTCATTGAGAATCGCACCGAAGACCCCGTTATGCCCATGTCGATGTTCACGAAACCTGCCTTCGCTGCTGTTATCGTGAGCCTGGCATGTGGATGGATGAGCTTCGGAATGTTTCAATATTACGAACCCCAATTGTAAAGACAGTGTCATAACCCAAAAGGACCCCAAGCTGACGAACATAAAGTCTGATGCGCCTACGTGGTATCTCCATGATGGAGCTATGTCTCCAGGTACAATTTCTAGTCTATCCACCGTCTTCGCGCAAGCTAAATACCCTCAGTTGATCCCTTGTGCGGCTTGCGGCGCCTTCGCGGCAGCAACCGCCGTGTACCTCCTCCCACGAGTCCCGGCATGGACCGTCTTCCTTGCATCCATGTGCTTTTTCTGCATTTCGCAAATCCTCCTTGCATTGACCCCCGTCAACCAATCATATTGGCCAATGACGTTTCCGCTCACTGTACTCGTCTCCATTGGCCCTGACCTCAGTTTTGCGAGCGCAAGTTTAATCGTGAGTGATCAGGTTTCAAGAAAGCAGCAAGGGGCCGCGGGGAGTTTCATCAACACGGTCGTAAACTACTCGATTGGCCTGGGACTGGCTTTTGGTGGTAACATCGAAGTGTCTACTAACGATCATGGGAGAGATACATTGAAGGGGTATCGCTCTGCATGGTGGCTGGGCGCTGGGTTTGCGGGGCTGGGGGTTGTGCTCACGATCTTGTCGCGGAAGAAAATGCAGAGGCATAAGCAGGAGTAGGAGATGCATTGGCCATCGCCAGACTTCTTCATGATGAGAACAAAAGATTTAGCAACTCAAGGGCTAAGAGTCTTTGGCGTAATTAGGATCAAGAGCTCAAAAGAGAAACACTCGGTAAGACCTCTAAGAATCAACTCAGCGCACCATCCTATCCCTATAGAGAGCGAGATTGTATCAGAATATTCCATCAATACCATCCCCCTACAAATCTCTAGCAAACACCAAACATTTCAACCCAGTCTCACTTCCCAATTTTTTTATCCTCAGATAGTCAAAGAGATAGTTCCACACCAGCTGATCCCTTCCCCACTCTTATACCGCTCCCCCAAACTCTCAACACGCCCTATCCCAACCCCCATTCCCCTCAACCCCAACTATGCACCACCCGCCTCTCCGCCCACAACCCATCACACCACCAAACCCCCCCACCCTCCTCGCCACCCTCCACAACCTCGACGGCTCACGCGTCCGCCCTACAGACCTGCCACACCCTCTCATCCGCACCAACTCCGGCCATCTCAAACCCGACCACTACGCGAGGAGAGCTCCCCTACAGGTGACCAGAATCCGAGGTGAAGCATATCTTCCCCGCCACCCCTCCCCCCTTGCACCTCGCCAAAGCCCCTTACTCACAACTCTAGCATCCCATCGACGGATCTCTGATACGTCCAGTACGAGTCACTATCAACCACTCCGAGCTGAGCGCTATCGCGACATTGCGCTAGGTAGAGCCTCCCGCGTATCCACGTTCTCTTCTCCGTGGGCGCGCCACTACGAGTGTTCCGACGCAGCAAAGCGTGCGCACTGCGTTACTCTATCTGCGCTGCTGGCACTGATTGACGAGGCTGTGGCGTCGTGGAACGGAGCTGGCTGCACGGAGGGGGATAGTGTTGAGGCGAGGTATCGTGTGCTTCACGGGCGAGCCGTGGCGGCTGAGCGACTAGGCAGAGGATAAGCAACGCGCAGGGAGGTTAAAAGGATCGTGTGTGCACTCAACCCTCTACACCTGCAGCATACCCTCGGGGCGGTTGACAAGACAGCAAGCCAGATAAACCAATATCTAGATACGTCCTTTCGACTACTAAAACATCCAGCCCGCACATTCACCGCCCTATACACACACGCCCCGTAGAGCGCACCCCCCCACCCACCCGCCCACCCAATGCGACCCAATACCCGCCGAAGATGCATCCAGCCCTCCCGATTCGATGCCCATGCAATACGCTCACTCCCCCAAAAAAATGCCCAAAGCGGAAAGAAAATAATATAACAAAAAAAAAACGCCAGACCCAGAATTCTTTCCCCCGGAGAGAGAAGTCGTTACATTCGTACTCGTAATCCAACAACCAGCCCACCCCTCTTTATATAATTACGGCTTCCCATCCTCCATCACGCATACCGTACACTACTCTGTCTCACAAACCCCGGCGGCGGCAGCGGCGGCGCGGGAATATCCCCCGCCCCGCCCAAATCTCTCCGCCCCCCTTGGTAGAAGGGCGGCGGGGGGATGTTGTACTCCCCCTGGGGCATGTTATAGCCCGGCTGCCCCATAAGCGGGCCCTGGCTCCCATTCGGGCTGTCCGAATGCGGCGACCGGTGACCGCGATGGGAGGAGCCATTGCCGCTGCGCGGGCCGTTGCGCGGCCGCCCGCCAGGAACATACGGCGGCGGCGGCGCGCCATACGGCGCAAACTGGCGGTTTGCGTAGATCTTGCGTTGGTGGCGGCGCTTGGCGCAGCGGTAGAGGCAGCCGAGGAGCGACAGCAAGAGGAGGCCGCCGACGGCGGCGGCGACGCCGATGACGATGGCCTTGTGGCCGTCGATCCACGACTTGACCTCCTTGCCGAGCGACGAGCCGGCGCAGCGCCCGTTACTGCACTTGCCGCCGCCGCCGCACGGCGTGCCGTCGAGGAAGTTCTGCTGCAGGCCGTAGCACACACCCGAGCCGAACTCGGGGCTGGCGCAGCTGAGCTGGCAGTTGTTGGCGTCGCAGGCGTACGTGTCGTTGCCTTGGGTGTAGCTGCCCATGACCGTCTTGCACTGCTGGTCGCGGCTGGTGCATTGTCCGCTGGCACACTTCAGGCCGCTGGACCCGCACGTCGTGCCGTCGGGCTTGGTCGTGTCTGCTGGGCAGTAGGCTGAGGTGCCGGTGCAGGTCTCCTGGGGATCGCACTCGCCGGTGGACACACGGCAGACGGTGGAGTTCGAGGCTAACTGACAGCTTTTGCAGCAGTCCTCGTTTGAATCGTCGCACACGGCACCGGACTTGAATTTGCAAGTTTTGGCGTCGCAGCAGGCGTTGTCACCGCAGCCTGACACTCCGCCGCAATCGCAGTCCTCGCCCTCTTCGACAATGCCATTACCGCATTGCTGGCCCGAGATGGTGGTGACGCCTTTGTTGTTGGTAAGACATGTTGTTTTGACACTGTTGCGGAACATAGCTGAGCAGATATTTCCGATGGAACAAGGGGAGAATTTCGTGATGCCTTGGCCAGTGGAGGGATTCATGATGTACTGTTCGCCTGCATCACAGGTACTGGAGCTAAGAGGGCAGCATTGCTGCGCCTTGACTGTCGTTCCATCGGAACATGTCGTAGACGTGCAATCGTGGACTGCACCGAACGTGTGGCCGGTTTCATGACTGTCAAAGTTAGCTTCTCTGATTTGGCAGCACGTGCAATATGCGGTCACTTACGCAATGACCTGCCACTCTGTCGAGGTTCTCACCACCACATTAGCACCAGCTACGGTCTCCTGGCCGTCGGATGAATTCGAACTTTGAGATCCCGTAACACAAGCCTGACCCAACCACGCCAAGCCAACAGCAGATCCTGTGTTGCACGTGCTCAACAGGGTCCAATGCGAATTCGAGTCGGTCTGCGATCCTCTCCACGCCGAAAACAGGTTCAGTCGTGCCTGGATGTCGACTGTAGAAGAGCAGGCCTGATTCCAAGGCATAGCGGGTGGTGGAGTGCCAGGACATGAAGCCTCGCTGACGGTGAGATTCGCCAAGCCAAGCGAGATATTGAAGGTGCTTTCGTATAAGCTGGAGGCGGAGTTCATCTGGGTAATCACATTCTGGCGAGCAGTCTCGGTGTTGTTGAAAGATCCGGTATAGGTGCAGTCTGTAGCGACACCAACGAGAGCGACTTTGCGGGTCGTGGGACAGCCTTGCGTGTCGCCGATTGTGGAAACCAGATTGACACCAGCAGAGTTTCCTCCTCCTGACGGATTGTCTATCTGTCGTTTTCCAAAGAGAGATGAGATAGGAGCGGCCCAGAAGTCGTCCTCGCGCTTCCGCATGCCGGCATACACGGGGTGGTCCGGCATCAGGTTGAACTCGAGGTTATCCGACTGACAGGCATATTTTGACTCGGTATCACGCTTCAGCTCAGCGTGGTCCCGAACACTCATGATATCCGAGTCTTTGAATACAACCATGTAGTCATCGTCCCGCCCGCCCAATTCTGGGTCCAGCACATCTCTTGTAGCCTTATAATTCGAACTGAGCTGGACGTGGTGATGATCGTGATGTACGGTAAAGGCTCCTTCAAACAACGGGTCTAGCCCATCTCTTCTTATTACAATCCGCGCCCATCCGACGTTTGTCCATGGTCCGGACCCCCTCTTCAGCCATGCAGTGCCCTTAAAGACCTTATGCGCCAACCGGTCTATCGGTTCGATCTTAGTGATAGTTCCATCTTTTCCCAAGTATGATACAGTAGCACCGTCGGCAATAATGTCATAGTTTGGTTCGAGGCTGAGGCGCACACGACTGCCGGCGAGGTCGAAGGCAAGGTCGAACGACGAGATAGCGGTGACGCGATGATTCTGGGTCAAGATTGACGGGTTCTTTGCAATAGCGAGGGTTTTCAGAGGATTTCTGGCGGTGGAGCTCCCGGAAACGAGTTCGGTGCAGGTGAGGAGCAGAGCGGCAAAGGCGGCGCGGAGGAGCATAACGGAGGGAGATCTCCCAGGCGCCGAGACCAGGAGATGCAGCGGAGGGAGGTGTATTAACGGCGAGGAAGAACAGCGAGAGACATAGGCGGGGTATGAGAAGCAGCGAACGAGAGGGAAATACGTGCAAACAGGTGGTTAGGTGGGTAGTAGCACAATCACTGCCCGGGATAAAGAGTGAGAGGCTGGAGTCAGCATAGCCCCCCCATGATTCGCGGCGCAAGGGGCTAGTAAACTGGGAGCGTCTAGTCTGCATTAGTCCCTTCATAACGGAGTGGCCCGGCAACAACAGACTATTCAAACAATCGACAGGGCTCATTCGACACTCGCAAAATGTTGCGAAAGTGCCAGCCAAGTGCAATTATATAGTATCAAGAGCCTCTAAGCAGACGACGTTTGCCACAAAGAGTCATGTTTATGAAGGAGTGCATGAACTAGATCTGTGTACCACAACGTGGCAGTTTACCAGCTCCCACGCACATCTTGGCCACAGGGTTGGCAAAGAAACGGCTCCTGGGCAAAGCAATGCCAAGAACCCTCAAACGCATTTCAAACCTGTCAGGTGTCTCGCATCGCAAATCACAGCATCACCACTCTAATTAGGTTAAAAATCTCCGGCTTGTTCCTATCTGAAGCTCCATATCCAGCACAAGCGACTTAAGGTATAGAAAATACGGAAATTGAAGTATCCAAACATGTCTGCGCCTTCCAGCTTCGCCACTCTTCCTCCTGCTCAGCTGTCAAAAATACATTTCTTAGCTCATCATGTCTCATCCATTGCCCGCCTTACACTAAGACTGAGTCGATGTCTTTCGTTCAATTGTCGTCTTTTATTTGCCTCCTAGGTTCACTTCTTTTTCGCTTGGTGCACGACATCGATGATCGTGTTGACAACCGATGGATCCGAGAGCTGCAATCGTTAGCCTTGGCTTTCATCGTTTCAACCGGCACAACTTACTGTCGAAGTATCTCCAAGCTGGTCCTCCTCGCCGGCAAGAATCTTTCTTAGAATTCGCCGCATGATCTTGCCGGATCGGGTCTTGGGCAGATCTGGAACAACGAAGATGGCCTTGGGCGCCGCAAACGGCCCGATGGATTTGCGCACTTGCAGGATGAGGTCTTTCTTGACCTGATCGTTGGTCTCGTTCCCCTCTTTTAGCGCGACAAAGGCGTTGACGGCTTGCCCGGTGAGGTCGTCGTGAATACCGACAACGGCGGCTTCGGCAACCGAGTCTATTACAGTCAATATTGAACCCCATATCTCGGAACAAGTGGCACTTACGGTGCTCGATTAGCGCAGCCTCGATCTCAGCAGTCGATAGTCTGTGACCAGAGACGTTGACGACGTCGTCGACACGGCCGCGGATCCAGTAGTATCCCTCATGGTCACGGCCAGCACCGTCACCGGTGAACTGATATCGAATTAGCACGAGCCCATACTCCAACCATCAGTTGCACTCACGTAGTATCCCTTGTACACATTTAGATATGTATCCATATACCTCTTGTGCGCACCCCAGACAGTCCTTGCCATACTTGGCCATGGCTGCTTGAAGGCCAACACACCTTCGACGTCGTTACCGTGGATCTCCTCGCCGGACACGGGGTCAATGATCGCGGGCTCGATGCCGAAGAAAGGTAGGGAAGCAGAGCCCGGCTTCGTTGGTGTGACACCACCCAAAGGTGTGATGACGTGAGAACCGGTTTCTGTTTGCCAGTAGGTCTGTCCGAAATGTCAGATCAAGTTACAAGAGCGATCAGGCAATGCGTCAAATATGCAAGAATAACTCACATCAACAATATGTGCCTCCTCCTTGCCGACAATCTCGAAGTACCACTTCCACACCTCTGCGGCAATCGGCTCGCCCACACTACCCAACACCCTTAGGCTCTTCATCTGGGCTGTGACGTGCTGGTCACCCGCGCGCTTCAGCAGCCGTAGCGCTGTCGGTGCAACGTAGAACTGGGTGACGTTGTGCTTCGCGACTACGTCCCAGTAGCGGCTGAAGTTGGGATATGCGGGTGTGCCCTCGAAGACCACCGTGGCTACACCCAGCAACAACGGCGCGTAGACGACGTACGTGTGACCGGTAATCCACCCAACATCACCGCCACAGAAGAAGACGTCTTTGTCGTGGATGTCGAACACGTACTTTCCAGTCGAGGCAGCGCCGAGAAGATATCCACCGGTTGTGTGCATGACACCTTTGGGCTTGCCAGTGGAGCCGGATGTGTAGAGAAGGAACAGCGGGTCTTCTGAGGACATGCTCTCAGGGGCAATGTATGATGGATACTTCTCAGTCTCCTCATGCCACCACCAATCCCGGCCCTTGGTCCAGGGCACATCGGCCCCTGTGCGCTTATACACAAGACAGTGGGTGATATCCGGGCATTGCTTTAGGGCCTCGTCGACGATCTTCTTGGTGCCAATGACCTTGCCACCACGCTTGCCCTCGTCGGTAGTAATGACGACTTTGCTCTTAGCATCAATAATACGGTCGCGTAGGGAGTCTGATGAAAAGCCGGCGAAGACGACAGAGTGTACAGCACCAATGCGCGAGCAGGCGAGGAATGAGACGACAGCTTCGGGAATCATGGGCATGTAGAGGGCAACAGTGTCACCTTTCTTGACACCCATCTCCTTCAGGACGTAGGCCAGCTTCGAGACTTCGCGGAGGAGCTCGCCATAGCTGATGGTCCGGCCATCCCCGGCCTCGTCGGCCTCGTAGATGATAGCCGGCCTGTCGGGGTCCTTGAAGGCGTGGCGGTCCACGCAATTGTACGAGGCGTTCAGCTTGCCCTCGAGAAACCACGCGCTGTCGCCATTGATGAAGCTACCACTATGTACGGTCTGGAAGTCGCGCTCCCAAGTGAGAAGCTCGCGCGCAAGGCGGCCCCAGAACTTCTCGGGCTCCTGGATGGACTCCTTGTAGAGCTGCTGGTAGTGCTCGAGGCCGTCCAGATGCGGCTTTGTGTGCGGGTGCTTGCTGGAGGGTGATTAGCGGGCATTGTTCTACATCTGATGAGTGCTGATCTGGTGACGATGCAATGCTCTGGGCGAGGCGGGGCGCCGTCTGCTTCCAGGCCTGTGAGAGGCCCGACCCCGCCCCGCTCGCCCGTCATTCCACCTCGCGTGCCAGAACTCTATCGGGACTGCCGGGAGACTCACTCGAAGAAGGCCTTGGGAACATGGTAGGTGTCGACTTCGTGCGCCTCAGCAACCACGGGGTTGATGGGCGGCTTCGTCGCGCCTTCAGACATGGAGGTGGTTCTGCGGCGGCGATGGAGGGGTAGTTCGGAGATGCGCTAGGGCGACTGGGGGGAGATGGCGGGGTGTTTGACTCGGGGTTTGAAGGATTTCGCAGCTCTTCCGTGTGGGCAGGCAGGCTAGTTATAGGTAGGACAGCGCTCCAATTTCGGGTAAAGGGGAGACTGAGGCGGCGCGGAGCTTCTAGCTGCAGTCGACGGGAGCGGCAGGGGCAGTCGGCGGGGAAAAGAGCTCCAGACAGGGTAGCTATATGCAATCCGAGCCGGGTGGTTGGGAAGGAGGTTTTTGGGCACAACTATCCAATCCGGCGCCGAGAGTGAGGAGGAAGCGGACAAAGAGGGCAGCGGTCGATGGTCGCAGCTGTGGGGAGCTCTGGCACCTAAATGTCGATAGGCATTCCCGCGGCTCATGCCACTGCGGGGAGAAGGATGACGAAAAGGAATCCCCAGCTGGTCCCTTTGTCTGGCCCACAGGTGAGCCGTGACCGAAGCCGCTCCCTTTGGCCGGGCCATGCCACCCACCACGCTGGAAGCCCCCGCGCCTGCGAACTACTGGAGGCCGGTCCGAGACAGTGGCTGGCGGGAGTGGTGTGTTCAGCGGCCGCCAGCGTTACCCAGACGACTGCGTGGTCAAACAGTCTTTGCTCTCCATCGTCGTCGTGGTGTCTCTGCGTTCATTGAAGTGTCCCACAGAGATGCTGCAGCCCTGCCGGGAACGGGACGGTACCTAGATTTCCGAAAATGCAACACCCTGGATCCCCCGCTCTCCACTTCTTCACTCTGGGAAACACTTCAAATCGAGACCTCATAACAAAGATCACGATATCCCAAGACACGCGACGCGGTTTGCTTCCGAGCAGCCAACGCCAGGTTTAGCGAAGTAATCCATGCGAGAGAATGCAAGCATCAAGCCTGGGCGGGTGCTGCAGCGGGAAAGGCTTCGGACTTGGGGAAGCTATCCAACGAGAATGATCCGAGGGGACGCTTCATGATAGCCGATAGTCGCAGCGCGAATTCCGGGCCTGTCCCTAGATCCACGTCTCTGGAATTCTGAGGGTGAAGTAGGGAGTGATTGTTCGAAGTCATCCCGCTTTCAGAGGCAGCCGGAACCCCATCTCTTAAGCCGTGAACACCTCGATGCTGTACCTCTCCTCGACGCGACGCGATGCGGGGTTCATGCACCAGCATTCTTGCTCCTTGATCACGCGCTGCAACACCGGGCAGCCTCTTCCGTCACGTATACCTCTCTTCTCTGGGCGCCCAGAAGGTGGTACGATCTTTGACGCCTCCACGACTTCCAGAGTTGCATACATCCGATGCCCGAGATGCTCAATGCCTCAGGCCTTTCCGCCTCGCAAGCGTGCCTCGGGTTGAGATTTTGCTGACTTGTCTTCCGGACCCTTGGCCATAGCGGCATCTGATAATGGATGTTAAATTTCCAACCACTTCTAGTCACGTTCTAGAAGGCATTGTAGGGCTGAATTATGCAGGTTTCGGAGCCGTCATGTAGCCATCTGCCTCAATATGAATACTAAGAACGCTGTCAGTGACGCTTTTTTCTTGAAAATCTTAGACTGATTCGCAAATTGTACGATTCTGGGACCGATTTTCTCGTTCCTTCATTAGATCGGAGCACCCTCGAACCTTCTTCTCATACTCCAATTACCATGAACATCGCGCCTGATTTACGACCCGTAGCTTTAACATGTGATCCAAGACCCAAATCACACGCTCTCTACTACCCACATTAAAGCGAGAAAAAGTTCAGTCGACTGAAGCTATCTCACGCCTCCAATACTCACCACCTTGGAATCGCCAAGACCTACCGCATTCGTCCTTGCATAAACGCCCATTTGCGCCCTCCTCGTGAATACTTCGCTCTTTGTCCCATAGACACCAAAAGAAAGACAAAAAGCCACGCAAAGTGGTATTCGGCCCACCGCCCTTCCCATCGAGCCAAGACCGGCGGTGTACAATAGCATCGCTGCCTAGAGCTGACACTCAAAGAACCAACCACCGAACAAAAGGAAAGGATTCCCTAAGGAACGATCAGGGTAATTGCGAATATGCAAGTTTAATGATTGGCCACTTTCCTGAGATCTGCTTGAATTTGTTTCGTATATTAATCAAGGCCGACTGTAAATCACGCACTTTGTGGACAACGAGAAGCCTACCACTCTGGAACCAATGACAAGCTTTACATTGCACCACAGCAAATCGCAGAACTGCTGATCGATGATAGGACGGAGATGCGATTTACAACAAATCCATCACTCTACTTGAGCGACGCTCTCATAAGCATACCAAGTCTTGATACCCATACGCACTCCCAGAAGCCCATAAAGTCGCCCACCCGCTCATAAATTACAAGTTCGTATACGCAAAGTTCGCCGAGACCCAGCAAACACCTAACCCCCTTTCCCCAGCTAACTCACCACCTGATCTCGCTAACGAGATACGGCCCAATAACACAAATCGCGGTCCATATCACCGCAAACCCGCTCAGCGCCGCGAGCGGTTTCTGCAACAAGGGCGCCTGGCAGATCTTGATCCAGATGCCGTACATCGCGACAGCGAAGAAATGGTACACCAGTACCGCGGGATGCACGATGATGCCCGCGAGCAGCGAGACGGGCTCGTCGATGCACGCGCCGCCGCGCTGGAAGTACTTGAAACAGCCGAGCTGCAGCACTTTGAGGTTGAGGTCGTCAGCCGCGAAGAGGCTGTACAGCGCCATGGCCAGGATGTTGATGACGCTGCTGCCGTGCTTGCGCTTCCAGTGGAAACGCTGCATCTGCTTCAGCACGGCTTTGGTCTCGTCGAGCGCGGGTACGTTCTCGGGGCTGAGCAGCTCGCGCAGCAGCACGACGTCTTTGAAGGCCACGGTCATGCCGCCGCCGGTCAGCGGGTGGCGCATGTTCATGGCGTCGCCGAGGATTATCATCCCGGGCGTTTTTTGGGTCGAGGGGGAGAGGAAAGAGTTTGGCATTGAGCGGAATTTGCCGTGTTCGACTGCTCGCTCGAAGCTGGGTCGTGTGCATTCTGGGAGAGAGGGGAGAACGACGTTCCGTAGATGGCCCTTTACGCCGCCGTTGGCTACGGAGGCGGAGGGGAGTTTCTCGGGTATGTCACAGAGGATGCGGGTCTCGTGCGTGCCGATTTGGTAGATGAGGGTCGGGGGTCCGTCGGAGAGGATGACGTGACCGTGCCTTGGAGCTGGGAGTTCGGCGTCGATGAGTTCGAGGGCCCAGAATTTGGACCGGACTTCGGGGGCGTTGGGGATATATTCTTTGCGGAATTTGGAGGCGTAGCCGTCTGATATTATGGTAAGAGCACCGAAGTACTATAGACCGTTAGCGTAGTTCTTAACGCTTGCTGAATGAACCACGAGGGGTGGTGGATCCGGCAAAAGGTCCAACAAAAGGGTCATGGAATAGATCAGCGCACTCGTTCACTCACATAGTCTTGCGCTGATTTTGTGGTGCATTCAACTCCTAGTATCTGTCCTGTCCACCCGTTCTTGACCACATCGGTCACGGTGGACTCTACTACTGTCACGTTTGGTGTCTTCATGGCGGCAGCCCGTAGTTTTTGTATAAAGCGTCCATGATGGAATGAGCGCCCCTCTGGCCTCTTCCCTGCCTTGTCTTTGGGATAGGGGATCTCTACGGGGTCGTTGTAGTATATTACTTGGTAGCCGTAGCAGGGTATCGCGTCAATGTTTTCAAGACAGTCTAGAAGAAAGAAGTGGTTAACAAGAAGCTAGTTCAGATGATCCATTGCACATGTAAATTAGGCAATCGGTGGGAGTCTCTAGTGGAAGAAATGCCCAAAACGTCCATCCAGAAAGACACTATGCATATATAAAGAGCTTCAAAGGGAGACCAATTGAGACAATCAGAGTGGAATATGTACCCACCTGCAAGCCCCAACCTCTCCAGTGCCTCAACGCCTCCGGGTTGTAGTAGTTCCCCTACGATGCGGTCCGGTTCCTTCAGACTCCTTTCAAGCAATATGACGCTTCGACCCTGCCGTCCAAACGCCACGGCTGCAGCGCATCCTACGACGCCTGCGCCCACTATTATTATGTCGGCTTCATGGTGTAGTCGGCGGCGTTCTTCGCGCTCGTCTTTCTCGAGAAGGGAGGTAGTGGAGGAGGACGCGGGTGAATCTAGTATCATAGGCATGGTGGCGGTTGGATGTTTCGAAGCTCGGGTCAACGACGTCGCATACAGCAATTGATTACTGCGCTAGAAAGTGCGGGAGAGCGTCGAGGTAGTCACCGGAGGTATTAGTATTAAAAGGGTGCGCGTAGGGCATCAAGGAAGAAAGACGGACTTGCAGTCTCGATTTATGGCGGACAAAAGATCAAGCGGTCAGTGGCGGCCGACGCAGGGACAGTCTAAAGTCGACCGCTGGCGAATCGGCGCGCCATCAACGAATGTCCATCACACCACGGCGGACGTGCTGCCCCTGGCCGCGCTCAAAAGAGCAATAATTCGTGAAGCGGAGGCTGCCAGTCCCAACGGAAATGCCCTGGATGGGGGGCGTGCGCTTTCACATGCAAACGATACCTACTTCGCATTCACGACACCAAACTTCCAGCTCGGACCACCGCTATCAAAACCGCGCATGTATAGAAAGGCAGGGCCGACAAGCCGATTTCTTTAGTGTTTTCGAGTGTGCGATCGAGGTTAGCGCATCTTGGTGCGAGATCTGGCTACGGAGTTCGTGCATAAGCTCGTAGCATTTCCCGTCTCTGTGCCTGTCCGTCATCACGAATCAACTTCAATCGTAACATCTACCATGAGAGCAATGAGATTTACGAAAGGTGTTTTAGTAGGCTTGGTAGGTATAAAGGATAGGTGTGCCAATCTTGTCCCTCCAGTCTGTACTAAGATTATGTTTTCTCTCTCTACATCAACACCTTCACGCTGACCACAAAATCTCAGTTGACACTAAGTCTACCATTCAGAAAGGAGGTTTTATCTAGCAGGCTCACCACAGCCCTTCGGTCTTAGCACGTTGTATCATGTGGTAGTTGATGATCCATAGCTTTCATTAGTATAGTATGTAGGACGCTCTTCTCGCGGAACACACGCCCGCAGATATGAGACTTTGTACCTGGAGAAGCCGGCCGCTAGAAGCTGGCCTGCGATGACGGATCCTAGGCATGCGTTACGGCGCAAGCCACCTTGCTGTCTGCTGCATGAAGACGGCGTACAGGTTGCCTCGTTTTGTCACGAGGCACCCCTTATCGGGTCTGCGAACACCACATCGGCAACACTAGATTAATCCATTCGGGAACATGCATGGTGAGACCACTCCCTCGTTCATTATTGGTCTTTCTTCCTACTCAGCTGCAGACGATTTTATCTCCTGTTATCCTTCACCAACCTCAGCCTTCTTTAGCCCCCAACGCAACACTTGACTAATCCATTCGGGAACATGCATGCTGCGGGTGTTCCTCGTTCATCACTGGTCCTTCTTCCTACTCAGCTGCAGACGATTCTGCCTTCTTTTACCCCTCATAAACTCCAGCCTTCTTTAGCCCCTAGTCTCTCTTCAGCATCACCGACAATACTCATAACAATCGCTCACCACGCTACATTCTGATCCATAAAGCTGTCGCATTCGCTATTGAGATCAATCGGGCTTGCTAAATACTAAACCTGGGCCCTCAATAACGCTAAGCATTATGGCAACCGATAACCTCTCGGGCAGTGCCCAAATCGAACCGTTCAACTGGGCATCGCAAACAGTCGAGAACTCTAGTGCAGATGCGAAGCAAAAGCCACGGCAGTTTCAAAGAAATCCCGATGCGATCAACAAGTGGTCATCTGGGCCACCAGACACGTACGTCGACAGAGCGCCAACAGAAGACCCGGAACATATATGGCGGACAATAGCAAGCTAGAAAGCAGAGGACTCCACCGATTTTCTGAAAGTGTTTTGTTTGTTTGATCGTCCTCCGTCTCTCGATCAGGTCATATCCCGGAGACCAGCGTGGACGTTGTGGACCTACGAGTATGGTTATCCCAGCTTTTCGAGGTTCTTGAAACTTGCAGAGTCGACTCGGAAATTTCGTTGTAAATTTTCGATCAAGGATATCTATCTCTCCGCGGGAAGGTCCGAGGAGTACCCGGCCGATGCAATTGATAAAGGCCCGAATGAGTTGTGGAAAAACATCAAACAGCGCCCAATGTGGGAACATCAAAAATCTACTACGGCTACGACCCGGATCATCAAAATAAAGGATCTTTCGCCCATGGTGTTGACATGCATTATTGGCTCGACACCACGGTATGTTCACTGACTTATGCATGCGCATCTCTTGAGTATCTACTAAAGGAGTGTGTAGCGTGGACGTCAATTATGTGGCAAATTTTTTTGACCGCCATCTCAAGCTCATGAACTGGGGTAAAGTGAACTTGAACAAGTTCCAGGACATGGTGGGCAGTGAACTAGTGATGTCGATATAGAGGCGAGTTGCTGATTACATTAGGGCTGGAGGTCGTACACTCTAGAGTACCATTTCGTCTTTTATCATGTGTCTCTCGACTACGCAGAGCCCGAGCAAGTTCAACACGATCCAAGAGACTGGCGTAGATCTGCTTCTTTCGGGCGGGAGATACAAGGGAGTACTCGTTATATCCACGAGGCGACAACGTCGTTCCTTCTCGTTGGTCACTTCAGTAATGTGTCTACTTGCATCCAACTGGAAGAGGCGTACTATAAGGACCCTTACTCAAAAGGCACCAGCAGTCGATCATTCCAGTCCTTCGACGCCCACCAACCGCCAGCCATGCTCTTCCTATCCTGGATCGCTGTAGCCTTGCACCATGTGTTGTGCAAATGGCAGCGAGCTATAGATGCGGTAGACTCCGAAATAACATTTCCAGTAAGATGCTTCCAGGCGTACTCCTTCGCGCGAACTATGCCCTAATTAGAATAGGCAGAAGTGGTGTTCAGTCGGGACAGACTATGTGTGTGAAATGGGCCCATTTCTTTAATCCCGCAATATTGGTACGAAAATGGTGCTAAGATGGAATTGCAGTGCTCATGACCGATGATCTCAAATTCTCTCACGCGAAAACGTATTACTGGGCTCTACAGATTTACAAGCTTTTTGAGGTTAGCTAAGTGATGAAAGACGCACGGGCATTTGTGACAACTGACAATACTAGCAAACTCTCAGCGATACTATCGAGTCTTGGGAGAACTTCGAGAAGGAATCGCTACCTAGGCTACAGCATTCGAAGCTGGACAAAAGAGAATGGGACATCAAGATAGAGAACATCAAAGCAGGCATATCGCAACTTCGGAGCAAGACGGATAGAGTCAAAGAACGGATTAATCATGTCAAAGACCTACGTGAGGGGGTAAGAATACCAAGCGCATCACTCCATACAAAGTCCCATATACCTAATTTCTCGAATAGCTGGCCTCCGCATCTGCATTGTTCGACAGTCGCGCCGCTATTTGCCAAGGGGACAACATCCGATTGCTCACTTACGTTGATTTATTGTTTCTTCCTCTATCTTTTGGGACGGTTCGTGCTCAGTCTCGATCCCTAACGGTGTCGGCCGTCAACTGATGTTTTGCAGAGTATCTTCGGCATGCAAATCATGGGCAGTGGTAATGGAACACTCCATGCTTTTGCAATAACGCTCCCTTCGATATTTATCGGAACTGTTCTTCTTATCATGAACCTTCAGAACATCTTGAATGCCTGGGATTCCATCATTGGAGGCACGGCAGTCTGGCTTCTCCACAATATGCGCCATCATAGAAGGAAAGACTGGAAACAGCGTGCCTATCAGGTTGAGGAAGACTTCGCTGCAACCCATACACCGGTTCTCAGAACGCGGCGAAAAACAGGAGGCTGGGTATACCTTATGTTTATTTTCGAAGTAGTACTTGTCGGCGTCCCCACTAACGAAGTGCTGGTCGCTCGGGAACTCTACAACTCCCTACTCAAGAAGATTCGGACCCCACGCTCGACTCTAGCAACCGCTTATAATGTTGAGGATGCTTTAGTCAGCATGAGGACGATACTTGTCATAATGGAGGCTCAGAGGCTACGGGACGATGACGACAACAAAGCACAAAATCAACGAGCATGGAGACAATGGACCACAAAGATCGTCTTAGGAATGTTAAAAGTTGTCTGGACGCTGACCAGAGTTTTGTTCCTTCCGATATGGATACCTCTTCTCGTCATCGAGTACCTTCTCCTAGTAATTTACCTGCAATGGGCGCCTATGCCGCAATCTCACACTATCGCACAACAATCGGAACTAGATTCGAAAGCAATGCCACGTTCTTCATGGCTACGTGCCTTTCACATCCTGGGTTTGGATTCTCCAGTTCCTGATCCCGAGCCGATGCCAACAATGGCACCAATTCCAAGCGAAGAAGACCTTCCGCTTCGCAAAATCGTACGCAGAGCCACTGAGATGGAGAAGAGGAAGAAGAAGACGAGAAGGGCAAGCATTATCGGCACCGAAAAAACGACAAGCGCTAGTAATATGGGCAGAGGGAAATTGAGCGTGGACTTGGCCCCAGTACGCGAAAGTACCGAGGAGAATAGGGAGAGGAAAGGTCCTATATCGCCTTTATCAACGAGACCGCTCTCGCAGATCTCTATAGTGGACTCTACAGGGGCTCGGAGTTCTTGATGGTACTCATGTGCTCATATCGTTCCAGCACACTTAAACATTTTGGTTGCATTCCCGTTGATTATCCTGAAAAGAGCTGATGCCATGCCTTACAATTCGAGGTACTCAAGATCCCAAAGTTAGTCATCCGCGAATCTCAATCGGCGCGTTGGGTTTCCAGAATCTCAGTGTCATATGTTGTCAGCTACGATCATAGGTTCATGCCTACATTTATTTTGAATTACGAATCAGTTCAGACTTCTCGGAAACGAATCTAGACTCACAAATACTCTCCGCGTTTTCGTGCTCTCTAAACTTAGACTTCCTATTTCCCCAACGTGAGATTACTCCTGCGGTCTCGATCTAAAACTCAAGGTAAAGAAGATACGGCGGCGCGCGGCCCCCCCCCACTCCCCCCCCCCCCCCCCCCCCCCCCCCTGGGAAGAAATTGCAGGGAATTGGCTCTCGAGGGCGTCAAAAAGGTTAGGCAAAACGAGCACCGATAGGAATAGAAGGCCTAAAAAGGGTATAAAAACGGAGCAAAGTCGGATCTGGCGCCCGTCCCAGAGGAACCCGAAGTGGACGAGGGGAACGGGCGAGCCATGGATACGACGTCCTCTAGACCATTGTCACGGATATCGATGGCTGAATGGTCCTCGACTTAAGAAAAGCCCCAATAATGATGCCCCGAGATTCCAGTACCGCTAATATCATATCTCTAGACATACATAAACCGTGCTTCGGAACATGTAGTCAAGCATGCTAGCTAGGGGTTGACGCACGATGTACAGGGAACGACCTCCAAACATGCCCGAAAGACTCAGGAACCAAATATTGAGTATTTCACAACGCTGATACATCGGAGCTGCCCTCATCGTAAAATTCTTAGGTCAATGATGATCTAGACATGGCGCATTACTAAGATTGTATCTATAGCTAAACCCAAAAGAAACTATACCGCGCCCTAAACATCATGACGTGGGACATCACTCGAACCATGTCGAGAATCAAAAGGTTTATCTACTGAGCGAGATATTTCTCACACCCATGGCGATGAGTCGTCGCGACTCACGGCCTAATTAGATGTATTCGTCGTGGGCCGCGTTCGGCAGATGCTTTTTTGTTCTACGCTAGACTAACATAACTATGCAGAATATATCTGTACTGAGATACCCCTTTGTGTAGATAAGAGGGCTTGTTTGCTCTAGACTAATTCTTTCATTTCGCTGTTGGGTGTGCGGAGTTTGGACTTTGAATTTGACAAGTCAAAACCTCTATTGTGGAAGACTGCATTGCGAGTGACTATATCCTCGTCTATCGACCAACTCTAAATTGACTTCACAATGGCGCCATCCGCAGCACCAGACTCCAATCCAGACTCCTTTCAATTGAAGACCGAAGAGCCCAACTTCCCCGAGGAGAGGGAGGCTGGAAACGCTACATAGAATGGGAGCACTACCCCGAAAAGAAAAAGCAAGCCGCCGCCTACCTATCTCAATACAACTTCCCCAACGTGCGCCAATATCTTCTCAAACCCCCATTCTCTCCCCCCATCTGAACAACCTCTCCCAGTGTCCAGAATTCCAACTCAGCCCCTTTCCCACCACCAACCCCATCCTCTCAGGCATCCGCTGGAAACAATCCCACTACGCCCTCGGCACGACCCTCAAATACATCCCCTTCCATCTCCTCGTCCTACGTCCTCGCCGAAAAAGCCCTCGACATGCTCCACGTGCTCCAATTCCCCTACAACGGCGAACACCCCCGCGCGCGCCTCGTCACTTCGCCCATCACGCCCAACGGCGACCACCTCATCCGCAACCACGGCGGCATCCCCGAGATCGACGCGGGCGCCCTATACGATCGACATCGGCGGGCTGGTCAACACCTTGAAGTCCTCTTCCCGCGCCAGAGCGCCGTCGTCACCCATCCAGTGCGGCGACACGCGCCGCATCGAGCAGATCCGCGCGTACCCCGGCGAACGGCGCCGAGCTGATCAACGCGCCGTGGGGCGCCGGCGGCCATCGGGAGCGCGCGCTGGACGGGCGTGTCGCTCATCGCTCAAGAAGGCCATCAAGCACTGCGGCGGGCTCAAGCGCCCCGCCGCGGCGCATCTCGAGCTCTGCGGCGCGGATGCCGACTTCCAGAAGGGCCAGCAGGTGCAGAACTACGGCGTGTCGGTGCCCGTTGGCGGGAAGGTCAAGGTGAATGAGGTGCTGCTCGCGTGGGAGATGAACGGCGAGTCGCCTGCCGAGGATCCATGGTGTACCCGCTGCGCACGGTGGTGTTTAGGTATGTTAGCGCGAAGGGTTGGAAGTAGCTGTATGAGATTTTGCGCGATTTGATGGGCCGGTGCAGATGAAGGAGTATCTTTGCTATACGCCGCAGATTGGGAAGCAGAATGCGAAATATAGTAATGGTTTAGTATCCAGGATATGCCCGTCAGTTCGGCTGTCATGACGCCCGTCACGATGGAACAGATCGTGCATGATGGGACTATCAAGCTACGGGGGTGGGCGTACAGCGGCGGCGGGCACTGGCCGGAGCGTGTAGAGGTGAGCTCGGATGGCGGAGGGGTGTGGTAGGAAGTCCCGGATGAGAACCTGTCGGAGAAGTACTATTACGCGTGGAGGTTGTGGCAGATTGATTTGCCTGTTGATGCGGAGGGGTGGTTGGACTTTTGTGTGAGAACGTGGAATAATGCCTTGAACACGCAGCCAACGTTTGTGAGGAGTGCTTGGTGAGTCTCCTTTTTGCTTCCTGTCTCTTCCTGGTATTTAGATAGAAGGGCTAACATTTTGAACGGAGCTGGGACCTCCATGTCACGTCGTCGTGCCATCGCATCAAGATCTACAGCATCAACCACTCTCGTCCAGCAACAGCGGCGCGACTGAAGTGGCTAGAGGAGGAGGGGATTACAATCTTGCCAATTACGCAGCCCATAGAGTTGAGTCTTGAGAGCGACGAGGATTATGATAGGGAGATGGAAAGGAAGAAAGGGCGCGATCCGATTGAGTAATTGGCAACGAGTGTTTAATTTCAACGAGGAACTAACGAAACCAATGGGGCCGCATCTTCCACTGTGAAAATTATGAGGGAGGGGTACCTCATGCTTGACTTCGCAATACCGAACTCACAGACCTACTCATCCATTATCGATTCCGAAATCGTGCCCAGCATCACCATTAATGCTCATTACCATGCTTCAACCTTTACCGCTTACAGAAAGGTGGCTTTCCGGCCCAGGACATACTTACCTACCTCCCTACCTTCCAGTTTCAATTCCCCACCCAAGCATTCTCAACATGCCCACCATGTTCCTGTTCCCCTTCAGACGACGTCGCAGTTGGGAACAGTTCCGCGACCTGCCCCTCAATGCTCCTTCGCGGCGCATCTGTGGTCTCGTCGTCCTCGCTGTCGCTCGCCTCCGCAACAGGATTATCGGAATAGCGCCCTCCAGCCGATAAGAAGTCAATCGCGCGTCGCGGATCCGTCGTGTTCTGCTGCTCCTCATCGCCATTCGTGATTTTTAGTCGGTCAGGGAGGACGCTGTGAAGCCAGGAGGGGCGGCGTAGTCGAGGATTGACGATGATGAGCAGCTAGGCAGTATTAGTCTCGCATGTCCGATTTGAGAGTGTTGTTTCTGGGGAGAGTATGTCTTACCTCCCACACAACCACGAACCCCACTACTCCCATCAACAGCCCAGCCAATCGTTGCTCTTCGCCCTTCCATCTCCCAATGCACCCAACATTCCTCTCATACCTCACCTCACACGCATCAATACCATGCGTCTTATCCGGGAACGGCCACGCGCGGTCATGCGAATTCATGAGTCCGCAACACTGCAGCGCATTCTGAATCTCCTTAATCACATCGCCATTCTTAGCTGAACGTAGCGCTCGCCACCGGGATTCGAGGCCGCAGAGAAGGTCAGAGGCCGGGGCAACGTGGGTGCCAAGCAAGCTGATTAGGACAGAGGAGTAGATCAGGATGACCGTGTTGATGACGACGATGTAGGGTGGCGGTGGAGATTTGGAGAGCAGGGACTTTTGGCGTTTGAGGTGTTGGTCGGACAGGTAGTGGCTGACTTGGATGAGGAGGCCGGATATGAGGGGGAGAGCAGCGGTGAAGCCGGAGAGAGTACGGGGGATGGGAAGGGCGAGGTGGTTGGCGCGTGAGGTTGCGTAGCTGTGGGGTTTGTTAGATGAGTAGGGTGACCTGAGTTGAAGAAGGCCTGACCTGGCTAATGCGGTGATGACAACGAGATACTGTACATTTCATTAAGCTCCAATAGTCTTTCATGAACTACAGAAGAGTGTCTTCTGGGCTACTCACAATGATGCTTCCAGCCGTGACAAGCTCTTTCCTAGTGTACGCCATTTTGGGACTGAATCTCGGGATAACGCCCAACTCCGCGGACTGTTTGTCGAGGATGCTGTAGGTCTGTAGGTATTTCTGGGACTCAACGCGTATACCGCCTTTAACAGTCGGACGGTGCAGCTAATAGCAGAGGAGAGATTTGAAGATGATTTTATTTTGAGCTTGGGAGGTGTCCGGTGAGCGAGGGAAGGTGCGAGGGGCGTGAGCTGGCGGACCTCGATGCTGGTTGGTGATCAAACATGCGGGGTCGCCATCAAATATTCCTCTGGGGTGGTTGCACAAGATGCAAGAAGTGAAACAGACGGCTACGGACGGAATACCTTTGTAGCCAATCAAACAAGATAAATGATAGATGGAATGACAAGGATCGTAGACGGACGCGTGCAGACAGGATTATCGGCTCACGCGGCTGATATAGCCTCGCTGCAACCCTCCATTTTCTCGGACGTTCCTTGTATCTTCAGCGTTTCTGTGCAATGCTTCTGGAGCTTTTTAATATCGGCCGCGATCAAAAGTGCGCGTGAAAACGCGTCTAACATTTCCTTATCCAACCTTGAAGGCAATACTTTCACATTTTCTCACCACACATTTCTTGGCCACCGCGTCGTCTATCCACTCAAAACAGGCCCCGTACCTGCTTGCATTGCCTGCAATGGTTAATGATGTCCTTCCCTCGGTCTCTCACTTCCACAGCACAGATGTCGTCTAATTGCTGGTCGGATCCGGTGAAACGCGGCTGATAGTAGCTGCGGGATGTGAAGGGTTGGGGTCAGAGGTGCATCGAAGGTGAGTGTGAGAGCAGGGCCACTTCGGGGTATGGCACAGGTACTCGGAGCGGTTAATGAGAAGGTGGATTGGAAGTTGTACGCTTCACCTATTCTAGTCTACGAAAATGATTAAGTAAGGAGCATCACGTGGATTTGGTGATCTCCTTTCAACGTCATCAGTCGCAAAACCACTCGAGCTTCTGCAAAGGTACGGTTCTAGGAGGCATATCACTACTTCCGTAGACTTGTGATAGGACTATCTTGTCTCCCGCGCATGGCACTTCCCAATTTCTCTCAAGCATCGTAGATCTCAATTTCGATATAGTTCACTAAGTATTAAATGCGGTAATTCTGCTCTCTACTATCATACACTTCGTGCTAAAAGAACTCCCATTCTCCGACTATGCAGACATCAGCGCCACGTCGCGCGCTGCTTTTTCGTGGTATAATGCGTAAAAACGTATAGAACAAAGGAAAATCCATCTAGGAATCATCAGCCAGACTTAGCACCCCTATTGACGGCCGTCTTAGTAGTTGGTGGCAGGGGTAGCGTGGGTGTTATCGTAGCCGTACGGATTGACAGCGCCCCCGGTGGGAGCGGTGTGATACCCGCCGACCTTGTGGCCGTTCTCGTGAGGAGCAGCTGGGGCAACGGTGGAGCCGGTGTAGCCAGTCTCGTGGGATGGGCGCACATCGTGCTTGTCGGCCATGAGGCCAGCAGGGACACCAGCACCGACAGTTCCGAGCTCAGAATCGCGGGCAACGGTGTTCTTGGGCTTGCGCTGCCAGAATTTGCGGCGGCCGCCGCTTCCGGAAGTGTAGTTATTGGATGGGCTGGGTCCGTAACGCTTGTCCTTCTTGTGCTTGCGAGCAAGGAAGACCTGAACGAGGGCAGAGATCAGGAAGAGAAGGCTATATTCGATTAGTACTTGAGATAAGGTGTGGTATCTGTACTGTGACTTACGCTCCGAGGATCGCGACAGCGAAACAAGCAGTATTAAGACGGCAAGCTGTGCCGAGGCTGACAGCGTAAGTGACGTTGCTGGAATCGTTATGCTTGTTGCCGAAGCCGTTTGGACCGAACCCGTTCTTTGAGCTCGATTGGCCGGTTCCAAGAGGGGTATTGACATTTCCGCTGCAGCTGTGCGCGCCGTGGCGGGTCATGACTGCAATGGCAACGAAGGCGCCACAGAAGAGAATATCGAGGAGAACGGCAATGAATGCGAAGAAAGTCTTTCCTCCCAGAAAGCAGGTGAGGAGGACGGCGAAGATGAGGTAGAGAACAGCAGCGCCTGAAAGGCCCTCAACCGCCTTCTCCCATGTTGGGATATGGAGATTCCGATCGGCGAGAACTGAAAGGAAGTAGGAGTAGATGCCGAGGATTATGCCAGCGCAGCAGAACTCCACGGCATAGAGGAATGTCTGAAACAGCTTCAGCAAGACTGCCATCGCAAATATACTGGACGTATGCTTGGCTGGGAAAAGAAGGGGTGGGAGAAGGGAACTGGGGGACCGTGAGATACGATATAGGCCAGGTAGCTTGGTTGGTTGGTGCAAGGTGGTTGGGGGGCGAGGATTTATACCTATGTTCGAGGGAATGAACTGGCGACGCGCAGCCGCAGAGGCCAGCATCCATCGATGTCATAGAGATGGCCCGTGCGCCAAATAGAGATTGGCGATGACGTGGGGCCTCCACGACGAGCCAGGTCAAGCCACAGTACAACGTCGTCGCCTTGATTTTGCACCCTCGCCATTGGCCTACGCCGCCGATCGCGACCTCGTAATGCGGGAGATCGGATCGAGGCCACCGTGGCCAGCCTTGGCGCGTGGCTGCGATCCTGATTTCTCCGCAGCGCCCCTTGGTTGCCGTGGACCCTTTACGACGCCATCCATCATGCCACCCAACTGTCGACGAGCAACCAAGGAAGTTCTGTTCCGTTTTGCCGAGTCCCCTGTTGCACGCACATGTCACGCATCTCCTGTTGCTGCAGGTAAAAGTTAAGGTAGCCATTTCACAGCTTCACGAATCACAGCGCTATCCACGATTGAGACCTCTGGCGCCGTCACATTTTGCGCTTAGCACAGTCCTACGCTAGATGAAGGAAATGAAAGCGACACAGCAATACTCGCTCAATTTGCCAAACACCAGTGCAAGAAATCCTGCCAATTGAAACACAGCAGCCAAGTCCGGTTATAATCCGCCACTCACTTCCACCAACACCTTCACCTGATTGTCTTTGTCGTTGATGAGCGTTTTGAATCCCTTCTCTTCCACCTCGTTCAACTTGATCTTTTTTGTAATCATACTCTTTGGGTTCATCTTGCCAGCAGAGATGGCATCGATGACATCTTGGAAATCTCCCTTCACAAACGTCGCGACCGCAGTGTAGTGCCTCTCCTTAAACACCAAGTCGTTCGGGTTTATTACTGCTGGCTTCGCCCAGATAGCCACGTTCACGATGGTTCCGCGGGCGCGTACTGCGTGGATAGCTTGATCGAGACCCGCCTGCACTCCAGCGCAGTCGAAGACGACATGCACACCCTGCTTCTCGCAGAGCTCTTTGCATCCGGTTACTATGTCGTCCTTGGTCGGGTCGAGAACATAGTGTGCGCCGAACGATTTTGCGAATTCTTTCCGGCGAGGAGACACTTCCGAGACGATGATCTTCTCACAACCTCGCGCCTTCAAGGCCTGGATCACCGCGAGACCAATAGGACCTCCTCCGAGGATGAGAACCGAGTCTCCGGATTTGAAAGGGCTGACCTTGACCGCATGCCAGCCAACAGAGAGTGGTTCGACGAGCGCTGACATGGGTTAGCTGTCAGACATATCTATTTAGGCGAGATGCATCAACCCACCTCCAACGTCCAATGGCACATTATCCGGCAATCGATATAGCGTTGAAGTTGGAACAACGATATGCTCAGCCAATCCACCTCCCCAGCCTGTACAAATTAGCATGTGCAAAGATCTCTATTGGTTGTAAAGAACGCTCACCGCTCAATCCGATGAACCCATTGCTGTAGCAGCAGTTTATTAGTCCCTCGAGGCATGCACCGCAAGTTCCGTCATAGATGATTGGCTGCACCACCACTCGATCACCCGGCTTGTAGTCGTCCACCCCCTCTCCAACCTCTTCTATCACGCCGCTGAATTCGTGACCGAGGGTCAGTGGAACTTTCTCGCCAGTTATAGGATGTGGTGTTGTTGGGCATATGTTTGGGCCATCGAGGTATTCGTGAAGGTCTGAGAACGTCAGTATATCATTCAGACCAGCAGTGTGATGGGTTATTACCAGTTCCGCAGATGCCCACCCATGCTGGCCTCAACTGTTCAAACATTAGCCAACATGGTCACGACTGTGCATAGCAATTATCACTGACCTTCACCTGACCCTTTCCCACCTTGGGGATCGCAAGATCCTCATATCTCAGATCCAATTCACCGTGGAATCGTACTGCTTTCATAGTTCTGTTGCCACCAGACACTGGCGCCGAGTATGTTTCCTGCGGAGCCATGGCTTGGATAGATCAATCGAACGGCGAACAAAGGGTATGAAACCAACGACCAGTAACAGAATATATATATATATTTACGCTTGAAAGATATTTACAACGCCAGAAAGCACCGATTCATCCTGCCGCCGGCTCTTATTTATATAGCCGTCGACTCAGCCCCCTTAGCTTGAAGCACGACGGCATTCAACATCCAGCGGCTCCTGGGCGCCCAACTTACGTCCGCCATTGACCTGCAGCGTGGTCCAGAGCGGCCAATCTGGGAATTCGGATTACCGCATGCGGCAATACGAGGGCGATCTCCCCGCAGCGAGCTATCACCGGCAGACCTTCCTTCAGACGATCGCGGGGTTGCGATTGTCACTTGACCCGGAGATTTATCTGGGGATTCGCCACGATGTCCTTGTTACCAGGGGCGAGTAGTCTTCGACGCCTTGCAGCCGGGTTGCCCTGAAGGTTCGTGAGAGCATCGCGAGCCAGATGATACGTTCGCTTGCGTGTGGATGCTGAAGGACAGCAAGCCAGGCTTTCTCCACTTGAGCTCGGGGCAGGCTGGACCGAGTATAGAGGACGGTCCGATTGGACGGGATCGAAAATATCTTAACGACTTTCGAAGAGCCATGGGAGCCGGGTGTCGTTCGGGACACATCGTCGGCTCGTCTTTCGGGAGAACGAAGAATCACGAGAGCGGATGCGAGCAAACCTCACGTGTCTCGGGCTAGAAGGCTGGACTGAATCGAGACAAAGAGGGCACTGCATGTGGAATATTCCAGCTCAATCGATAATTGGTGGACAAAAGGCGGCCAGCGCCACCGAGCAGCTCCAAATTCTAAACTCTCAACGGCCGACGCTGTCGACCATTTTAAAGGACATTCACAGCCATCACATGCTAATTAGATCACAAAGCCGCACACGGGAGCGTGCGGGAGACAACACCTATATATCCACGGGGAAAATCTGAGTCTGGACGGGAGATCTAGGCTAGAATCCAGTGAGGGGCAAATATTACGGCCGCCGCGGGCCCTAGAGCAACTCTCGAGCAGCCCGCCATGCACCGCATCATGACCTCACTACTGGCGGAACTGAAGTTTAATCCTTCACCCCAGCTAGAGCTGCTGTTTATCCTTGTGTCCTTCGTAATACGATACCCCTCCCTGCCCCTCAGTTGAATTTCTAGTGCAAGCTTCCCCACCTCACATTCCACATTTCAAAGAACAGTTATCACCTACAATCCATAAGAAGTCACAATGCCTTACCCAGAGACCACCACGGCATTTGTCGTTACAGACATCAAAGACGGGAACTGGACTAAATTCTCCAAGCAGGAGGTATAGCTCTCTACTCACACAGCCTCATAGAGGGGCAAACCTCTACGCGTCCATTGACTGACTTCCTCCAGCTCAAGCTCAAGCCCTTCGAGTCCCACGACATTGACATTGCCATTGATGCCTGCGGTGTCTGCGCCTCGGACGTCCACACCATCACCGGTGGCTGGGGCTCTGAGATCCCACTTCCCCTCTGCGTCGGCCATGAAGTGATCGGACGCGCCGTCAAAGTCGGCGATGCCGTCAAGGGCGTCAAAGTGGGTGACCGCGTTGGCGTTGGCGCGCAGATTGGTGCCGATTTGACTTGCAATAACTGCAAGGCCGATCAAGAGAACTATTGCCCGAACTCAATCGACACATACGGCGCCCCGTACCCGGATGGAACCATCTCGCAAGGTGGATACTCGAGCCATATCCGCGCGCATGAGTACTTCACCTTCAAGATCCCAGACGGACTGGACACGAACCTCGCAGCGCCCATGATGTGCGCCGGCTTGACAACCTACAGCCCGCTGGTAAGGCTGGGATGCGGCCCGGGAAAGAAAGTCGGAATCGTAGGACTGTAAGCCCTCTTTCACCCCACACAATCTCACTTCCTAACACCACCCCAGCGGCGGCCTCGGCCACTACGCCGTTCTCTGGGCCGTCGCCCTCGGCGCCGAAGTAACCGTCATCTCGCACTCCCCCTCCAAGAAGGAAGATGCTCTCAAGCTCGGCGCCAAAAACTTCATCAGCACAAAGGACGACAAGTGGGCCGAGCCCTACAAGTTCAGCCTGGACTTCATCATCAACTGCGCCGACGCGACCGACAAGTTCAACCTCCCCGACTACTTCTCCACCCTCAAGGTCAACGGCACCTTCCACATGGTCGGCTTCCCGGACAACCCGCTGCCTAGCATCATGGCGCAGGACTTTGCGCCGAACGGGTGCTACATCGGCGCCAGCCATATTGGAAACAGGCCCGAGATGGAGGCGATGTTGGAGCTGGCGGCGAAGCAGAAGATTAAGAGTTGGGTGCAGACGATTGATATTAGTGAGGCCGGGTGCAAGGAGGCGGTGGAGAGGGTGTATAAGAATGATAATGTGAAGTTTAGGCTCACTTTGACTGGGTTTGATAAGGCGTTTGGCAAGAGGGCTTGAGCGGGCGATTCCTGAGAATGCCATGAACTCGGGTGTTTAGGCATGAGTGGTATTGAGGTCGGAGAGAAAATGGCGCATGGGGGGTATCGAGCAGGAGCTCGGTACAGAGTGGCTGCGGTTTTATGCATACGCATATATATTTGATGAGTAGAGAGAATGAGAACTGTTTGAATTGATCTGTCCATAGCTTCATTGTGAGTTGCTGAGAATTAACGTATACGTAAAGATTATAATAGTGGTTGGGGAAGTTTGAGAGAGGTGAGGCAGGAGGAAAGGTAGGAGCACGTGCGCAGGCGTCTTAGCGTCATTTCTTTATTTACCGCGACGGCCAAAGTTCTATCTCTCCACGCTCGTCTTCAACCTTAATTCTACCACTACACTGTTAAAACCCTGCTGCGAGAACGACGACGATTCTGTTGGCTTCAATTTCAATTCTGTACGGCATTCTCAACTTAAATGCACAATGCTCGTCTAGTTCTAACTTAGAAAACAGCCGTCTCATGAAAGAGCTACTATAAAGGTACCCAGACAGACAAAGGCAGTCTCCAGGAACAACAACACGAATGCCTGCTCAAAAATAAAGTTCGAATGCCACAATAGTGGCGCTCCAAGCTACCGTGGGCACAAGCCAGTCACATTTGGGCCGACCGATACCAGCCATGTCTACGGCGTCCTTAGCCTCAACGGGCAAAAAGCGCAAGGTTTCTCATCTTGTGTACGACTATACTGCATACTACACTTCATAATTCCCAAGCTAACATAGTTAACCAGCGACTTCTCCGACACTACAATTGTCGTCCTCACGGTCGGACCCGAAAAGAAGCCCTACAACATATATCGGGAGCTACTATGCCAGCATTCGCGATACTTTCGCAACATGTTCAAAGGCGAATTCAAGGAAGCCAGCGAGAAGTCAACAAACTTACCAGACACGAGTTGCGAGACGATTGAGGACGTGATGCGATGGATGCACTCAGGCGTGCTGAATGTGGATACGCTTAGACGTGCTAGGCATGAAGACGAGGACAATGGTACTGAAACGGAGGAGGGCACATCACGAAATCGCGACGAGAAAGGAGAAGGCAAAGATGACAAGGACGATGACGGCGATGCTGGCGAATCTGATGCCGGCGAAGGAGCAAGTGATGACGAGGGCAAAGATGACACTAGCAGCAACGGAGGCATTGAAGACGAACTCGACGTCTTGTATGCCGCTTACCTCGACATCTACATCTTCGCAGATCAATACGATGTCCCCGACCTCCGATTGACAACCTTGAAGACATGGCAGCGACTAGACGTAGAATCTCCATCTAGAGAGAAACCGCTCGGTTCTCTAGTGAAGAGGGCATTTGCAAGCCTTCCCGCGAATTCGCCGCTATGCAAATACCTCATAAGGTCTTGCGCGTACAGATGGTCAACGCAATGGATCCATGAGCAAGCCAGATTCGATCTACCTTATATTTTTATGATCGGAGTCATGGCTGCCAACTCTCGTTCGATCGGCCAGACTTCCAAAGCCCTTTTGACCAGCTGGTGCTGGTTTCATGAACATGGTACTAAAGTCATTCCTGATGAGTGCATTGCTGAGAAGGAAGAGCTGATGAAGACTCTAAACGATGCCACGGGAAAGAAGGCGGAAGCTACGAAAGCCGAGCCTGTGAGGCCACAACAGAATACTACTGCCAATGCAGCAATTGTACAGAAGAGGAGGAGGGTTTAAGCACACTCCTAATCGGGAAGCACTCGCTTGACGCTTTCATGATCCTACAATTTCATAAAGTGCCAAAGGAGGACACAATTAACGCAAGGAACGAGCACTTTCTGGACTCAAGAGGGCCAGCTATATGAATGGTTCGGATATGTTCTAGGGTCTCAGTGTTTCCACGACAACGCCTCATATATCAAAGATAGCAAGTTAGAAATTGATGACCAGACTACGGGAGTAGTTCTCATGAGCAGAGCGCCATAAATTCAGCGAAGCTTCCATCGTAGGCTTTGATTAGATAGGACAACCTCTGAGCTAGTAGCGCCAATGGTTGCCCACCAAAAAGAGGTTCAAGCTATTCTCTATGTTCATTTCATTTTTACTTCATCGGCTCGTTGAACACTACACCACCTAGAAACAAAATCTTCGCCCACTTTCTTGCTTCTGTCCAGACCGCTCGGGCATAGTATAACAAATCCAACTAGGGTGTTCAAACCTGGAGGGCGGCAAAGAGTAAGGGTACAGAGTATTAACACTAAATCCACCATGCCACTGTTCTCAATGCTTCACAGCATGCCCAGAGATCTGAAGAGATGGAAGATCTTAAGATGTTGCACTGAGCGAGCGAAACAAGATGTCCAGACTCATGTCCTGATATTGTCCTTCGAACTGGTCTTCTCTCACGTGGTGCAAGCCACAATTCAACTTGGTCCTAAATTTTATGTCTCTCTTAAAATCCAGATACCTCAGTGGCCCTCTGCTCCACCAAAGTACATCCACCATTCACATTCACAAAATCGGCTCCACTATCGCCGCCTGACCTGGCGCTTTGAAAAGATCCACGTGACCCTCATGTTACCCACCAAACCGCCCTCCGGCCATCCGAGGACGGGTATAAAAAGCTCCTTCCCCTCGATCCAACTGTCAACTCCAGACCACTTCCACTCCTCGATTCAAATCGGCGATGTTCCAAGATTATGCTTGGAGATCTTCGAAGAGTGGAATAGTATTGACACATGGCAGAGGTGCAGGTTTCCATAAGTACGAGCGCACTCTGTTGGTTTGCAGGCCGTAGCATCTGAACATTGACAGAACGCGACATTATGTACATGAAAGCGCCCTGTTTGCTACCGGCAGTGATTGCTGTAGGTGATTGTCATAATCCAACACACTCCACTTTGAACTGCTCGACATGACTGTCAGGAGTAGCTCTACGGCCAGATAGCCGTCTATTCAATATGCAGCCCAATCTTCACTAACACTTCTTTGCGTTCGGATATATCTGAAAGCCTATTGGGACATCTCAGACAGTGATGAAAGAATATGCATTATTTTAGGAAGACACTGGACGGTTAAGTGGCTGGATATCCCCAAATCGACCCTGTAGCACCCATCTACCACGGCAGGGGGTCGCTCGGCGAGGTATAAGGCAGGTAAAAATGATAGCTCTCAAGTTCTTTTTAGGACTGTTCGAAGCACTTCTGACAGCAGCAAAACAGTAGCAAAAATGTAGAAGAAGAAGAAGAGCTCAAGACCATGAGCCTGAATTTTTAATTCCCTTTTACCCAACCCAACCCTATGCAAACAAGCATTTCAGCCTGTAATGAGAGAACTACGAGAAAAAGGAGAAGAAGTGGCCACCGAACGTGCTTATTGGTACAAAGCGGCCTACCCAAAGGTCCTACCCAAAGGCCCCAATCCCGAAAAAACAAAAACCCGCCCTGTGTGCAGATTCAGCAACATGTCCAACGCCTACCACCCCCCCCTCCCTCCTCTCCCACCACGCCACCTATCCCCAAAGTTCCTATCCCCCTCGCGGTCAAGCCTGCCAGCCATGCCGCCACCGCGGTAGCTGTCGCCCCTAAAATCTCCCCTAAACCCACCTCTGCCCCGATACCCCCCTCCGCGCCCACCCCACCCTTGCACAGCGCCGGGTCCAAAGTCCGGCCCGAATTCCATCAAAACGTCCTTTTCGAACCCGTACCGCACCTTCTCGTCCAACCTTCCCCTCCCACGGCCACGAATATTGGAATCCGGGTCCCAATTGCGGCTCGTAGCCGCTTTGAGGGCATCGAGACGCGCCTCCGCACGCTCTGGCTCAACAGGTTGGAAATAGAGCTTAGGCTTCGCGGTAGTAGAGCTGAAGAGTTTATCGAGAGTCTGGAAGCTCTTCGTCGGGTCCGGCGCGGGGGCCTCGGCGTCACCAGCCTTCGCCTGCGTCCGATCAGCCGTCAGCGGGATCGAATTGGCGGTTGTGAGAGCAGAAGCTCTGCGTTCGGCCGGGCCACGCGGGCCAGTCGGCGCGTTGGGCATGCCGAGTCCGCCTACGTCTGGTCCGCCCCTATGCGCAGAGATGTCGATGGAGCCGCGACCGCCATTCGCGCCCTCTTCCTGGAAAACGGCGCGGGCGGGGACGTCGCCATCGCTGCTGGGGATGTAGGCGACTTTGTATCTCCTAGCCGGGCCGCGACCGCTGCGGCTGTCGCTGGCGGCCTCCTCTTCGGTCTTGATCCAGCCTTCAACGTGGTCTTCCGGCACGAAGTCCACCCAAAGCGACTTGCGATCGCGCTCGGTGGGCCAGACAGCGCCATGAAGGGCTGTGCGGACGCGGGCAGCTGCGGAGATCGAGCCGAATACCACGAAGGCGTGAGTGCGGATTTGGTCGAGGAAGAATGTCTTGAGGACGGTTGGGTCGGGATCTGAGGATGGCGGAGAGGCTAGCGCGATGAGGTGGTTGCGCAGGGCAGGGAGTTGCAGAGGGCGCATGAAGTTTCGGATGTAGATGGCTGCAGTTGCGGGATGCAGACTTGGTGATACGGAACGATCAGTGTCAGAATCTGCGACGGGCGGGGTGGCGGTAGTGGGTGTTGGTTGTTCGAAGAGAGACTTGAATCGGGAGGAATTATCCTTCTCGCTGTCCCGTTCGCGCGCCGAAGTTCCAGCTGGAGCTGGTTTGGAAGCTTCGGGAGCTTCAGCTTGCTCTTTTGCAGAGACGGGGGGTGCCTCCGTCTCAGGTTCTGTAGCCTTATCCTCCATAACCACATCTCCATCCAACTTGTCCTGCTCTTCCTCCATCATGGCGTTCTGCTCAATGTGAACTACTTCTTCGACACTTGGCTCCAACCCCTCTCCGCTCGTCCTTAACTTCTTGCTTCTTATGTCGTCGGCCTTGACGTCTGGTGAGTTGCTCCTCCTCTTGCGCTTCTTGCTATCTGCCTCCATTTCCTCGGAATTGAGGCGTGAGGGCTCGACGGAAGGCTCGACGGATGGTGCTTCCACCGCAGCAGGCAGCGGTACCTCCTTCTCGACAGTCTTTGCCTCGTTTTCGGCAGGCGGTGGCGTTGCAGGGCTGGCTTCTTTAGCCGGAGGAGTAGGCTCTTTCGGCGGCGGCGTAGGTTCTTTCGGCGGAGGAGTAGGCTCTTTGGGTGTCGGTGTCGGGTCTTTGGCAGGAGGAGTATCTTCTTTCGCAACCACTATAGGCTCCGTCTCCGGCGGCGCATCATCCGTGACAGGAACGACCTCTTCTACCCCCTTCTCCCCCTTCTCCCCCTCCCCCTCCCCCTCCCCCTCCACCTGCACAGCCTCCCCACCCTCCATCACACCCTCCCCCTTCTCTCCCCCCTTCGCCGCCGCCTCACCAACCCCATCCCCACTCCCGCTCTTCCGCCTCGCCTCCTCCGCCCCCATCGTAACGCTCGACGCCGCCGGCGACGTGCCCTCCTCCTTGGCTTTGTCCAGCGTCTCGGCACCCCCAGCGCGATCCGCCTCCTCCAGCTTCTCCACAATCTGCGCCTTGCGCGTCAGGCCCGTCGACGAGATGTTGCGCTCCTTGAGCAGCGCGCGCAGCTGCAAAACGGTCTGCTTGGTGTAGTCCATAATGGGGCAAAAGGAATTGGTGGAGGAAAGGTGAAGAGGTGAAGAAGGTCGCTTGTTCTTCTCTCCAACAGTCGCGACAAAGCGGCCCCGTCTCGCGCGTCTCGCGCTAGCGGCTTGGCGGGGCTTTGACGTAGGGAGTGGCTGGTTGGTTGGGTGCCACACTTCGTGGGGGCTTTCATGCAGGAGGGGCTTTGTGCGGTTGTTGAACGGGTTTGCAGGCACCGATGTCTAAGGTAGCCCTGGGAAGTTTATCGATTATTCAGATTGTTTCTGTTGAAGTGTCTAAAAAGCCATTAAAGCACGTCGAACGGCGACAGACCAGGTATACACACTTATCAAGTGTCTCTCAAAGGACCAAGTTGCCTGGAACCTTTGATGTAGAGTTCTCGTCATGGACCTGTGTAGACTCTTCTACCACTGGCTGTGGTACCTTGATATATGATCGGAGCATGAAGCGATGGGTTACACCTCCAGTGTATGTGCACGTAATTACAGGAGGTACCAGCGAGGGCTTTGCTTAATAAAATCAGTACCTCAATGATATAACTGTGCACTCTCTTCTGACGCCGTTTAAGGTGGCCCGGTGAGTTGTAAGATTGCTTAACTTCAATGCCTTGTTGTATATCATGTCGGGTGGAGGTGCGAGCATAGGTATAGCACTTTGTGAGTGTTTGAATATAGTCAGAAATAGAATTGTATGCACAGGAACACAATAAAAAAACCAAAGCAAGTGTGCCAAACGCCGAAATCGCCTCAAGTTAAAGAATGAAAATCTCCACTTTTCCCAATCCCATCCGTCGCAACGCGTTCATCTGTAATTTGAGCCCCTTTGGCTCCATTTACCTACATCCTCCATTTTACTATTATCTAAGCTGCCGCAGCGATCGGGGTCGCTATCGGGATGGAGGGCACAATCGGCTCCGGAGCCGATTCGACCTTGCCAGCCGCATACCCCTCAAATTCAATCTCTCTGGGGTGGACACCCACACGCTCCTTGGCGAGCAGATCAACCAAGAGCGGGGAGGGCTTGTTGTCCTTGTCTGAGAACATAGCCTGGTGCTTCTTATACTTCTCCACGCTTTCAATGTAGCGGTCGAAGAGGTATGCCGAGTCCATTGGGCCGCCCTTAGCCTCCGGATGGAACTGCGCGCTGAAAATGGGGCGCGAGTTGTGGATCATGCCCTCGTTGGACTGGTCATTGAGGTTGGTGAAGTATTCGCGCCACTCCTCGCCCAGGGTAGTTGGGTCAACGGCGTAGCCGTGGTTCTGGGAAGTGATGTGGCATTGGCCAGTAGTCAAATCGAGGGCGGGGATGTTATGAGCACGATTGCCATACTTGAGCTTGATGGTGCGGGCACCAGAGGCGAGGGCAAGTAGCTGGTGGCCCATACATATGCCCATGATGGGTACTTGAGACGTCTCCATCAATTTGCGGAGGTTGTAGACGGTGGCTTGGCAATGGGTTGGGTCACCTGGCCCATTGGAGATGAAGACACCATCAAAGTGATGAGCGACCTTGTGGATCGGGTAGTCGTATGGGAAGCAGGTGACGCTAGCTCCACGGGCAACGAGGCTGCGGAGGATGTTCTCTTTGACGCCGCAGTCAATCAAAGCCACGTGCATATCTCCAAGGGCGGAGTGAACGTGAAAGGGGGCCTTGGTGCTGACTCGGCGAACCAAATTAATGGCTTCAGGATCGATGAAGGCCTCGTCTTCGTCGGCATCGTACTCCTCTCCAATGGTAATACGGGCCAAAGAAGAGCCCTGCTCTCGGAGGTAAGTCACGATAGCACGGGTGTCTACCCCTGAGATTGCGGGAACGCCCTCGCTGGCACACCACTCAGCCAGACTCTGGACAGCTGTCCAGTGACTGTGTTCGACAGCATAGTCCTGGACAACGATACCCGCAGCCTGGATGTGTGGGGACTCGAAGTACCTGAGCAAGCCATGCTGGTCCCGGGCCGAGGAGGGGACTCCGTAGTTGCCAATGAGAGGCTGGGTGAAGACGAGAATTTGTCCGCGATAGGAAGGGTCGGTCATGGATTCGGGATAGCCAACAAGCGAGGTGGTGAATACGGCTTCGCCAGAGATGTTCGATTTGGCGCCAAAGGACTTGCCGCTAAAGATCGGTCCATTCTGAAAAATGGCGGTGAGTGACGTGGAAACATAGGACGCGGCTGCGGGATGCAATTATATACCTTGATTGTGAATGTAGCCCGCTCAAGAGGGGCAGCAGGCGTCGCTCGCGCCCTCCTGAGTGGTTCTAGTGCTTGACGGGGAGTGTTCTTCTCGACCGTGGCTAGGAATCGGGATTGCGTGCGGGTTTGGATCGCTCGTCCCAGGACACTGGCAGACCGCAATGGAGAAGGCTTGAAGACGTGGGCGAACATGTTGAGTGGAGATTGTTACAGAGATTGGTATTCCGGGTTTGGCGTAAAGGGTTTCAATTCGCGGAAGCCTTCCACAGATGGTCTGGTGGGTGGTTAGCTGGGCCCGGAATGTCGAGGTGACATCACACGTCCGGACGGCATACCTGAGATGTAGTCCTACAGAGATGTCAATTAGCCATGGTCTATACCAGAGAGCGAGGCAGGGGGCGGATGTGCAAATGTGAAGTGCGGAGTCGTTGCTGCAGGGCGTGTTGGGCACTCGGTGTGTGATCGGGGCGATAAGAGGATGAGTTGTGCTGTTGGCGGACATACCTGGGAAGTGAAGAGGGTCTGAACAGCACGCATAAGCGCGATAGGAGGACCTGGTGGGAGTTGAAGAGGGCGAGCTGGGGCTCTGGCAGGCGGGCTGGTAGCTGTGAGGGTCGGGCAAGCTTTGTGGAAGAGACTTGCTGTGACTATCACGAGAACGACGAAAGCCGCTGCGGGGGCCGCCAAGCGCGTTCCAGAGTGGCTAGAAGAGTGGAGGGATGACGGAAGCCGCCTGAAATTTTCACACCTCACGCAGCCGGCACACATGCACCAGGGGAAAATTCTGAACAGCAGCTCCAGTAAACGATGGCCACAGGCCGTGGTGCCGTTGCTGGGCGAATTCAATGGCCGCTGAAATGCCCGTTGAGTGAGTGCTACTTTTCACGGCAATCAGCGCCAGTGCTAGTTTTTGGGACAGAACAAAACCTCCACACAAAGACGCCACTATGTCCTTTGTGTAAGTAGTGCTGTTACCTTTGTATCTATTCTCACCAAAACCTTGTGCCACACTTTCATAATCTCCAGGCTTTGCGGAGAATTGAGGTCGCTGCAGCTGTCTACCAATCACAGTGCTCATATATATATGGCACTTCTCGTGAGCACAGACAAGCGTGATCTTCCATCATGTTTTCATCATTCTTCGAGTGGGTGTCGCCATCTGATGTCGCCCAGCGAGCTTGCCAGTTGTTCAAAGTGATGAAATACATATTTGGAGACTGCCATTGAGGAACTCCAATAGCTCAGAACTCTCAACTATATATGTAAGAATGCCAAGAGTCGTCAGTTCACGAGCCCCCAGATATCAAACTTGATACCAGAGGCCGTGTCAATCCCCAGGAAAGCTTTTGCGTGATCAATGAGCTCCATTATCCTCTCCGTCCGTCTGTCACACCCATCATCACACAGTCAACGTCCCCGTCAGCCTCCCGTCCCTCGAATTCGCACCCACCGCGATGCCGAACCCCCCGCTCGGCACCACCCAGCCGGCACCATTCCAATAGCTCAAATCCTTCCTCCTAAGCTCGAACCTCGCAGTCCCACTCACACCAGCCGCTAGACTCAGCTTCACAAATCCTCTAAATTGCTTCGGTGGCGAAGGAGCAGAAGATGGGAGTGTAACGTAGAGCTGCGGGACCTCGGCGCTAGTAACGCTCCCGGAATTCGTGATAGTTGCGGTGACAGTCGCTACGATATCGTAGAGATTACCAGCGGAGGTGTTCGGGACGGGGCCGGATGTTGCTGAGGAAGCGATGCTGAGAGCCGAGTAGGTGAAGTTTGTGTATGCTATTGTATGAATCAGTACCATGTCAAGATGATACTTTGTCTCGTCACAGATCCGTGTACACTTCTATACCACTGCTTGTGGCAGAAAGTTGTACACATATCCATGACAGGGGCTGGAGCAGAGATAGAAAATGAACTTACAAAGATCAAAGCCAAACTCAAATCGCGGTGTGCTGTTGTTCTTATCAAAATGTCTATAGTCGATATACAACCCTTCCGAGAACCCATCGTCGCCCAAGACGACTGCCGTGCCATAATCCGCTACTGTCTTCGCAATCGTAAGGGTAGCTTTCCGCTGGGGCCTGTAGAGCCGTATAGTACGTCCACAAGTCCATTTCCGCTTTCTTGCCCCGGCAATCCTGCTCAAACAACAGCTTTGACACTTTCTAGCGCGATGATGGATTCCAAAATTATCGACCCAACGCTGTGAATCAGCACGATCGTATTTGCGTTGACAGCGGCCACCGCTTTCACGAGGTCGTCCCACCAGGCCATAGATCGAGGTTGTTGCGGTCACCCGCGTTAGTCTCGACGGTGACGCAGCCCTCGCCTGAATCAGCCGTGATGAATACAATGGCCATCGCCGCGGCAGAGACTGCAGAGGCGCCTGCGGAGGAGGAGTCAGTGGTGGATGTCATGGGAGCGGTGCTATCTACCAAAGCTTGCGGTTGAATAGCGTCGAGAGGTGCCGCAAGGTAGGGCAGCTCTGCAGTCCCTGAGCCCCAGCCCACCGCAAGAGTTCCGGTGTTGCACTGACAATCAGCACAAGAATTGATGCCCTTCAGATTCTGAATTACGTTAGAGCCAGTGATGGCCAAGCTGGCCGGTTTCTTCAATGGCCGTATCCCCCACACGTTAGCCGCCTTGCCATCCGACGTCAGTGACTATGTTGGTTTTGTCGGAAGAGGAGAGTTTAGCAAGGGCGGTGGCGGTCTTCCTGTACGCTGAAGCCCGTCGCCAACAGCACGCTTCGTTTCGGGGACTGCCAAAGCGAGCGTCAGTACTGTTCATTTTTCGCAGACTCGTATTGTAAACAGCTGGCAAGTTCATCATGCCCTAAGAAGATTGCCAAAGTCTAAGGCTGAGTTACCTACCACGCGAGCAAATTGCTAAGGTAGCAATTGCGAATATTTGAAGAAGGTGATCCCGCATCGTGAAGCCACCTTTGAAATGGAGCAACACGAAAGAGTTGAGGAAATTTCATCCTCGTAGTTCGAAAGGGCGGTCATTCTTTAAAGCAGTTCGTTAACCTGTCGGCTCGGAGGGCTCATTACCGTCAGAACAAGTGGATGAGATTTATATTCCTGGGGAAGACTCCCAAGGCGAAGCAAGCTTCGGCGGTAGATTCATCCCAGCAAATGATTGCATTTGTTCGCGACAGGCTGCTTTGCATATATTGCCGGGCTGATCTCGGCAGTGCATCGAGAGGTACTCTGTTAAGTGTACGGCCCGGGACTCGATGCGCTACGGATTCCTCGATAAGGGCGTGTCCCGCTTGTCGCCAATAGAACGCAGCAGAGACAAAGGCACGAGCTTCCGCTTCATCACAGACACTCCTTTCTCAGATAGTGTAAAATAATCTAATCTCTTCTCGAAGCTTGGTTTGACTGGGGTCAGTAAAAGAGGAGTTTCCAAATTGTTAGCACCTGGCGAATGATGAAGTTTGATGGAAACAATGACAGAGAGCAAATTTTTGGAATGATGATTAGATTTGTCCAGCACTCTTGCACTAGAGACGGTGAAATGAAGTTTCTCTATGATTACTTTAGAGGTGATCTCCGTCCGCTCTTCCAAGTCAAAGGATGCGTTGAAGTAGCAACGACGATACGTTGATTCAATATTCGTAGAAGCCCATGCACCAGAAAGAAACTTCTTAAGTATATCAGATACACACTCACTGAAAGCTTTGCGACTAGTGATACAATCGAAACACAGTGGAGGAAGACGACATGCTAAATACTGGTGCACTTAGCAATTGAATTGTTGAGTAGGTTGTGGGACTTTACCTATGGGGCACATACCTTTTAAGAAGAATGGTATTTTATAGACATAAATCAGCTTGGCAACTGTTTGTGCAATTCTGTAAGGTTTCCTCAGGAATCGAGCCGGACGTTCTTGAGGAGACGTAGGGCTAGACCATAGTCACATGCTGCCGAGCGGTGTCCCATGTTCCAATGTTGTTGAAACCTCCGATGGTAAATCGGCTCCTAGAACCGAAGTTGCGGATTCATCTGGCGACTGAACAGGTGTGTTACTTTTAGAAACTCTAATTGGCTTTACATGCTTCGTGGTGGTGCACAGGTTGGTGTAAGCCTGCAAAATTCCGTAGCTACTTCTAGCAAGGTCGGAGATTTTGGCTTTCATGTACCAAGTAGGGAGCGTGGCTCTCAAGTCTCCGAATAGCTGCATATTCGGGATCTCTTGATGCAGGTACTGCAAGACGGTTTAGCTCCATCACATTTGATCTTCTTCACATGACAACTGTCGCATCTAGTTCTTAAGCATCTACGCTTATCTTGCGTTTGGCCAATAAACCTCAGCGTCGGTAGCTGTTGGGGGTAAGACGATGACGCCGATGGGAAGCCATTCTGGGTTTCCTCGAATCCGCTGGATGTGTTCTGGAGAAGCCACGGCGAACTGTCCTGGCGAGGCGTGACCGGAACAGGGAATTCTGGCTCGTTATCCACGGGCTCGCTTTCCATGGGTTCGTCTTGCGTTACGGCAGAAGAATTCTTCCGTTGACGCTTCTTAGGAGTGACGGTCTCTCCCAGCCCTGCCTCTGCTGTTGTCGTGGGGTTGGCTTTTCGTTTTGGGGTAGGTGCAGACTGTGAAACTGGCGCCAGAGGCAAATTTTCCAGAGCAGGCAATGCTGAATCCGAGCACAGGGTGCTAGAAGTCGACAACGTCAGCCATTGAGGCAATTTAGAACAGTATCAGGTTTGATGTCGAAAGTAGAATCTGCACATACTCAGATGAAATTACGCTAGTGGTACGTTGAATGCCTTGCTCTTGTGAGACGTAAGCTCCGTGAATAGGATTGTGCCGATAGACAACGTTGATGCATTCTTTCTTTAGAGAAAATGTGATAAAGATGGACCCGCCACAATCAAATGTAGGCTTGTGCTTGTTAGGCTTTTTCTCCACAGGAAGCGCGGATGACCCTATAGATCAAGTCAGTCAAATCTGCAGCTTCAGCAAGATTTTCTTATGTACCGTGGGATCGAGACGCGGCATTTGCAACACGATCGGGATTTTGAAGCGAGTCTGCGCAGACGTATTTAAAGCGAGTGCCATCATCGATGGTGCTGCTAGCTTGGCGCTCTGTGTATTTGAAGCCGTCTACCTTCTGGAAGACCTCGATAATAGATCTAGCCACGACTCTCTGGGGTTTGACTTTGGGTTTAGGCTCTGTTGTGCGATACAATGCTTCTTCCAGGCTGATGACGGTATCGACATGTCCATTTGGGGGTAGTGTAGGATACTTATTTCCGGCCTTTCCGCTATGAACCGCAGTAGCAGATAGCTGGATCGTGGAGTCGTTGTAGAACACAAACTGGGCACTGTCTGTTTCTGGTATGATGCTTTGAGAAGTGCTCTGAAGTTCGTTCTGGAAGTGGTATGCTAGATTCTCTAGATTCTGGACGCGATATGTCGTCTTGGGCTTGGGCCCTCTCGGCCGTCTGGCTTTGACGGTGTCCATATTGGGGCCCGTCCAAGGCGTTCTGGTGCTCACTGGTCCAGTCCGCCCTCCTTTTCATGCTCTGATGATGTGAGGCTCAAACGTGCGGGATCTGGACCAAGGTTTGGGAGGGAAAACGTTGTTCCAGCGCCCCGATGCAAGGGACCTAGCGGCGGTGTTAGTGCGTGTATTTGAGTAACACGTCCTTTATTCCGAGCAAACTCCAGGCTGTTTGTCCTTCAATAAATGCCACTTGTGTGCATCTTGGGCTGAAGAACAGGTGCAGATGCTCAACTCTTTTCTCCGCAGGCCGGACCGGCTGTCTGATGGACAACCCGCAGTGCTCTCGCGTTCCGCAGCGTCCAATATATGCAGCATAGTGCTTCAAGCTGGGAGTAGTTAGCCAACGCAGGGGGCGCGCTCCTGCCCGCGGCAGAGCAGAGGAGTCTTGCGCGGCCCTCGTTTTGAACCGTGAACATGCTAAATGGGGGCTGTGAGCACACGCTCTGGCACCGCGGATTGCCGATGAAGGCTGTGGCATCCCCAGGGGCAGCGGACGATTTCGAGGCCTCACATGAAGCAGACTTCGAGAAAGTATATCGGAGGAGCCTGCTTCTGGAAGAGTTTATAACTGCTCTGTCCCAAATGGGCGGACTGCAGTATAACGGCACCCCTTCGTCACTTCCAACCGTTGACGTCCATGTTGTGACTTGCTTCGTATTGTTGTAGGAGCCAGGCCAGGGCCTTTCCACAGATACAGCCTGGACTAAAACACAGCTCATATTCATTCAGTGCCGCGCGATCGCGAAATCGACCCCCACAGCACAGCATCAGCTCTCTTTCGGCCAGGCCCCAGATTAAAAGCGCTACTGGTAGGCGACACCCTCCGCGCCATTGCCGACCTCACTCATCTGCGCCCCGTCCAACTGCCTCCCTTTGATAGTGCTTCCATTCCACGCTGCCAGCCAGACTCTTCAGTGTTCTTCAGCTCCGGCGCCCCGCCGTCTTTGCTCCATTGTTCTCTCTTTTGCCTCTTGCCTCCCGCTTTGAAAGCCCCAGCACTCCCCGACGTTTCGAGTTTCAAGAACAGGCCGGTCCGCGTTGCACGCGCCTCCACTGGTCCCCACGAGCTATCGCGGTACGCTGAACATATGGCACGGCCCATGGAGCTACTGTGGTGAATACTGACATGTTTCTTTGCCAGGCTTCGCTCTCCTGCACTCCCGCACTCCCGTTTCGAGACCACCTCCAGCTGGCCGACCCTCCCCCACTCGTCCTCACCCAACTCCCACCGGAGTTTGCTATTGTGGCCTCGATCCTGCGACCGACGACAGCATTCTTATCGGCACTCACATCCTTCGCGCATCGGCTTTGGTAGTTGCCGTTCACGTTTACTGCAGCATCGGATAACAGACCCCCGCCTCACCAGTCACCATGGTCGTGGCTACTATCAAGTATGGCCGCAAGTCTCATAAACGGTTACCTGAAATCAAGTACGGTTCGTACTTGGAAAAAACGCGGACCTCACTTCCTTTGGCACAATTGTTGATGCTTGATGACACTGGGCTAACTTCTTCGGCTGCATAGATGCGTCGTCGTCGGAGACGGTGCTGTAGGCAAGACATGCCTCCTGATCAGCTATACCACAAACAAATTCCCTTCAGAATACGTGCCGACCGTGTTCGACAACTACGCGGTTACTGTGATGTAAGACCATCCTCGCAACTCGAGTTCCTGCTTTCGTGGCCTCCACTTGAACTGCCGAATGGCGATATGCCGCATTGGAAAGGAGAACGCCCGATCTAACTTGATACAGGATCGGCGACGAGCCGTACACCCTCGGCCTCTTTGATACTGCCGGTCAGGAGGATTATGATCGTCTCCGCCCTCTTTCCTATCCCCAGACGGATGTATTCCTCGTCTGCTTCTCGGTAACTTCGCCTGCCTCATTCGAGAACGTGCGTGAGAAATGGTTCCCGGAAGTCCACCATCATTGCCCCGGCGTTCCCTGCCTCATCGTTGGCACGCAAGTAGATCTTCGCGACGATGCCGCGGTGTGCAGCAAGCTGGCCAAGCAGCGGATGCAGCCAGTCAGACGCGAGGACGGCGAGCGCATGGCGAAGGAGCTCGGTGCTGTCAAATACGTCGAGTGCTCAGCTTTGACCCAATACAAATTGAAGGATGTGTTCGACGAGGTATGTCTGTAAGAGATGACCGTGATCTGCATCTGCTAACACTCTTGCAGGCCATCGTGGCGGCCCTCGAACCCCCACCAAAAACGAAGGAAAAGAAGAAATGTGTGGTGTTGTAGTCGTGGGCTAGACGTGAGGTAACACAGGAGCAATACCTCTCCATGGCAAGCCATCATCCTTGTTTTTCTTGCCAAGCATTTCATCTGGCACGGCGTGGTTTCTTGGGGGATACCTTATCGTGAACACCTGGCGCTTTGTGGGTAGCGGTGTTTTTTTTCCGAGTCGTGGTCATTTTGCCTCTGAGCTTTTTTCAATTCAGGGCTTTTCCAAATCAGGTGTAAAGAAAGAAGTGCTGATACCCGCCTTCAACCATGGGGCTGTGAATTTTTGCATGGAAGCAGCTGACTATCTTCACAGTGTCTTCGATCTCAATGAGCGAATGACATATTCTCAGGACACATCGAGTATGATATCCTCGCCCGAGTGGCTGAAACATAATGGCGGGGCACGTGTGGTAAAAGGCCGTAGGTAGGCAAGAGATTCAGATGAGAATTGATGTTTCTTGATTAAATCATGGTAATCCAAAGGTGATCTCTTCTAATGTTGATGTCTCGCCGCGTCCTCTCCTTCCAGGAGTGACAATCTTAGTCTCCCTTGCGATTGTAGCAATATCTTCGAGTCAAGACGCTCTGAAAGATACTTATCCCATTTCTTGAACATCAAGAGTCGACAGATCGAGTCCGTGTGCCTCATGGCGCGCGAAGCTCAGTGGTGTCCGGACGCGTCGGAGTAGATTGACACATTCACGCGTTTGACGAGGCATATGAGCGGTGAAGTCCTTCACCAGCTGCGGGCTGCCTGCAGAGCGTGCACTTTCCATAATGCATTGTCCTCGCTAAGCTACTATTGTGTGGTGAGCTGATTTCTCGCGTTCCTATTGTGTTTATTGTGCTGCTGCCTGCGGCCAATTGTTGTTCAGTGCCGACAATATAAGTTTTCCTTCCAGCCCGCAAAACCTCGCAACCACAACAACAACAACGACGTCTCGCCAGCGTCACCGTCGCCGGGCCGTGCTGGCCAAATCTTGGACTAACCAGAGCACCGCGCTAACCTCATCACAAGCCTACAGGATGGAGCAACGCATGGCGTTGCGGAAGGCGGGCCACCGACCCCCTTCAATTTCCATTCCTCCGAACGCGTCGAATCCCCACACCGTTCGACCGCTCGAGATCTCAGGTCCGGAACGTCAAGAAACATGGCACGAGCGCCAGCTGCGAACAAACGCCTTCTACCGGGACGAATGGCGGGCGAAAGTAGAAGCAGGGCTGAACCCGCAGCCTCCCGACCCGTCTAAGCCATTGTTGACCGCACCCGACGAGCTGGTAATCCTGTCAGAGGCTCAGATACAAGCTCTGCGTCGGGAGCTTGAATTCCCCAGCCAGCAATTCACCTCCTACTCTACCGAGTCTGAGGGCGAAGAAGTCTCAGGTGACAGACAGATATCAGTCGACGAACAAGTCTTCGATGAACAAGTCTTCGACGGGAAGATCTCGGGCGGAAAAGAGGTCTCACACAAGCATGGTGCCAAGCCTTCGGAGCCCGGCGAGTCTACAGAGTCGGAAGGCGAGCAACTCTCACGTGGAAGCCCAATATCAAGAGCAAAGCGGGTCTCCGGTGGGAAGACTTCAGGCAGAAAGCAGTCTAGGTCGAAGACTCCTAGAGCGAAGAACCCTTTCCCTAGGACAGCGGCGCCTATGCCCAACTCGAGGACGTCTGAGCCTACGTCGACGATGCCAAAGAGAACCCAGTCAGCAGCCCGTGTAGTGCTGAAGGAACCTGTCTTCGAGCCAACCGCTCGTGCCGCCATCGAGGCGAAGCACGAGCCGCGTCTCAATGCTCTAATAAATCGACAGCCGGACCCAGAAGAGAACAACCCATACGCGGTCACAATCGTTCGACAGGATCTTCGAAATGTTGAGCCTCACCGGATTGCGGCGTCCGTGGACGAGACGACGGCGAAGAAGTTGTCGTTGAAGAGCCCGAGAAAGCTCATTGGCTTCCTGACAAGTGGCTTCAGACCTGACCCAGTACCTCAATTGCCTGCGAATGTTCCTCCAAAAGCATCGCGGCTGCTTGTGTCCCCTCCTAAGAAACACCGATTCCGATCGAAGAAGGTAGAGCGATCAGCAACATCGAACTCGCTCCCTAAGCCCTCAATCAAGTCCCAGTCCGAAAAAGACATGACGAAGGCTTCTGGATTCGCCAGCCTTGCCTCTCGGTTTCACACGCGGAATCCGAAACAACAGCCTCGACCACATACCGCAAGAGGTAGATCCGCACATGGGCCCCGCCCTCACACCAGCCATGTTGCTCGGACACATTCGTCGGGTAATAGCGTCTCCCAGAGTTCAATCCGCCCGTCGTCTCAGAAGCAACCTGCGGGAAAGGCTCTTCGACAGGCTGTAGAGGCCGAATTGGCGAGCAAGCCACTCCCACCGCAACCAGACTCAGATGACAGTAGCACGGATTACTCGGGTGTCATTGGCAGCTATGGGGCGCTTGATCCCATTCCGAATCTTCCGCGACCCGCCACCCAGGGTAGATCTGGAGGATCTGACGCGACAGTCGCGGCGAAGTATTGCCCCCCAAAGGCTGCTGAATACCACGGTGTAATGAATGTTGGCATGCGGGTTTTCTCGCAGCATGCGAAGATTGAAGAGGGCAGCGCCGACGCGACTCCGGGAGCCGTTCAGGACGACAACCATGGCGACAACGGCCTGCCGGCAACATTCTACTCGCCTTCACACTACACCGTCGATACGATTGATCGGGCCTCCGGATTCAGGCCGTCTCGCAACGTGAGTTTCCCTTCCCTTCGAGCAGCGCCAAGCACGGCGACGCCATTGCCCTGAGGCCATTCACCTCGAGTTGTCGCTTCGCCGAAGTTCCTCCGCTAACATCTATCGCTCCAGGTCGACCCTGCCCGCTACATCGTTGCATCTCCAGCCCGGCCACCACGACAGCAGATCGCGCAGCCTCAGCCCGTGTCAACGCACTCCCGCTTGGCCAGCCAGGGAACGATCCGCATGATCTTCCAGGGCGACGCCAAAGACATCACCCCAGGCGCGACCGTCGACAACACCAATCCGAACACCGTCACACCCCGCAACAAAGCCGCAGCGAAGCGGTCCAGCCCGCAACACCACACTCCTACTCTTCGGCAGCTTGAGGGCCCAGCACGCACCCAGTTGGTTCCCCAGCGACCACTTGCGCCTAAGCACAAGATGATTGCCAACCTGCAAGACGATCAACAGGAACGCCAGGTACTTCGTCGTAGACCTGGTTCAGCTGACATGAAAAATCAAGCTAACCGCCCCTCCTCGAAGCACGCGCATGCCAGCTCGTTTCACCCGCAGCACCCCAGCGCTCTGCCGATGCCTCTGTACGCCAACGGCCGTAGCGCCATGTACGGCATCATCTCATCGGCGTCTCCCACCCACGGTGACGGCCGCCCTCCTACTCATGCCGAGAGCGGCGCCGCTGCTCAGCATGATAACGAATCCTCCACCCTCGGCCGCCATGGAATCCCGGCACCTGGCCACAACGTCGCATTGATTCAACCTTACCTGGCCCCTCCTCCGGAGCACGCATACTTTGCCTCCCCGATCAGCGACACATTCTCCCCTACTGCTACGGCCCTACCGATGCCAGCCGTGCTTCATGACGGCAGCGATGTTCTGACTCACTTCGGCGTGGTCAACCACCACATGGACATGTTGCACCATGAGGTCATTGGCTCCTTCGACAATCTTCACGTCAACCTTGATAAGAGCGGAGATGACAGGCAGAAGGAGCTCCTCAAGGAGTTGGACGCTCGACTTCCTCCAGGCGTCGTCCTGGCTGGACTTCGTGAGGCAAACGAACCCAAGTTGGACGAGGTCATGACTCTGTTGAAGGACAACGTCGTCGTCTCTCTAGGCAAGATCACCGATGAGACGACGGGCTCGAAAGACAAGACGCAGTCCATTCAGCAGAAGTTGGACAAGCAGCAGAAGACGCTTGAAGCCATTCTTGATCAGCTGAAGCAGATCACTGCGATGCGATCAAACAACAGCACCCAGTCTGGCCATCACCCTCGTCGCTCCCACGACATCCAGCGCGGAACACCCGATCCTCATGCTCTCCGTGTCAATCACTTCGGTCAGGAAGGTGGCATCGTAAGTGGTCGCCCGGGTCGCCAGTTCGCCAGCGAGGTCGGAACAGCGAGATCTGATTCTAACATCAACCTTGTTCGCCAGCATCCCGACACCGTCGATGGGACTTACTACAACCAATTCCCAAATCCGGGCCAAGTCATTGGTACATTTGGTGGCATTACCTACGTTCAGGGCAATCCTCTTCCGCACAATGGTCCTGCAAACTACGAAAACAACGGTCCTGCGAACTTTGCTTATGGCTACGATTCGCGTCGCTGATCGCTGCTCGCTGACCTTCGACGACGTACCTTGAAAAGCACGAGCGACAACTTTGCACAACCCGAGTTTCAAGGATGCTGGTAGGAGTTGTGCTTTACTATACCTCTGGGCTTTCCCTCTTTCGGAAAGCCTTATTTTCCTTCTGGTCTGATTCTCTCTCTCGGCCTTGCTTCAACTTTTCTCCAGACGTGCGACGATTCACAACGACTAATGCTCACGACTAACCAACCCCACGAAAACTAACGCCCAAGACAACTGACTTCCACCTGCGGTTGGTACAATGTGGATGGTTGGGACTGTGCGATGTCTGAGCGTCCTTACTCTGGAGATCACAGTTTGCTTTGTTTTCTTTTGCTTTTCCTTGACTTTGGCACTTTCCAAGCTTGGATTGTCTAGTCCTGGATAGCTTTTGTGACTGGAATTTGGGACGGATTCGACTAACCTAACACGGTCTTGCTGCCGTTTGGATTTCTCGACTTGGAGTAGGTTCTTCGGAGCCTTACAGTTGGTTGGGATTTCTGGCGACTTGACCACAGTGTTTTGGTGTCACTTTATAACTTGAAAATGGAATGCATGTACATTCGACCTACAGTCCACAGTGCCTTTGTGAAGTGATGCTGAGATCGTCTACCCAAACGCGACCATCTGATCAGCGTGGACATTGCAGCATGAACGTAGCGGGCGAGTTGCGCTGCTGATAGAATGTCCCGACGGTGTCATAGCATCAATTGAGGGAGCCTTGAGATTGCAAGTAGTTCTTTCACGTCTCTTGCACTCATGAGTCGTGGTTGCAAGCATCTGTGTGGCGACTTCAACACCACGGCCAGCATCCCACTTCCCCAGACATCCCACGCCGCGCATCGAATCCGCGCCCTCAATGGACGCACCTGGCACTGGCCCGAGACATCCAGCGCCACACTAACGACGCGCCCGTCGGTCGGACCCACGTCGCTGGCGCAAGCCCTTGCCGGGCGCAGCTCAGAGACGTTGGCCAACCGAACCCGTCACGTTCTCAACCCTGCATTCATCCATCATGGCTGCCCAAGACCGTCCCAAGCCTCTCCTCGAGGGCTCCCCTCAACCCGCCGCAACGTCTCCCCATCCGCTGGACAGTCAGACGGCGGCCGACGACGACACAGCAGCGTTGGACACGGAAGACGACACCTCTCCTGCCGCCCTGGCGGCTGCGAACAGAGCCGCCGTCTCTCGTAACGCTGAATTGGCTCCGAATATAGAGTCGTTCCAGTCCCCGGCCTCCCTCCCCGTCATCCCGAAGTACCACATCCGCACGCCCTCCGCTGCTGGCCTGTCCCTCCAGACCGATCTCCCCTCCGAGCTTGCGACGACGCTGCCGAGTCAATCGCCAAACACACCAACTAGAGTGGGGAGCAGAGGAGGAGTACAGATCCGGGCCTCGGCGACTGCGCCGATTGCAATACCGGGGGCTTCGCTGAGAAGCACGCTGTCGGCGGCGAGCATGACTAGTTCTCTCTCTCCCGGGTCTGCTGTCTCTTCGCCAATGTTAAATGCGTTGACGGACATCACGCCCCTGCCATCGCCGCTGGCAATGGGCGACTCTCCAGGCCCGTGGATGCGGGCGACACACGCACGTCCAGGCTCTCGGGGTTCGTCTGGTGTCACCCGCGACGACTCGTTCTTGCTCTCAACCAGCGTGACATCTCCGTCGAAGAAAAAGAAGACTTACTCGGGTCTCATGCCCACAGCGGTCGAGGGTGCGAGCTTGCAGTCGTATCAGAAGAGTGAATCGGGACACGGGCATGGGAGGGACAGGAGTCTCAGCGAGTTTGTACCAGAGCCTCTTCACAATACACGGCCGCGTCAGGTTACAGTGTCAGCTGGATATGGGCATATAGAAGCGGAAGCCGCTCTCCATCGCGAGCAATATCTTGCAGCGCAACGTGGACCGTGTCTTGCAGTGCCAGCCTCCCAAACTGGACCCCAAGCAACTTTGCCAACGCCTCCTGCTAGCAATCGAAGCGTGACCGAGAGCGAAGAGGAGGAGATCCCCGAAGACACCGAAGGCGTCAAGTACCTTACTGTCCGCCATAAGCCCAATACGCGCAAGAAGCTATGGCGATGTGTGCGTCTGCTGGGCCAGGGAACATTCAGCAAGGTCTACCTCGCGACCAGCGAGAAGATCACCGCGAAAGACCCATTGGACGAATCGACGTTGAATCCTAGAAAGCTTGTAGCTATCAAGGTTGTCGAGCACGGCCCCGCTGGAGGTGCCGATGAGCAACGCGTGGAGTTGAGCTTAAAGCGAGAGGTGGAGATGCTGAAATCCGTCTCGCATCCCTCCCTAGTCCATCTCCGGACATTCGACTACGATGACCAGGAGGCTCACCTTGTCCTGACGTATTGTCCTGGAGGCGACCTTTTTGATCTCGCCAGCGAGCATCGGGATCTCCTTACACCTGCCCTTTTGCAGAGGGTAAACGCAGAGATGGTGGGCGCGGTGCGATATCTCCATTCTGAATTGATCGTGCATCGAGATATCAAGCTAGAAAGTCTGCAGTTCCCTTCAGTTCCCTATTTCACAGCACTAATATCTATCAGACGTCCTCCTCAACATCCCCGCCGCCACTCTCCCATCAATTCAATCACCGCAGTCTTACCGATACCCCCTGATCACCCTCACCGACCTCGGTCTCTCCCGCAAAGTCTCCAACCCGCAAGAACTCCTCACTACCCGCTGCGGCAGCGAAGACTACGCTGCGCCTGAGATCCTCCTCGGCCAGCCCTACGACGGTCGTGCCACTGACGCCTGGGCGCTCGGAGTACTCCTCTACGCTCTCATGGAAGGCCGATTGCCTTTCGATCCGCCGCCTGGGAAAGCGGGTGCAAGGAGTCGGGCCGCACATCGCATTGCGCGGTGCGACTGGATGTGGCATCGTTTTGGCGATGCGGATGGCGAGTGGGATCCGAAAGCCGGTGCGGAGTGGGAAGGCGGGCGTGAGGTTGTGGAAGGCCTACTCAAGAAAGTTAGTCGAGGTCGAAAGAGCCTTGACCAAGTTGCGGAGATGGAGTGGGTGCGGCACGGCATCTCCGTCGAAGGGGGATTAAAGAGGAGGGAGCATGACTTGGAGGACGAGATGGAGGTGGAAAGGTAGTCGCTAGTAAGGAGCCTTCGGCATGCTTAGACGATGCTTTAGGCCAGACCTAAAAGCTCAGAGGAGAGGGGTTGGGCGATATGTGGAGGAGCCACCTACGGAAACTCTTAGATGCTGATGGGGGTTTGATACGCGTTTTGGCGAGTGTGTTTGGCGTTTTGTATCACCATATCCCTTTCTTCGTTTCATTCTTACTACGCCACTCGCTGGGCTGTTTTTACCTTCGTTTCGCGAGCACAGGGATGGGTATTGGGATTGGATTGGATTGGATGGACTAAGGTGGGAATTGGGGACCAACATATAAAAGATACCACTGATGCGCTCTTTGAGCGCTTTTCCTAACTACATCTCCTATTTCTACTTATCTCCGTTTCGCACTTCTCTTGATTCCTTTCTTCCGTATGTTGTTTATTCGAACATTCGATTCGTTCTACTCGGTTCACGGAGATCTTCATTCAAAGCCGCAGTTCCACATTTCCCTTGCTACCGTCTATTCTCTGTCTTCTAAAGTCGAATCGCAATGTTGTGTGGCATATAGATAAAAGATAGCAGGGACATTGGAATGGATAGACAAATTTTGTGGCATCTGAATCTCATCAGCGGACTTTATCTATTTTCTTTGTAGTCTCGTGATTCACCATGACTGATCTATTTTCTCAGGACATATAACTCCTTCGCTCCAACGTTTAAGTTCGAGTCTTGCATGGGAGAGGCCTTGGAAGGCCTTGAGGAGGATTGAAAAATGGTCATATACGTCGGAAATGGTCCGCGGCTCCTGTGGGATTGCAAATTCCCACGAGGACGACCATTCATGTGGAAAGGAGTATCAATCCCCAAACTCCAACCCTGATGTCCGGTTGTGCAGCTTGTGGGTCGCTCGGCGGGTTCAAAACCAGAGATGCTGGCCAGCATGGAGAAGAAGCTCTATAAACCACGAGCTCTCACCGTCTATGGGTGGCGGCTCAAAAAGACTTGATGATGCTCGTCGTCTCCCTGCTTTCATGATCACAAGTAAGACTACGACTTCACGAAAGCGAGTCTCGAGAAGAGAGGGAGATAGTGAGCAGCATCAAATAGATGATGGATCCCACCTAATGCTGGTCTTTCTGGTCCTGTGGTGCACCGAGGAGACGACTGCCCATCAAAAAGTTCGATTCGGGCTTTTGAACACCGGCTTTCTCCGACCAGCTCCATTTGCCATTCTGTAGGTACCTTTTGACTCCACTCCATTGCCTCTTCTTGTCGTGTCTTTTGCAAACTGGAGAAAACTCCAACCCCCTTACTCCTCGACTCCCGCAGGAGAGCGGGAGTTTATATACCAAACTAAACGAGGTGCTTACTAACAACCTTGACGGTCATGGGGCCTCTGAAGGGCTAGCAGAGTACCTTCACATGCGCATGTCAGCCGGAATTAGCGTATGTCACGTTCCAGACTCGTGACTTCACCATTTCTGCGCTTCGAAGGGGTATAAAAGCTCGCCGCCCTGCCGGTTTCTTGGTTTTCAGGACAGGGAGCTGCGGAATGTGATGCTGCAAACCCAGCACCATATCAGTTTTGATGGTGTGGTGGACTTGGAGGCTGTGGTGCAAAATCAAGCTATCCGGAACGCCATGGGGTGGGAAAGAGGGGGATCAAAAGGGATACGCGAAACTTTGATGGGGTGGGCTGGGGGTGAAAAACTGCCTTGCCAAAGCACCTATGGTGGGTGTGAGGGGGAGGGAACTAGTCGTGGTGGTGATATGGTGCATCTACGCGATCGTACGGTTGTTAGTGTGATTATTGAGATGAAGAACCTCTATAGCGAGCGATGGTACTGACGGTAGGCATCTCTACTCACGACTGATACTCGCTATCCGCAGGGTGTTAAGAGAAGCCCCAGAGACGGCACCCCGTTTTAGCACTACCATAACGATTTGATGCTCCACCACTCCCACTCCCACCCCATGTGCTGGTCTTTGAAGGTCTGTTTGAACGACAACTCATAGGTAACTTAGGCTAGACGTTCGGTTTTCGAACCTCCGACTCCATGGGTCACTCTAGGAACTTCTGTTTGAACGACCGCTCATTTCATTATGAGCTCGTTCGGTTCGAACCTCCCCTACGGCCTCCACCCCTCTGCTCCTCAGCATCCGCGACGAGAGACGTTTATATAACCCACCCAGACTCTTGCTGACAAATTTCCACGTGACGTCCGTCAACCCCCCTCTCCCCCCTTTCCTCTACGCACAGCTGAGCTCTAGTCATGTGCAACCAAAAGATCACGTCAGGTTCCCGTGACGCGGTGACTAATCCAGCCACCTCCAGCGAGTATATAACCTCGCCGCCCCGACCTTTGACTCGACTTCTTCAGGGAAAAAATGGGGTTTTTTGGGGGGGTTGTAAAATTTACGGCTGCAACTGGCATGGCGGCGGTGGAGGGTGTTTGAAAAATGTACAACGTATCCGGAATATGGTGGACTGGGAGTTGTGCTTGCAAAAGCGGACATGGACGAATTCATGGTGGATGGAGGAGGGGAGGGGATCAAAAGTTGTACCGGCTGTGGTTCCATGGTGTGGGAGGAGGAGCGGAGGGATCGGAAAAATGCAAAAAACGATTCTTTCCAATGGTGTGTGGGAGGAGGTGATTGTTTTGCAACCGTGCACGCCAAATACAACGAGTACATGGTTGGAGTTCCTTATCCCTCCAGGCACTGCTTCAATCTAGTCATGTGCAAGCAGAAGACGTATCACGCCTCCTCGCTCCCCAAATCCCGTGACGCGGTGACTAATCCACCCACCTCCAGCGAGTATATAGCCTCGCCGCCCCGACCTTTGACTCGAGTTTGTCGGGGAAGGGAAGGAGCTTTGGGGTTTTTGCAAAACCCGTTTGAAGCGTTGGAGCCATGGTGTTCGGTGGAGGGTGTTTGGAAAATATGCAACGTTTCCGGCGATGGTGGACTGGCGAGTTGCGCCGCAAAAATGAACCCCCGCGATATCCGATGGGAGGAGAGGAGGGGAGGGATCGAAAACTGCGCAACGATTGGATCGATGGTGTGGGCGGAGGGGAAGGATCGCAACTTCATCAATAGAGACAGGCGATGGTGTGAGAGGAGGGGAGGGGTCGAAAACCTGCAAACAATCGTACTCATGGCGTGGGAGGAGGGGTTTTGCAACAAACCTCAAGATGCTAGCAGTTGATGGGGTCGGGAGGTGTAGTGCAAGCGGCGAGCGGAAGGAAGTGTGATGGAGTGGAAGGAGAGGTATCGAAAACCAGATCAGACAGCTCACTATGGTGTGGGCGGAAGACGGTTGCGAAAACCTTCATAACACTCACGATATGGTGCAGTTGGGGAGTGTGGTGCAAAAAGGAGAAGAAAGCAGATTGATGAAGTGCGGAGGATAGGGAGCAAAAACCCACCAGCGCATATACTCAAGGCATTGGTGGAAGGTGTCTGCAATAACGTGCCGAGCTCAGCCTGCATGATCGGACTGGTGAAGGTGTTGCAAACTGCTGTCAGGATCGAAATTATGGAATGTGGAGAGAAAAAGCAAAATCAAACCCGGATAACATTGATGCGGTGTGGTTCGAACTTTCCCAGAGGAATGATGCAACGTGGGATCGATCGGTTGGGTGGTGGCGGATTCGAGTATGCGGTGAAGTGCCTGTCGATCCTCACTGGTAGTGTTCGAATCGATCTGACGGTGCTGAAGAGCCTCTTCTTCTTGAAACGAGGTTCTTCAATGCGTAGGGTTTCTGGGGACAATTAGTGGACTTACTTGCCGGGGAGGATTATCATTGTTAGTGGAGAGGCGGCCGGCTCTCTCCTCTCCACCACATTGCTCTTGGTAGGCGGGTTGTTGATATTCATGTCAAGGCCCGAATCCGTTAAACCATAATGATTTGGAGTTGATGCTCAAAGAGAATCTCGCGTGAATGGAGAAGAGTAGACGTTGGAAGTTAGGCTTTTATACCCAGCCCGAGGAGAAATTGAAAGTGAACATGTGACCAAACACGTAAGTGAGAAGAATTGCAGAGAGACTTAGAAAGGGGTATTGATTCAATCATCGAAACAAGCTCAACACACACTTCATGAATGCCATCCAAACCCGTGCAAACTTATCCTACGACTCGTCGTCTCTTCGCGAGACAACTCATTCCCAAAACACTCATGCAATAAACCACCCACGCACGCCAAAACGCCCAAATCCAGAGAGAATCGCAGATTCCTAGTGCCCGCCTGATGCTCCAGACGCCTTCGAAGAAGAACCAGCATCCAGTATCCATCACTCGCTCAATCCAAAACCTCGTAGCTGACGTCCTGCTTCCGCTTCCGTACACCGACAAACAGCCACTTGAAGCCCCATCCGACTGACTTGACGATATCCCACGGATTGAAAGTGTTTAGCAGAGCGCGCGGCCCACGATGCGCATACTTCGTCGGCGTAGTCAAGTCAGACGTAAGCTGCTTGTTCAGATCGTACGGTTCCCATTTGAACGCGAAAATATGCAAGACCGCAAAGATGGCCATCTCCACACATAATAACATATTGGGTATTCCGACCTTGATATCCTGGTACCCAATCTTCTTGCTCGGAGTGATCGTTCCAGACGACACGAGGAAGGAGATGAGAAGGGATTGCCAGAAGGAGAAAAAGATGACGAGCTTGATGCAGGCGATTTTAAGCCCGGGCCCGTGCGACGCAAGCTCGTTCTTCATCTGGATGTAAAACTGAATCAGGCAGTACATTGCTATTGTGACGGAGACGGCTTCGAAGCCCATGACCCAGATGTGGGAGAAGGCGGGGTTGAGGGAGCTTTCGCAGTAACGGCCGGTGGCTTGGGTGATGCCCGCGACGCAGGTGAAGAAGACGCGGACGAAGCAGTATTGGTAGACGCCGAGCCAGACGATCTGTGCGCGGTGTTAGCTTTGCTCGATAGTATTAGAGTCGTAAGATGCAGTCTACGTACGTTGAACCACGTCAATCCACTCATCGGTTTCCGTAGGAAGCCTCTGTCCTGCCCGCCAGTGCACTTCTGTATCCAGCCCATTGGCCAGACCCAATTGCGCGGTTTCACGGTGCGGAAGTAGTTCTTCTGGTCGTGGAGATCATGCGCGAGGTAGTGGCACATGAGAGTGAAGAAGCTGGAGATGGCAAAGGCTTCGTAGCAGTCGCGCAGGATCTCGAAGTACACGGCGTGTCTGTAGTAGAGGTAGGAGAGGAAGCTGACTGTCGCGTATATTGGGATCATGAACAGGATCCGTACAATACTGCGATGCCGGGTTAGCTTACGGCCATAGTTGCGCTCCCGAAGGCTGTGTATCAAGCCTTCAAGGCTGGAATGTTTTGGCGAGACGAGCGAACGTACTGCTTCTGCTCCCATGGTTTCAGGTAGTGAGTGATGTGTCTAAAAATGAGGTAGAGCGCGATCACGGTCGCTATCAGGCCGAAGACGGCGGATATGAAGAGGCCGATGTGGTGGAAGGTGACTTTGCCGGCGATGGGAGTCTCGTCGACCCTCTGCTCGGTGAGGGTGGTGTTGCAGAAGACCATGGCGGACGATGTGTTGTGGAGAAGCGCAAACGGGCGGCATGCGCTATAGATCTAGCAGAAGAGGCGGATCAGCAGGCGCTGGGCATGCGGCGAGATAGTCACTGTAGGCAGTGAAGGAGATGCAGGCGGGCGGGTGGCAGATGAGGCTGTGCTGTATGCGATCCCTGGCTCAACGACGTTTCGGCGCTTGGAGCAAGGGGTCCAAGTTTCAGCATGCCCTCCTTATCCCCGCCGCTAGAATTAACCCCTTCCAATGCGCCTGTGTGGCACGTATATCCTCGTATAACTCGCAGGCATATATCAAGGTGTCAAGCTGTGTGTGCCTCTCCGCAGTCCACAATGGACGACGAATCCTCCTCCTCTCCGCCCAGCAGTGTCTTAGGCCCCGCACTGCAGCATCCTTCAAGAGCAGGGCTCAGGCCCCCAAGGTTACCCCAACACGGCGGTTGGTCGCTGGCGCTAGCCTCGCTACTTGCTGGATACCGCTGAGAACAGAGACGCGCTTAACCAGATGCCGGGTTCAAATCGCCAGTACAGGCGTTATGGTGCGCCGCTGAGGCTGGTGTCTGCCCGCTTCCCATGCCGAGAGCCGTTGTTGACGTCAAGCTCGTTAAGCTCGTTAAGCTTTGCTCGTCGGGTGGGCGAATGGCGAGGACATCGCAGCCTCGCTATTAATAGGCCCGTTACAGTCAGCACTTGAGACCGCCTGCAGGTGGGTATCCCGCGAATGCATCACCACTTTGAGAAAGGCTATGATATTGAAAGGGCCAGGTGCGGACGGCATTTTCAAATTGCCAAGCTGTAAGCCAAATTCCACCGAGGCACCTGAGCAGGTTTGTCCTCACCTCCACAATTAATCTTACGGCGATCGGCTTGGCTCCATATACCATCTATCACCTAAAGCGTCCATTTCCAAACCACCGCGTTTTGAAACCTAGACCCGAAAAAATCAAGAAGATGAAAAATAAAGAGATCAACCAACACCCAATATCTAAACGATGCCAATTTCTACACTCACCCCAGACTACCTAGGTACAAGACGAGATCTATACAGAGTCTTCTCCTCCACAACCCCCACGATCACGGACACTTTTACCTATCTCTACGCGGATGATGGGATGCCAGACGCTGCATGAATGTCCCTTCTTCAGCCCTTCGAACCAAATTTAGCCAGGGAAGCTGTGCTCATATGTCCTCAACCAGTAGCTTATAGCAGACCGCCATTTCTGCTTTGCATTGACTACTTCGGGATCGCCGATAAGCATTTGGTTGTCAGGTCCGTCGATAGGAATACCGCTGACAGTGATACTACTGGATTAAGAAATGGGCTGCTGGAGGGGTACAAAAAAGAAAAACAATACCTAGGGTTAGCAAGTTAGGCGATGGGGCCGACGCCACTAGGGCAAGGTTCCTGCTGGTTAGTACGGGGAGGGTTGAAATTTTCTAAAATATATGGATGGGTTGATGTGAGGAGGGTGGAAGAGGCGAGAGATGCGGTATAATGCCTCTAACCGATCGGCATATACAGTCTGCAAAAAAGACGAGAGACCTAGGTACCAGTATAACGAGTCTCAAGGCATTTAGATCAGACCCTAGAATACCCCGTGATATCCCTAAAGTTGCATTATCCAGAATCACTCATCTATTGGTATCAAAATTCCCCCTAGGGTGTTTCTACACCCACCCCACCCTCTTCTTTCTTCTCGTCGCCCCCGCCTTCGCCGCCAGCCTCCTCCCTGACCTCAGACGTCTCCACGCCCTCTTCAATCGGCGTCGTCGTCCCAGGGGCTTTCGCCCCGTTTCTCCGCTTTCTCGCCTCCGTCTTCAGCGCCTCCCACCGTTCCCGATACTGCCCCAAAACACCCTTCAGCTTCTCGTTCTGCGCCGCCGTGCGTTCCTGCTCCTTTCGCGCCTGTTCAGCGGCTTGCAGTTGTGCTTCAAGTAGCTGTGTTAGTTCCGCGATCTTGGCTGCTGAGACATCATCTACAACCGTCGCTGGTGCTGTAGCTGTTGCTGACGTTGACGAAGCATCGGGTATTGGTTGCGGTCCTGTACTAGATTTGAGCCTCGAGGAGGGCGTGCGCGCGGCAGCAGGTATAGGAGGGGGCGGCATCATATTTGCCCCCTGGGCAGCATGCGCAAGTGCAGATGGGTCGCTGGTGGCGGCGTGGATGCCGGGAGGACCACGATTGCGCAGGCTGGCTGCCAGTGCCAGCGATTGGCTCTGGGAGGTTGCCTCCCACATCTGTAGTCTGCGGGACTGCTTATCTAGCAGAGCGCGGAGGGTCGTATTCTCAAGTTCAATCTCCTCCACTGTTTTCCGGCCTGCGCCTCGGCCGGCGGGAATGCTGTTAGGGGGTGGTTTCGTGGCGGCATTTGCATTTGGTTTGCGCCGCACGTGGCGCGGAGCCGTAGGAGAGGGTGGATATGGTGTCTCCATCGCGTCCACGAACTCATCGTGTTGGCTACCGCGGTCGGACGAGGTTTCCTCGATCAGGTCGGGAAGGTGGCCTGAAGTGTGCTGAAGAATTCCGGCATAGGATACAGTGCCGCCGGAGGGAGGAACGACGTAGAACGATTCGGCTGCACCGCCGAAGCGTCCATTACGGTCTGGATCCTCTCGAAGGGCACGGAGAGCAGGTTTTGATATCAAAGTTGTATAGTCGGGCTCGTCAGTCGTGGTCGAACGCACGGGTTTGATAGGAGCGGGGGCGGGGTTTGGAGCTGGAGGAGTCGGAGTGGAGGAAGGGCCTAGTGGAAGGCTGGCGAAAGCCAGAGGTGCTGAGATTGCGGAGAAGACATTCTCGAATGTGGAGTAGAACTTGTGGAAGCGGTCGTCTGATGTAGCAGTCGCTGTTTCGGAGGCTTGGGAGACTTGTGACTGTTGTCCATTGTCCAGGGACTGTGGCCGTCTCTGTGAACCCTCTGTCTTCGTCTCGTCAACTCTTCTTGCCTGGCGTTGTATGGCATCCTTCGCCGATGGCGGTGACTCTTGTCCTTCTGCGCGGCTTCGTCTCTCGAGGCGACTTGGTGCGTTGGCTATAGCATTCGCGACAGATACAGTTGCTCCAGCTACCAACCCCCTCTTTGGTTGTGCGCCGGGTATTCCTCTCGCATTTGCTAGGTTGGTCACTATGGAGGACGCAGGATCTCGGGAGGGCCTCCGACGGGTGGCTGGTCTGGACGGTGAAGAAGTCGACGCGGGAGAGGCGGATCGGGTACCGGGAGCGCCTGGGGAAGCTCGCCGTGGTCGTACTGAAGACGCTGTAGATTCTGACTGCGGGTCCTGAGGGCTTGCAACAGACGCACGTGCTGCTGGAGTCTTGATTATACTTGCCAGGCGGTGATGCTGGCTTTCGAGGAGGGCGAGGATTCTCAGTGCCTATTCGCTGCTTAGACCCTTCCCTATGCTTAAACCCATACGGCTACCATACCTCTGGATCTCCGGTGGTTTGGGCTGCCTTTGCGAAGTGCTGCGCGGCCAGCTCATGCTCAGCACTCGCGGTGGACACATCCGAGTTAGCGGTCGCGGCGACGGCGTTTCTGACATGGTTTTGCGCGAGGGTGAGGGGTGCTTGCTCCATCGTTGCAGGTAGAGACAGGTCTGGTAGGATACGAAGTGTTCATAGTTCGGGTGGTGTTGGAGGTTGAAGGGTAGCCCGTGCCCGTTCACTGACCTCATGTCTGGTGCCGACTGCATCCATGGATGTGAGGGTGAGCCAAGACAAGGCTGAAGCCGAATGACTCTGTGCGGTAGCCAATCAGCGATCGTGATGGCAGAGCATCGTGAGCAGCTGATAGTGGGCTCTAAGACCTACACACTTATACTCGGTATGTTTAAAACGGCAGAATCATCTTACCTGCGTTGGCTAAGTATCTACGAGGCACCAGATATACATTGGTAGAGAGCATTACCTCTCAGAGAGCTTCGTGGATCCAGGTACCTAGGTCTATATAATGCGCAGTATAACTGCGCAAACAGTGACTCCCTGGACGGTGCCATGTCACCAAGCGTGGCACATGTAGCAGTACTGGTGCCTGTGGTATTGGAGAGCTGTTACCAAAGTATAGCGAGCACCACAGTAAACGCTTCACCACCATCGCCACAGTCCAGATGACGTGCAGGGATAGCATCCAGACGTGCCAGATTGCACCTGTAGGGCTGTTTATGGACCACCTCGGCCGTGGCTGTGCAGCTCCCGCCGCCTTCCTTGTGCCCTCGCTACCCCGAGCAGCCCCTTGATCCTGCTCCCGCTACTATGAGCATGCTTTGAGCACTTGTCGCGGCTTTCAGGACTCACCTTTCGTATCTCTACGCCACCATCACGAGCATGTCGCCAGCCGCAGAGTGACCAAGCACTTGCATGCACTCCACACCGAGCTCCTAGCTCCACCATCCATGGGACCAGTCCTACTGTGGACTGACGCCATTCGCATTATCCTGCCGAGCGTCTATACGCAGTGCCCGCTTGCCGCCGCCTATAACAAGTATGGAGGCCTCCATTGACAGGACACCCAGCAACGTCTCCGAAGCCAGTCGCTCCAACTCAGGCCTGTCCAGCATGCTCAAAGGTCGGCGCAAGTCCAAACCGAACAACTCGTCCACAAACTCAATCGCGAGCAGCGATACACATGGGGACGGGTCCAGTGGCATGAGGTCATCCCTGGACGGCGCGCTGGAGAAGCTCAAGACGAGGAACTCGGAGGACAGGCGCGACAGCACAGAGTCCACCAATGGCACCAGTAATGGCACCAGGGACAAGATGTCGAAGCTCTTCAAGGGCCGGCGCCGGCGCAGGCAGTCGAACGCGCAGGACGGTGCCTCGCACGAGTCCTCACAGCTCGACTTGACTGAGGACATCCCCCCGCTTCCCAGCACCAGCATGCTGTCCTTGGGCACCAGCGCGCACAGCGAGGAATCGCTCCACATGCACAGGAGCGTGCCGAGCAGCCTGTTGACGGAGGATTCGGACACGGATTCGTAAGTCAATTGTTTCTTTCACGTTGCCGAGCATCTCGCCCAGCCCGCGCTTTATTGGAGCTGAAAGATGGGAAGTCCCTGCTACCTGCGAGCTCGGATCTCCGCCAGCGGACAGCACAGGCTTCCTCCATCAACATCATCCCCACCATCTCTCCCACTTCATTCATACAAAGCCGCAGGCGGTTGCTTGGGCTCGTTTGTATCCTCATTCGTGATACCCTACACCCTCGTTGCACTTTCCCTTTGTCCCTGCGTCTTCGCGTGTCACCGCTGATCAGCCGCGTTGCTACTCAGCCCACCAATTCGGCCCTCAATCTCACCGCACCAGTCGCATACTGGCTATCTGACCCTCTCATCGCCCTTGATATCCGCCGAAGCCCTCGATTCCCCTGCCTCCATATCATCCGTTACCGAACACACACCCCCCCTCGACGACACGCTGGCGCCCAGAAACGCCAAAACACTCAGTGCAAACTCCGAACCCAGGCGCAGCCCTTCGCCAGTGGGCAAACTCAAAGAAGCGTTTGCGCCTACACGTCGATCGACATCGCCGAAACCTGGAGGGGACAGCGACTCTACCAAGTCTGGGTTGGGCGGTGGTCTCGGAGGGCTCTTTGGGGGAGTGGGCAAGAAGGGAGGATCGACCTTGAGACGCGGCTCGAGTACGCTTGAAGAACCCCCTCTGATACACATTTCGCATGAAACGCAGTCGACGCCGGTTCTACCGTCTGCCTCGCCACCTGAGATAATAACTACCATCCCGGCTACTCCACCCAACCTAGGGGAAGCTCCGACCACGTTAGTGACGCCGCCCACGCCCACCGATGCGAAGGCCTCGTCACCAACGGACTCGAATACAAGCTTGCATACTTCCACAAAGCCGGTCTCGCACAAACAGTCGCAGTCCAACTCCAACATCGTTACGTCTCCTTCGGGGAACATGATATCGCATAGACGCGTGCGATCAGCTACAAATCCTCCCAGCAAACTGTCAAATTCTATATCTGCGCCATTGACGCCCACATTAGAAGAAACGAAAACACCCGGTGGATCTTTATCAAGTCCGCAAAGTAACAGTGGTTTTTTCTCGTCGGTTTTTTCTGCGGCGCAAAACGCTGCAACGCAGCTCTCGACCTCTATAGCAAATACCTCAATATCCGCTGGGTCTAAAAACAAAGCCAACAATTCTCAGCCCGAGGAAGAGAAGACGGGCGACGTCGGCGGCGAAGAAGTAATTGGGCCAGAGTCTGAAGGTGTGTCTACGGAAATCCGCGGGAACGAGCCTCGTCAGCTCGCTGTGGAGACGTTGGGATCTGGGGACCTTAGTCTTGCTCACCTTGGCATTTCTGAAAGCTCGGACCCAAGTCCAATGACTTCAAAATCGAATCTTGCAGAGCCGTTGCTACCGAATGACCATGCTTCTGCAAAGGCAGAGGATGTAGCTGCTGCACAGGCAGTGTCCGCTGCATACGCTTCAGAAAAACCCAATGGAGCTACAAACTCCGAAAGACCTCGCTCACTGACCACCCTTTCAGGCGGCGGCGTATCGCCTCCAAGGATACCGGATGCTCTTGATTCTCCTGGCAGCGTAATCCAACGCACTGGTAGCATTAGAAGCCGGATAAGTGGTGGTAGAAAAAGGAGGCATCGTGGTAGTTCAGCAACCACTGGCCACACAATAGCGGCAGCTGTAGGTGCCAGTACTGCTACATTAGCACATCCAGCTGCAATGGCCAACGGTCAACGACTACAAGGAACAGGTTTTGCGGTTGCACCCGCGAAACGCAACAGGGATTTTCACAATCTTTTTCGAAGTGTACCAGAGGACGATTATCTTATCGAAGATTATAGCGCAGCATTACAACGAGACATTCTGCTTCATGGCCGCTTATACGTCTCGGAGGGACACATATGCTTTTCCAGTAATATCCTAGGATGGGTCACCAACTTGGTCATAAGCTTCGACGAAATAGTGACAGTCGAGAAGAAAAGCACGGCGGTGATCTTCCCCAATGCCATTGTTATCCAAACGTTACACGCCCGGAACGTATTCGCCAGTTTCGTTTCCCGAGATTCTACCTACGATCTCATAATAGGCATTTGGAAGATCAGCCATCCCAATCTCAAGAGCTCGGTGAATGGTGTGACGCTTGATGGAACCGGAACTGGCGATAAAACCGAAAAGGACGAGTCAGTAGGCAGTGAAGACGGCTCTATCGATGGCTCAGATGATGAGGTTTATGACGAAGATGCTGAAGACGAAGAAGGCTTGGGCAGCTTCACTGAAGCCGGCGAGGGCAGCGTTGCCGGAAGCGAGGGTGACTCTATCCAGGCTGCGAGTCGGAAGGCGTCTGCGGCTGCACTTGGTGCGCCAGTGAGCGGAGGCACGAGCAAAATTGTGGACAACGCTGAAGCCGCTCTTGCTGGAGCGACGGCCACACAGGACTTCCCCGGATCGCCTACGCACGCACCCACAGAGTGCGGTGATGCAGATAGTCACTACGACAAGCTCCTGATCGATACGACGATCGCTGCGCCGCTCGGAAAAATCTATTCCCTAATGTTCGGGCCAGCTTCAGGGCAGTTCATGCGGAAATGGCACATTGAAGACCAAAAGTCGACAGAGCTGCAAATGGAGGACGACAAAAAGGGTCTCGACCAGGATATAAAGACCATGAACATTTCCTACATCAAACCCTTAGGAGGTGGCCTGGGCCCGAAGCAAACCAAATGCCTAGTCGCGATGACACTAGAACAGTTCGATCTGGACAGGGCAGTTACTGTGCTCTGTTCAACGCAGACGCCGGACGTGCCAAGCGGTAACGTGTTTCTCACAAAGACAAGGTACTGCTTGATGTGGGGACCAGGTAACTCAACGCGCCTGATCATGACGTGTACGGTGGAGTGGTCGGGAAAGAGCTGGCTGAAAGGTAGCTAACGCCCTCCCTTGTATACTCAGATGGAGCAAGCAAGATCTAACCTTTTTGCTTAGGTCCAATCGAAAAAGGCGCAAACGACGGCCAAATGTCTTTCGCAAAGGACATCACCGCCGCGCTCAGAGCCGCCGTCACCACCAAAGCAGCCATCAAAGGCGCGCCGCGCGGCAGAGGCAAAGGCCGCAAGCGCCGCGGAGACATCTCCATCGACGAGGGCCTGATACCTACCCCTGGCGACGAAATCGAAAAGATCACGACGCACAAGCCGGTCAGTTGGGGCGTGTTGGAGCCCCTGCACGGTCCCCTCGGCCCCGTCGTCGACATCGTCGGCAGCTTTGTGTCTGGGCCGACCGTTATCGCGGTCTTGTTTGCCCTGCTGTTAGTTTCGTGGCTGAGGAGGCCCGCAGTACCGGGCTTGGGCAGTCTGGGTGTTCCGGGGCTTGCGACGCCGCAGCGCGTGGCCGCGTACGAGGAGATGTGGCGGAAGGAGGAGAGCGAGCTGTGGCGATGGCTCGAGGAGCGGGTGGTCATCGACCGCGTGCTCACCCCCCCCGTTGAAGGCCAGGCGTGGCGCAAGAAGCAGCGGGTGGGCGGGATGCAAGAGAAATTAGTAGAGGAGAAGATGAGCGAGCGGCAGATCGATGAGGCGATCAAGGTGACGCAGGAGAGGCTGGAGGCGCTGAAGGAGGCCGTTGAGAGGAGGAGGGAGCACTGAGCACAGGATAGCTATGGAGTGTATATGTTTAGTAAACTTGGATGGTCTGGCATTCGCAATGGGTGTATTATATGTGCATTTTGGGGAGTTGTTATGTGAGATGAGTTTGTTCGGTGGGGCTTTTGGACTTTGGTGGACTTTTGGATATTGGGGAGCATGGAATGCGCTGCGTTCTTGTTGAATATATACCCTCCTTGAGAGAAACGTGTTTCTAGATTTGTGTGGTTGTTTGACCCATGGCTTAGCTTTCCTAGGCTGATGTCCCGTCCAATCCCGTTTCCCGGTTTCCTCTCTGTTATTCTTCAAATGCCTTCGAGTACTGAGCCCTTACGCCTCTATGCCTATGCCTTCCCTCGCGCGAGTATAATATCTGCAAGCCACTATCATTAGCAAATGCTCTTTACGCTATAGAAAAGCCGAGCAAAACTGTGACAAGGGGGTGATCAATCAGACATCCAAGGAAGAAAATTGCCGCTCAACGCGCATCTGTCATAGGTTCGAGTCGATGGCTAGCGTGGAAACTGCGAATGTAGGAATGTTTCATCATATAATCGTGGGGGATTGAAAGAAGAGAGAAAAGTTGCATACCATAGGTAGAGAGGGGGGTGGGGGGGACGAAGTTGTGCCTGCTGTGAGAAGGGTTTAGTGAAGTTGAGATTGAGATATGCTGTGCTGGGTTAGTAGTGCTCTAAGGTGAGAGAGGTTTTGAGCAAATGAGTTGAAATCTTCGTCGGCCGAATACCTCATGAATAGAGGCGGTGGGGCAAGGCGTCACCACAGGCTGTGGAATTGTCTCGGTTCGGGTCATATTCCCTTGCCTTAGTCTGCGTGAAGGACTAGTGACTTGTACAGTGAGAGTAAAGCGGTGGATAGTGAGAAGGTTCGCTGGAACAGAAATTTCATAGGCCGGGTCGTAGAATGAAAGACCCTTCTACCACGTGTTATGACACATCGAGGGGTCGCGTCGTCTTTCTTTGCCTTGGCCACCGAATGGTTGGTGAGATCGAGGCGGTGGAGGTTGTGAATGGGCTTTGATGCGGCGGCAGATATTTTTGTATATCGCCAGGATGGTACGATTTTCCGGGCTGGCGCTAATCCCTATCTGAACTGTAGATCTATATTTAATTTCGACCCCAAACTTCGTCCAACCCACGCATCATGAGTGTGTTGTTTGCTACTCTTAGGACCAAACGTCCTTCTCGCGCACGGTGGTTTTTGACTCGACCTTTCGTCGAGAGCAGGGACGGGATGGGACTCTCGAAGCTACCGGAAGACAAAGCTTTTGTAGGCTCAGTTATAACGCTCAGCTCGAATCTCCTTGGCAGGGGAAATCTTCGTTGTCCTAGCAAGGATTCACGGTCAGATATATTAACTAGCGCTAATTAGTTCAAAAGTCCACAAAGCTTTGCAGATACTGCTACATGAACGCTTCATGTTTCTAAGATTTGGATTAGATCTTGGCTTCTTGCCTTACAAGCTGATGGGAGATTATTTTGAAAGCTAGAGGTTCTGATTCTTCCGGACCATCATACTCATTTTGAGCCCCCAAATGGGAAGCGAGACTTCAAAACGCTGACCGGAAAACATCCTAAGTTTATACCGCAGCCTTGGCTTTGTCTAAGCCTCAACCGCTATCATCAAAACGGGACAACCCTCCAGAGGTATGGGATGACTGCCTCCTCAATTTCAAACTGTCATATAAAAGAAACCATTCCAGAATGTCCGACTACAGCTCTTTTTTTTTGCCACTAATCCTTCATCGGCTTCTAACTTCAATTGAGGTTATTCCTTATTTTTTCTGGTATTCAAGATGAAGATTTTCACAGCCGCTCTTTTGGCCGTCATTGCTCCCCTGTTTGTTAGGGCTTTTACTCCCTGTGCAAACACAGGCGGCAATGTCACCCACGCCCTCACCATTACCCCTAAAATGGCGAGGGACAGTCTGAACGATCTCCGCACCCGAGACACCGTCACTATCGACCTCTGGATCCACGTCCTTACCGCCGGGCCTACCGCCGCAGACGGCTATGTTGATGCGACTGGTATACTCGCCCAAGTGGACTATCTCCAGCAACAGTATGCGCCATGGGGCTTCCAGTTCCAGGTCAAGCCCATCTCTTACGCTCTCAACGCGGAGTGGGCCTCGAATATCGACTCCGACTTGGCGGAGAAGCAGCGTCAGCTCCGTCGCGGCGACTACAAGAGCTTGAATGTGTACCTCGTTAACGGTGCGACGTATGGGCAATGCACCTATCCTCTTGATGGGACGGATCCTCTTACTCAAGATGAACTCGATCAAGATGGGTGTCTTGTGCCGTTGAAGTCGGGTATCCACGCCCCAGACGGAACAATCACGCATGAGAGTACGTACTGGTCCTCTATGAAGACTGTTAGCATGGTTCTAATCTGGTCTAGTTGGCCACTGGCTCGGTCTACGACATGTCTTCGAAGGCGGCTGCAACCAAGACAACGGCGGCGACTTTTGCGACGATACTTGGCCTCAAGCATCTGCATCCTATGCGAAAATGGGGAAAGCGGGAGACGTCAACAGTTGTCCAGCAAGGGACTCCTGCCCAGACAAGCCCGGGACTGACAATGTCAAGAACTTTGTAAGTGCCGGTCTAGACTCCGCTGCCGATTGTCTCGCTAATGAGACCCGTTTCAGATGGACTACACCGACTGTTCGAGCGAGTTCACGCCCTGCCAGGGTGGGCGCATGGTCGCGGCGTGGAGTCAAAGAACCTCCCGAACTATCGCAGCTGGGGTGCTGTGGAAGTAAACTTAGACTCGATGTGCCGTCTCGTGTTCCTCCCTGCCCCTGATCAGATGTCTTTTGCACGCTTCTCTTCCCTTCTATTTGACATATTGCAAGCCATATTTCGTGTTTTCCTTTGGCAATTTGAACATATTGAACCGTCATACGCCCTTTGGATTTCAGTGATCGGTTTTGCGGATATCGGAATGAGCGGACGAGCTCCCACTCTTTGACTCGCTACAGAGATCGAGAAATACCACCATCGTCATCGTGGTAAGCCCATGCTTGGAATGCAAAACTGCGTGAAGAATTCAATAGCGCAATGGCATCCTCACGTTACGACAACCTTCGTTGGGCGCTAGCATTCATCCAATCAAATTATCAAATAGCAAGAACATGCAGGGACCAGGCGCGCCAAGCATTCTGGGAACATCACTGCCCGAGCGAACGGAACCTCGACTTCCCCACTCTCCATGCAACCCCAACACCTCCACGTCAAAGGACCCGGGCCCTTATGTTAGGTACAAGTATTTTGTCTCTGTCAGTGGTCGCTCGTCTAGTCACTTTAAGACGTCTGTGTCTCTTTAGCTCCATGGTCGAGAGTGGGAGATGGACCAGGCATCGTGGGAAGCCTGGCCCGCCCTGCAATTCCAGGAGATTTAAAGAGGCCAAGCTTTAGATTAAGCTCGCCGACGGCGGCGGATCGTGGCGTCGATCGTGGGAGAGGTCTGGCTCCTCATTTCCGTTTCGGTGCTTTTCTTCGTTGCTTTTCTTCGTTGCTTTTCTTCGTTGCTTTGTTCCTCATGTGGTCAAGCTCGACGGATGAGGACGCCCCCGAGCTTTGAGAAATCCGGTCTTCCACCCGCCTCTGCATCATCATTTCTCCTCCCTGGTCCTAATCGAGGTGGATTATATACGCCCTCTTTCTCATTGGCCCTAATACTGGCCTCGAGCACGGGAAACATGTTTCCGGCGGTTTGCCCGGCACCGAGCGTTGCGCGCCAACCTATAGCGGCACCCTGATTTGAAGCATGGTCAGCAGGGTGAGTCCCTAACAAATCCTACTGCGGCATCGAGCTGAACGCAGAAAAAGGGGGCTAAGTTATTGTTGATAAGTCCCGTCAAAGTCTCTTTTTGTTTGTTCGTCCGTCCAGCTTTTCTCATCATCATCAGCATACCAGCCTAGTTGCTCCAGTCTCTCCTTCACCCAATATCATAATGCGTTCCTCAACTATCATCGCAGCCTTTGCTGCTGTCGGCTCAGCTATGGCTCAGCGCCCTGCTAGCACGCCCATCTGCGATTACTACACCGCCGCCCTCCTCAAGAACAACACTGCCGCAAACCAGTATACTCTTTTGACGCTGCTGGTGAACACCGCTGTCATCGGAAACTACACCACACCCAATGTCGGCATTGCGGCCAATGGTATCCTCAACAATGGAACCTACAAGGGCGAGCCTGTCAGCCTACTCCAGTACTTCGACGGCGCGCTCGAGTCAACCAACTTCAACGGCAAAGCTATCGCCGTCAACTTCCTCGACGGTGGCGGAGCTGCTCCGTTGTTGCTCAACATGCCTGCCAACAACACATCCTCCATTCAATAGTAAGTATCTCTTAATGGGACACAGACTCAAAGACTCTGCTAACCTCGACAAGTGGGCTCATCACTCATCTCTACCAGTTCTTTGGTGCTCTCCTCAGCGTAAGCTCTTCCCTCACATAGAGTAACTTCAGTCACTTACAGTTCCATTAGTGCTCCGAGTACGGCGCCATGGGCTTCCCCTCCTACAAGGGCAAGACCAGCATGGCCGAAGTCCACAGGTTCATGGACCTCGAGGCTGCCGAAGTTGGCTACTTCATCGAGCAAGTCGGTCTCTCCGCAGCTTCCTTCGGTGTCACAAACGACGATGTTACCGCCGTTGGAACGGCCCTGACCAAGCTCTTCGACTATAAATGCGCACCTCCCGTCGCCATTCTCCCCAACGGCACTGCTGAGCTCCAGAGCATTTGCCAGGCTGAGGATTGCCCTGTCGCTCCCAATGCGACCTGCGCGGCGTACCCTCTGATGGGCATGCCGACGTCGCCTGCGAATGCGAGCGTGACCGTCATGCCCACTGGGACCGTGGCACCGTCGGCGACCACCTCAACGGCGTCAATGTTCACCGGCGCTGCCCAAGCTATTGGTGCCGGTGTTGGTTCAGTTGCTGCCGCAGGCCTGTTCGCGCTTGCGCTTGCTTTGTAAGAGATTTATGCATTGGTTACTCAATATGCTTTTTGAAGCAGTGGAATTTGGACAACGATACCCGATTCAGGTGGTCCAGGAGTTTTGGGACACGGATTATACCAATAATAATATCAAAATATCTATAATACAGTATTGCCATGTTCTCACAAAGCTTCTTTCCTGTGGCTTTGGGCTTGCAACTCAGTTCTGTGTGCTGCCCGGGATGTCCTGCGCAGACCTCGGATACTCGGCAAGTTTATGACATTGTGTGGCTGAAGCTAGCACATTGCGGAGTAGGAACCCCAATCCTCTCACAATCTGGGGTAACCTCCACACCTCCGCAACTTCCAACGCCTCCTTCAACTTCTCCCCAAAATGTCTGACGAAACGAAAGTCGGCCCCGGCGCACCTTCGCCACAAGATGTGAACAGTGCTGCGGCTTCCAAAGAGGTTTCAGTGCCTTCTCACTTCACAGCACTCCCGAAGCAGGCGGATCGACTGTTACTGCGATTGAACAAGTAAACCACCCCAATCCTCTCTTTATGAACCCGTACTAACATATCGTCAGACTCCTCGCCGCCCCCGGCGGCCTCAGCTCCACCCTCGGCACCGTCAGCTACACCCTTTACCTGCTCGCGTACCTGGAAACCAAAGCCCCCACCGCGTCGGCCCTGTCCACCCAGCTCCGCGCCCTCATAAAAGCCCCTTCCACCACCTCGAAAACCTCCACAATCCTCGTCCCGGCCCCCGGAGCGCCCACCCCCATCGCCTCCCTCGGCGCCCTCATCTCCAAAGCCCGCACCACCCTCCGCCTCTTCAGCCTAATCCCGCTCTACGCCCGCCTGCGCACCCTGCTCAAAGGCCCCAAGCCCGACGACGACGTCTTCGCCCACCGCATCGCCGTCACCCAGTGCCTCGCCTACGTCGCCTACCAAGCCCTCGAGAACATCGCCGTGCTGACCGACGCCGGCATCTTCCCCGCGGCCGTCGTCGCGCGCTTCAACAAGGGCTCGCCCGCCACCGCGCGCGTGTACCGCGCCGCCTACCGCTCCTGGCTTGTCGGCGTGAGCTGCGACTTTGTGAGGCTGGGCCGGCAGGCGGTGGTGGAGCGGCGGCGGCGCGCGGTGAGGGCCCGCATGGCGGAGGAGGGCCGGCCGGTGGTCGAGGGGCAGGAGGAGGAGGACCGCGAGGCGGATGCGCTGTGGTGGAAGGAGTTGGTGGTGGCCGTGGCGTGGTTCCCGATGGCGGTGCAGTTTGGCACGGATACGGGGTTCCCTGGGTGGAATCTGGGGCTGATGGGGCTTTGTGGGCTTGTGGCGACGTCGGGGCGGACGGCAAGTTTGTGGAGGACGACGAAGGA